TCGTAGAGAACGAGGGAAGGTAAAGACCAGACAGGGTGCCAGAGGGGGCCGCCGGACACGGGAGGACAGTGGAGAAGTGAGCAAGGACAGGACCCCCAGAGGGGTCTGCCAGAGAGACTGCAACTGGCCGGCTAAGCGGCGTGAGTGTGGTGCGGTCTCGAAAGAAGGAGCGAGAAGCCCCCGAGTCGGTGAAGGTGTGGGAGGCCGAAGCCGACGCAGAACCTGAGAGAGCAGACTCACCAGCACCTGAGGGAGCAGACGCACCTAGAGCAGCAGCCTCGCTAGCACCTAGAGCAGCAGCCTCACCAGTACCTAGAGCAGCAGTCTCAATGCCCGGGTCGGGCGGAAAACACCGGTAACAGTCACCCTCATCACTAATAGTCACAGTATACATGGCAGCAAGAATAGCATCAAAGTCAAGGTCAAAGACAGCCACACCCGCCCTAGACAGCTCACCCCAGCGGGGGATCTCAGTGGCCTCAGGGAACTGGTGACGCCAAGCGTCCGTCAGGCGGCCAAAGCAGCGCTGGGTGGAGTGCGCACCCCCGCACTGGTCACCCGCGCGGTCGCCGGTGCGGAGGACGTAGGTGCACGGACCAGTACCCCCACCCCTCTGGCATGCAGTGTACCACTCACGGAGCTGCTGAGGGGAGGGGATGTCACGAGTGCGCTGCTGGTGCTGGTGCTGCTGCTGGCGCTGACCACCACCGGAGCCGACCCTCTGCGCAGCGCCACCCCGACCAGCTCCACCTCCTCCGCCGCCTCCTCCTCCACCGCCGCCACCTCCGCTCCCTCCGCCACTGCCGCTGCCGCCTCCGCCTCCACTGCCGCCACCGACACCTCCACCCCCGCCACCACCCCCACCGCCACCCCCACCTCCTCCACCGCCTCCACTGCCGCCTCCACCGCCCCCGCTAGCTCCTCCAGCGCCCCTGCCCCCCTTGCCCTTGCCAGGGCGGCGTCTCCCGCTAGGGGTAGACGCCGCACCGACCGACTCAAGCCCAACGAGGTCGGCCGCAGCAGCAGAGGCAACAGAGGGCAAAAGGGGGGAGGGGGAATACCCCTCAAAGATGGGGGTGCGAGGGTCACCACGAGAGGCTCCTACAGCTACTATGCTCTTCTCTGCTGCTAGGAGGGACTTCTCGAGGAGGTCAACGGTGAGAGTGGTGGGGCAAACTGAGAGGAAGTGGTCCCTGACTACGCGAAGGGAGTCAGGGAGCCGGGTGACTATGTAGTAGAGGGTGATGTACATGGGGGGGGGGTTCTTGGCGCAGAACTCAGCAGGAAGCGCAGCGCGGTAGCGAGTGTCACTAGTGCGTAGGTGCGTAATGAGGTCAGCGACTGTGGGAAAGGCAGCAAGGTCAGGGAAGAGGTACGGTAGCATGAGGCGACTCAGTGCAGCAGTGGCAGGGGAGGAGTAGCGTGCAACTACAGCGTCGTACAAGGTCTGAGCACTCTTGTACTGGCTAAAGTGCGCACGCTCAGAGGTAGGCAGGTGGCGACGCACAGCAAGACGTGCAGCAGCATCGCGCGTGGCCCACTGGGAGCGAACAGTTGCGTCAGCATCAGTGGCGGGGGCAGGAGAGGCACCAGAAGTGAGGTCAAAGAGGGAGAGGCCGTCTGCCCTATCGCACTGTAAGGAAAGCTGCAGGTCATCTATCCAGACGTCAAAGTCAATGGCCCGACCCTCAGCGTCAAAAGCGAGAACACTAGGGGTAGCCATGACAGCAGTAGACTAGCAGCGCAAACAGTGGGGTGAGGGCAGTGCTGTGAGAGAGGCGCTGCTCTTACCGGACAGGGCGGCTCGGGCGGCTCGGCTGCAGGGCGGCTCGGCGACTCGGCTGCTGGGCGGCTCGGCTGCTGGGCGGCTCGGCGGCTGGGCGGCTCAGCGGCTCGGCTGCTGGGCGGCTCGGCGGCTCTGCTGCTGGGCGGCTCGGCTGCTGGGCGGCTCGGCGGCTCGGCTGCTGGGCGGCTCGGTGGCTCAGCTGCTGGGCGGCTAGGCTGCTGGGCGGCTCGGCGGGGCCGCTGAGAGGGCGGCGTCCGGGGCCGCTGGGAGGAGGCGGCGGGGCCGCTGAGAGGAGGCGGCGTGGCCGGAAAGGTAGGTGGCGGGGCCGCGTCAGGGGCCGCGACAGGGGCCGCGTCAGGGGCCGCGTCAGGGGCCGCGGCAGGGGCCGCGTCAGGGGCCGCGGCAGGGCCGCGTCAGGGCGCCGCCAGGGGCCGCGGCAGGGGCCGCGTCAGGGCCGCGTCAGGGCCGCGGCAGAGCCGCGTCAGGGCCGCGTCAGGGGCCGCTTCAGGGCCGCGGCAGGGGCCGCAGCAGGCCGCGTCAGGGCCGCGTCAGGGGCCGCGGCAGGGCCGCGTCAGGGCCGCGGCAGGGGCCGCGTCAGGGCGCCGCGTCAGGGGCCGCGTCAGGGCGCCGCCAGGGGCCGCGGCAGGGCCGCGTCAGGTCCGCGTCAGGGCCGCGTCAGGGCCGCGGCAGAGCCGTGTCAGGGCCGCGTCAGGGGCCGCTTCAGGGCCGCGGCAGGGGCCGCGGCAGGCCGCGTCAGGGCCGCGTCAGGGGCCACGGCAGGGCCGCGTCAGGGCGCCGCCAGGGGCCGCGTCAGGCCGCGTCAGGGCCGCGTCAGGGCGCCACCAGGGGGCGCGTCAGGGGCCGCGATAGGGCGCCGGCAGGGGCCTCGTCAGGGCGCCGCCAGGGGCCGCATAGGGGGCGCGTGGGAGGCGGCGTAGGGGCCGCGTAGGGGCAGCGTAGGGGCCGCTAAAAAAAAAAAAAAAATAGGGCAGGGCGCAATGTGCGCGGGTAGCTAAAAAAAAAAAAAAAAAAATCTTATGGTGGGCCCTTAGGAAGGAACGGTCCCATGTAGGAACCCGCTCTATACCATGTGAATCAAGAAAACAGGAATGAAATGACTAAGTGAAAGTTGGGTACAAAAGGCAAACCCTAGGCAACTGTACCCCATATGTGCTACCCCACTATAGCCTACAGTAGCTATGTCATATAACTCTGACAGATTGCCCAGCCTGTTGCAAGCAAAGCAGCGCCCCTTAAACGGCGCGGCAGCTGCATTTGTCGCAACGGCGTTCACAGTGGCGTGCTCGATCGGTCCCCGAGGACGATGTCCGTAGTAGAACCCCGGTCTCGGCCGACGTAGGATGTCGATTTTCTCGGCGAGCGCGAGAATCTCGTTGAAATTCGAGAGCCCGCGTAGCATGATTTCGTACGAGATGTCCGGTTTCAGCCCTCCGACGTAACGGTCCACCCGCTCCGCTTCGTGCATGTAGCCGACCTGCTCGCAAAGTGCGAGAAAACCGCTCGTGTAATCTTGAACCGATCCGAGCTGCCGCCAAGTGCGCAATCTCTGACACGCCGAAATAGAAGCCGCGATCGGCTCGAAGCGCGCCCGAAGCCCTGCGCACCACGCATCCCACGTGCTGTATTGGGCGGTCTCGCAGAATGAACTCCAGGTGACAGCTGGACCCGTGGGCCCTTCCTCTTGCGACGGTGGCTCGTAGGCGCGTGGCGACGTCACGATGACTCGCCACCAGTCCATGGCGGGGCCCCTTAGCAGCGAAACGGCATACCGAATCTTCGCTGCGTCCGACTCGACGTAATTTGCGTCGAAGAAGACGTTCATCGTGAAGACCCACGATTGAACCGTCGGACCTCCACGTTGGCTCGGGTCGAAACAGGGCGGGCGTTGCGGCTTGAGTGGCATTGGTGCCATGAAGGCCTGTTCGTCACTTGTCGCCGCGAATTCCACGTGCCGACGGTCTTCGCGAGGCTCCCGCGGGCTTGGCGCGCCCCTGTTTCCTCCCATGCCAGGCATTGGTTGGGCGGCGCTATCACTGGCTGCGCCGGAGCGCTGTCCCATGCTGTCGTGTTGTGTTGGTGTACCGGACGAAATGACGATCGGCTCGTCCGATTGCGCAGGTGCATTTGTTGGTGCGTGTGGTGCTGCCGGAGTGTTCACCGTGGATTTCTGACGCGCGGAATCACGTTCCGCTGCGAGCGTCGCAATTTCGAGCGCCGAGTCTTCGAGTTGGCGCACCAGGCGGTCGAGTTGCTCCTGCGTCAATGTGGCGAGCGTGAATTCGGCCATGGCGGGGGTGTCGGGCGAGCTCAGCGAGAGCCTCAGTCGTGGCCGTGCGTGCTTACGAGAGAGCACTACGAGCGGCGGTGCTGTATCGCTGAGAGACGTCTACCCCCCCCAAAAATTTGAGATAGTGGGGAAGCGAAGGTGTGGGTGCGGTCCGAGAAGAGATCGTAGGCTCTGATAACCAAGTGTTACGAGTGCAATTGAGTGAACGAACGAGAATTGCACTATCGAAGCAAGAGTACAATGAGCGAAGGCATGAGCGAAGAATATATAGCGAAACTACAGTGGTAACGGTAATGGACTGTGGTTGTCGCGCGACGGGCCTGGGACTGAGGTTGGGAAAAGTGTCGAAACGGAGGCCCGGAGCACAGGTTACCCGCCGAGCCGTGAGGTCGGGGTGCGACGTGCGAAAGTGGCGGGTGGATTGTCGATGCGAGGATTGCGAGTGGTAACGGTGCTGACTGTGGTGCTACAGTGATGTACGCGTTGAGCAGGGATGCGAAGTAAGGAAAAAGAGGTTTTCCTTACACTTTGACAATCATATTCCTCTCGCAAGTAATGAGCCCAGTCGCGTGACAGATCTCCGAATAGTTGCAGGGTATATGTACTCGATATTGCAGCATTGCTCTTCACCACCTAGAGCTAATACGTTTTCACATTATGTTTCACAGTAAAGAAGCCAATGGAAGTTTCCAAAAACTCTTGCACTATTGGCAAAGACTGTACAAGAACACAAGCTATTTCACAGCCCACCCCCAAATGCTACGCTTCAGCCCACTCAAGCTACCAAAAACATCTCGTCCGCCTTGGAAGCTAGCCGAAAGGTTTCGAGGTTAGGGCCTCCCCCCAACATCGAAGCCCCTTCTGCTAAACTCGCGACTCTGACCGCAAAACTCGCTCTGAAGGCGCTTAGAACCCATAGGGAGTGTCGATGATGCTGAAATCAACGTCCACGTCCTCATCCTCCGCGGAGAACGCCCTGGGCTTGGGCTGGTGGCCCTTTGGCGGCAGGATGACATACTCGTGCTGGCGGGTGCTGCGCAACTTCTCGATCAGCTTCTCGTCCGCGTTAAAAGCCGCCTGCTGGATGGCGCGCGGCAGGAAGCGGTAGACGGAGTTGGCCCCCGCGAGGAAGCCCACCTGCGGGCGCGACTTGGTGATGAGCGCGATGTACTCGATGCCGTTGCCCGAGGCGAGCTGGGGGGGGTGGGGCGGCGGGGGGGAAGAAACGGGGGGAGCGAACAATGAGCGGTAGACGGAGTTGACCCCCGCGAGGAAGCCGAACTGCGGGCGCGACTTGGTGATGAGCGCGATGGATGCCGTTGCCCGAGGCGAGCTGGTGTGGGAACGATTGGGGGGCACAAAATCAATACTAGCGGGAGGAGCGATGGGAGCGTGGGTGCAAATCACAATAGCATGATAAAGCGTGACGCAATAGGATGGTATAGAATCTTCCGAGCAAAAAACGGAATTACCGTGGCGTGCGGGAGGCCGGGCGGGATGACGATCAACTCGCCCTGCTTCACGTCGCGCCGCACCGCGGTGCGCCCATCGGAGTGGGTCATCTCGAACCGTCCCTGCCCGTTCAGCACGTAGATCAGCGCCGCGCTGTTAGCCAGCCAATGCGGCGCCGCAAGCGCGTTCTGCTCCAGCTCGAATCGCGCAGCCGAGAACCCAACCTTGCGGAACATCGGAAGCTTCCAGCCACTCGCCCAGGTCACGCGGCCCGCGCCCTCGCGCTCAATATCCGCCTCGTTCTCAATCAAATTGTACGAGAAGTCGCCGAAGATGTTCTCCCCGGAGCGCGCATTGAGAGCGTCGATCGCGGCGTTAAGTGCGTCGACCTGGCTCCTCTGCTGGACCTTCACAAAGGCGGTTTCCTTCTGCCCCTGCAGCAGCTGCTTCACGTCGTTCTCCTCCACGTTCCACGCGCGTGCGAGCAGATCGGAGCTGAAAATGGGGCGGGGTAAGTGAGGATACAAGGTTAAAAAGTGCAGAGCCACTGATAGGGGTAGGTAGCGCGAGACAGAAAAAAAACGCACAACCGCAAACGAGCGAAACCGTCACATGATTTCTTCAGTCGCACCTGAAGCCGTGCAGGATACCACCGCTCTGCTCCTTCTGTGCGCCGATGAGGTGGAACGACGTGTACTGGCCGCGCTGCGGGCCCTTGGAGGTGTCGGCCATGGCGACCGCGCGGAACGGCTGGTTGCCGCTGTTCCACGCCCAGTGCGCCCACCCGCGCGGGTGGATGTACGCGTCGCCCTTGCGCAGGCGGCGCATGTTGGTGGGCATGCCGAGCGGCGTGATGAGACCGACGCACGCCTCCCCCTCAATCACGTAGTTGATCTGCGGAGTAGGACAAGGAAGCCAGGCAAGGAGAAACCAGTGAGGAAGGCGGAAGATCGTATCCAGAGACGAGTGCACGCACTTACCCCGGACGCGGCACGTCAGCAATTCGACATGACAACAGAGAAACGCAGCATCAACAAGGAGGAGGAGTGCAGGGGGGCTCAAGAGAGAATAGGCAGAATAACAAGAGGCGCGGGAGGAAGCGTACCATGGCGGAGTCGGCGTAGTGAGGCAGCGCCAGGGACTGGCTCTCGACCGTGACGATGCCAGCACCGATGTCCGCATCCTGTGAAGGACCGAGAGGAAGGGGTAAAGGGTAAAAAAGAAACCAAGAATGAGAACGAGGAACAATTGACGTTGCAGTCTGCGTACACAGGAACGGAAGCAATAGTGGGTCTCAGTTATGGGTGGAAGCTGGACGTCGTGGAAATGAGACACAAAAAGCTCGAAGTTCAACTTGAGAAGGGCACAGGAAACTGTACCTGAAGCTGCTTGAAGTCGGGGCTCCACACTTCCACGCGTCCGCCGCTGCTCTTGAACATCTCCTGGGGCTGCCCGGGAATGAACTCCTTCTCGTCGTTGGCGGGGGAGCCATAGCGCGCCGAGGCGCACCCCACCAGGCAGAACGCGAGCAGCGCTAGCACCAACGCGCGACCCATGACGACAGCTAGCTGGCACGAGGTTCCGAATCGAGGGATCGAGTACAGGCTTGCCGGGAAACGCGCAAGGCGAGGGGAGAGAGCGAGAGAGCCGCAAGACGGGATAGGAAGAAAACTCAAAGAACCGCACACACTGAGGATGAGGAAGCACGCTCGACTTATATAGATGCAGCGTGGGGGCTCGTTGCGGCTAGGAGCGCAGGGGGTAAGCTGCAACGAGCGTTGATGGCTAGCTGCTAGGAGCGCTGGGAACAAGTTGAGATGGAAGCTGCTGCGCTGCGTTACGCGCCCACTTGTTCGAACGGAGCGCGCTCTCATCCCCTCGAGCCGCCTCGAAAGTGGCGGAGGAGTAATTCTTCTTTGTACGCTCTACATGGCGGCTCGCAACGACTCGGGAATCCATCCAGCACGAAACATCACTTGACGCCTGATGGTAAGCGGTGCACACATGGCCTAGTGCCTGCCCAGTATCGCACATGGCATAGGATGGCATGGCATTCCATGGTGCCTGCTACCGCACATAGCATTGCATGGCATCGACCCTGATAACCGCGGTGCATGCAACTTCCCGTGATTTTCCACTTGTTGCGCGCATGCTGCAAGTCTAGATCGCCATGTGACGGAGAGCTATGTGTCTTACTGTCGTTCGCGACTATGGTCTTCATAACGAACGATGGAGCCACTGCAATTCGTTACACGAGTGGAAGTTAGTGATAGTGCTTCCGAAGGGTGAGGCAGACGGGTATTACGAGGACGGGTGTTCCGAGGTAGACGGCAGCGCGGTTTCTGTCTGATGGAACAGGTGTGGATCTCTGAACTGAAGGCATACACCATGCAACGGTCCTCCTAGGTATCCTGTTTCCTAAAAGGCCCCTAAACGACTGCCACGTCCTGCTTGTTTTGAATGTTGTCGAAACCTTTGTGGCGAACGCTCACAGATAACTCGAAGCCCACGACAACTCTGGACCTGCAATCTGGGTAAGGGGCGACCGCATCAGTCCATGCAATGCAATACGTGCAGGCCGCACGAGCATAATCCTGTGCATATTTCTAGGCATGTGAGGTGAGGGCGATGCAGTTGGAATTTCTCCTGCGGATAACGTGCTTGCGTGGACTGGATGTCAGAGGCAGCGGTTGCAACTGATTGGCCGCCGAGTGCGAAGACCGCCGAGTGCGGGTCATTGATCTACCTGCAGTTGGCGCGCGATAGGCCATAACTCTTTCACTACACTATTACCAATTTTGGAAGGTAAAACACGAAATATTGTACAGAAGTGTCATATTTGCAAAGATTCTCATTGCCGGTTAAAACTACATAAGTTGTCGAAGGGCTAACAATACAGAAAATACAACTTTTCTACCTATACGTGTCAGGACAGGTTGAAACAAAGCCATTTTGAAGAACCTTCAAGTATCAATCACATCACTCTAGCATAGGAGCCTCAAACCAAGCATGTTGTATTTGAACTTTCAACTCCACATGCTTCAGTTCAGTCACACCTGTCAACATTCTCGTTACTAGTGACATGGGATGGGGATGGAGAAACACATGCAGAAGGAAAATGGGCCAACAAAATCCAGAACATTTGGTTGGGAAACAACCAAGAAGCATCTTCCACGAGTGCGTATACCATGAAAAATAAAGGCTACTATTTGTTCTTTATTTATTTATTCAGTCCACTTTCCTCTCGCACTCACCAGGTGTGCTGGGCCACAATCACAAACAAAAAGCCCCCACTCAGTGCAAGCACGGTCGGCCTCTCTTCCGAGGCCTCTCCATCTGCCACACGTGGTGTTTGCGGGGTGATGGGAGATGCGGGATGGAAGATAGAGATGGGAATGGAAGATGGGGGGTGCGATGGAAGCCGACATCGGAAATGGGGGATGGGGGGTGCGATGGAAGCCGACATCGGAAATGGGGGATGGGGGAGTGGGCGGTGAGAGATGGCCTCAGAAAGGTCTCGGGAAGTTAAAGCGGCCTTTAAACCCTGAACCCTGAACCATCCCTCAACTTGTTGATCGAACTTACCATTTCCATTGCAGCACCAGCCTCCTCCCCCACATACTCCACCTCCACGTCCTCCTCTTCCTCCTCCTCATCCCCCCCTGCTCCCCCTGCTCTCCAGATATACCCTTTTCAAGACACCTGAATTTGATCAGCACACTCACCATTTCCATTGCGGCACCGGCGTCCTCTCCCACATATTCCACCTCCACGTCCTCCTCTTCCTCCTCCTCATCGCCCCCTGCTCCCCCCACCACAGCAGCAAGCGACGCGCCCTTGACTTTAACGAGGTGCCAGAGGTGGCCCTGTGTGTCATACACCATTGACGGCCGCAGCTCCCATGGCCGCACCTGCTTCTGCCCCATCTCCCCGTACCCTGCCACAACAGGAGGGGAGGGGAAGAGGAGCAGGGGGAGAGCAGGGGGGGAGCAGGGGGAGAAGCAGCGGCAAGGGGCAGGGAGGGGAGCAGGAAGGGGAGAGAGGGAAGAGAGGAGTGGCAGTAAGCAGCGAGAGACGTGCCCTTGACTTTAACGAGGTGCCAGAGGTGGCCCTGTGTGTCATACACCATTGACGGCCGCAGCTCCCACGGCCGCACCTGCTTCTGCCCCATCTCCCCGTACCCTGCCACAGCAGGAGGGGAGGGGAAGAGGAACAGGGGGAGAGCAGGGGGGGAGCAGAGGGAGAAGCAGCGGCAAGGGGCAGGGAGGGGAGCAGGAAGGGGAGAGAGGGAAGAGAGGAGTGGTAGTAAGCAGCGAGCGACGCGCCCTTGACCTTGAGGAGGTGCCAGAGGTGGCCCTGTGTGTCATACACCATTGCGGCCGCAGCTCCCATGGCCGCACCTGCTTCTGCCCCATCTCCCCGTACCCTGCCACAGCAGGAGGGGAGGGGAAGAGGAGCAGGGGGAGAGCAGGGGGGGAGCAGGGGGAGAAGCAGCGGCAAGGGTTGGGTGTGGAAGAAACGTTCTGAGGCGCCTCAGGAATCACATCTGCTTCTGTCTCATCTCACCATACCCTGCCGTCAGGTGGGACGAAGAGAAGGGGAGATGAGGTGAGGAAGAGAAGGAGGTAGGGGCGAGCAGGTGAAAAAGGTGTTTTGAGAGTTCTCAGAAGCAACCAGCAAGAATAGGAGGGAAGGCGAAACAATTGAACCTTCAGTGGATAAAGACATGGCGTGTTGAGTGGGCAACTATTTTCGAGGTGCCTCAAAGGTCAGCAAGCGGCAGTTAGAACAAAAAAAGGGGGGGGCGGGGGGGGGTATGTTCTTTGGCAGTAGCTGGCGAGCAGCTACTTTACTCGCCTCGCGAAGAGATGTAGACATGGCAAGTGACCTTCAGACGAAGAGTGTGAAGGAAAGTACCTGGAAACTCCACAGTGAAGCCCCTGATTTTAGGTCCCTGTGCGTCCACTGCAGTCACGACCCCCTCCCACCACCTGTGCCGGTCCAGGGAAGGGGGACAGTGGTAAATGGGGAGCGAGGGAAGAAAAGGAGCGGAGAAGATTTTGGGACCCTGTGCGTCCACTGCTGTGACGACCCTCTCCCACCACCTGTGTTGCCACAGGGATTAAGGGAGAGGGGGACATGAAATGAGAGGTGGAGGGGAAGAGATGGAGAGGGGTTGAGAGGGGAAGATAGAGAGGGGGTGGTGGGGAAGAGAGTGAGAAAGACCACATGCGTCGACCCTTTCCCCCACAGCCCACACCCTCTTCCTAATGACAACCTGCGCCGCTTCCTACAAATTCTTGCGTCAATCAAAAGCTAATCACCCCTCCACTCACCCGTCGTCAACCCACGCGTCGACTCTGTTTCCCACGGCCCACACGCGCCCCATGGCAACCCGCCGCCGCCTCCCCCTCTCCCTCCCCGGCCTCAGCCGCCTCTCCGGCTGCGCGCCCTTCCTCTGGGGAGCTGATGGTACGCCTGAGACGAAACGAGAAGCGTCGCTTGCAGTAGGGGAGGGCGGGACCAGCCCCACCCACTCCTCCAACTGGTGGGTGCCTGGTTTGGGAAGAATGAAGGAAAAAAGGTAGGGGGGAATAGGAAGTGGAGCGCAGAGGTTGGGCCAGGTGAAAAAAGGGGCCTTAGCCGCCTCTCAGACGCCTCTCAGCCGCCTCTCCGGCTGCGCGCCCTTCCTCTGGGGGGCTGAAGGTACGCAGAGACGAAGCGGGAAGCCTCACTTGCAGCAGGGGAGGGCAGGACCAGCCCCACCCACTCCTCCAACTGGTGCGTGCCTGAAGAGGGGGAGGAGGGGGAAAGGGGATGAAAAAGGAGGTTTCAGCCGCCTCTCAGCTGCCTCTCCGGCTGCGTGCCCTTCCTCTGGGGAGCTGACAGCACGCCTGAGACAAAGCGGGAGGCGTCACTTGCAGAAGGGGAGGGCGGGACGAGCCCCACCCACTCCTCCAACTGGTGGGTGCCTGGTGTAGTGAAGAAGGACGGGAAGGTAGCAGTGGGGTTAAGCCGCCTCACAGCCGCCTCTCAGGCTGCGCGCCCTTCCTCTGCGTCGCATGCAGAGGAGGGCGGGACCAGCCCCACCCACTCCTCCAGCTGATGGGTGCCTGGAGAGAGGTGGGGAGGGTGGGTGGGAGAAGAGGAAGAAACGGGATTCAGCCGCCTCTCAGGCTGCTGGCCCTTCCCCTCTGGGGGGCTGACGGAACAGCACGCCCAACACGAAGCAGGAGGCGTCACCCGCTGGCCCGTCTCACATGTGCAAGAGCGTGATCAACACGTCATGTGTCACGCACTGACCATCATCGTCCTGCAGCTCGTCGTATCGCACCAACGCCCGGCTGCCCACAATCTGCAGCACCGTGCCCGTGAAGCCAGGCTGCAAGCAAGCAGCAATCGCCAGGCACTCACCACAAGGCACTGATACCCATGCCCCCTCATCTCACCAACGTCGTCCAGCAGCTCGTCGTATCGCACCAACGCCCGGTTCCCCACAATCTGCAGCACCGTGCCCGTGAACCAGCTTCCCCTCAGGCCCTCCTCGTTGGACGCCACCTGTGGCAGTGAGGGCGATAAAGGAGTGCAAAGGAGTGCAGGCACACAGATGCGTGGGTGGGGAGACGGTGAGTTGCCCACGATCTGCAGCACCGTGCCCGTGGTGAACCAGCTGCCCCTCAGGCCCTCCTCGTTGGACGCCACCTGTGGCAGTAAGGGAAAGAGGCAAAGGAGTGCAGGCACAGAAGCGCGTATATGGGGAGATAGCGAGTTGCCCACTATCTGCAGCACCGTGCCCGTGAACCAGCTACCCCTCAGGCCCTCCTCGTTGGACGCCACCTGTGGCAGTGAGGGGGGAAAAATAGGCAGGAGAGGCATGACAGTGCAAGCACACAGACACATAGGTTATGCGGAGACGGTGAGTCGCTGGCTGAGTCGATTTACAAAGCTATGTGAAAGCAGGCATGCCCGATACATGCTATACCATACGTGCCATGCCCCATACATGCCATACCATACGTGCCATGCCCCATACATGCCATACCATACGTGCCATGCCCCATACATGCCATACCATACGTGCCATGCCCCATACATGCCATACCATACGTGCCATGCCATGCCCCGTACATACCTCTACAAAGGACCCCACAGTGAACATGTGTCGCAGAGTCTGTTGAATCGACTAAAAGGTCAAGAACCAAGAGGCCACGCCCCACACATAGCTCTGAAACAGGCCATGCCATGCACACGCCCTTTACATACCTCTACAAAGGACCAAACAGTGAACATGTGTCGCAGAGTCTGTTGAATCGACTGAAAGGTCAAGAAAACAAAGGGCGGCCATTCCCCATACCAAACATAGCTCAAAAGCTAAGGTCATGCCCCGTAAATACCTCTACAAACGACCCCACAGTGAACTTGTGTCGCAGAGTCTGTCCCCCCTCTTCCTCCGCCTCCTCCTCCCCTTCCTCCTCCCCATACTCCCCCCCGCCCTCCATCTCCCCCCGCGACCTCTTCCCCACCCGCCACTCCCCCCCTTCCTCCCCCTCATCCTCCCCTTCGCCCCAGACTGACTTGCGCCCACGCCCCCTCCCCCTCCCCCTGCCCCTGCCCCTCCCCCTGCCCCTCCCCCTCCCCCTTCCCCTGCCCCTTCCGCTTCCCCTCCCCCCAGGCGTCCCCTCATACCCCTGAAACGCCACAGGGCTCACCCCTCCGCCTACCACTCCCCCCATCCCCCCCCCTACTCCTCCCCCTATCCCTCCCCTCCCCCCCGATCCTCCTCCCCCTCCCCCAAACCCTTCCTCCTCCGTCCACGTGGCAGCTCCCGATTCGTCCATAAGAGAAGCCCCCTGCACCCCTTCCAACCCCTCCACTTCCTCCTCGTCCTCCTCCTCCTCCCACACCCCATCTCCCATCTTCCCAAGCTCCCTAGCCGTCCTCCTAACCCTCCTTGGCTTAACCTGCAGCGCAAGAACATACTTCACCCCTCCTTTCTCCCCCTTCCTCCCTCCTCTCCCCCTTCCTCCCCCGCCCCCCTCCCTCCACTCCCTCCCCTCCTCCTCCATCATTATCAACCCCACCTTACTCCTATAATACTTAACTAAGTCCCACGCTGACTTGGCAGCGGCAGCCGACGCGCGGGCCACAGCAGCAGCAGCCAATGCCTGGGCAGCCAGCTTCCCTGCTGAGCTGTCAGCCTCCACGTGGCAGTTGTCCACCTCATAGAGCTCCTGCCACATGGCGTCCAGGTCACGATCGAGAGCCAGCATGGCTTTGCCTGCACTGACAGCCGAGTCCTTCGCCATTAGCAGCGCTCGGTCTGCTGCCTCGCACCAGCCGTCTAGAAGGGGACCGGCGGGTTTGGTGGGGGTAGGGGCCGAGGGGGTGGCGGCTGCTGTAGCAGCAGGGGAAGTAGTTATAGCAGCAGCAGCAGCAGCAGCAGCGGCATGGGGAGCATCTGTGATGGCAGTAGCATCAGTAACAGCAACCTCATGAGAGGCTGTAGCAGCAGCATCGGCAGTAGCAGCAGCATCGGCAGTAGCAGCAGCATCGGCAGTAGCAGCAGCTATGGCTGTAACAGCAGCATCGGCTGTAGCAGCAGCATCAGCTGTAGCAGCAGCATCGGCTGTAGCAGCAGCATCGGCTGTAGCAGCAGCATCAGCTGTAGCAGCAGCATTGGCTGTAGCAGCAGCATCAGCTGCAGCAGCAGCATCAGTAGTAGCATCATCAGCAGGTGCAGCAGCAGCATCGGCTGTAGCAGCAGCAGCATCCGTTGCAGCAGCATCAGCAGGTGCAGCTTCACTTTCAGCAACAACGGTTGCAGCAGCATCAGTTATAACCACATCAGCAGTTGCAGCATCAGTGGTAGTAGCATCAGTAGTTGCAGCAGCATCGGTAGTAGCGGCATCAGTAGTAGCAACAGCTGCAGCAGCAGAATCGTCAGGAACAGCACCATCAGGCGCATCAACAGCAGCTGTAGCAGCAGCAGCTTCATCATCAGCAGCTGTAGCAGCAGCAGCAGCTTCATCAGCAGCAGCTGTAGCGGCAGCAGCTTCATCAGCAGCACTACCATCAGCCACGTCAGCAGCAGTGGTAGCATGAGGGGCATCGGCGTTGCTTCCCTGTGCTTGCTCCTGCTTCTCTATGCCAGATGCTTCCTCTGCAGGCACTTTCTCTGCTGCTTCCTCTGCAGGCACCTTCTCTGCTGCTTCCTCTGCAGGCACCTTCTCTGCTGCTTCCTCTGCAGGAACCTTCTCAGCTGCTTCCTCTGCAGTCACCTTCTCGGCTGCTTCCTCTGCAGTCACCTTCTCGGCTGCTTCCTCTGCAGTCACCTTCTCTTCGGTTTCCATAGCATCTGCTCCCTTTTCATCACTTCCCTTTGTTGCTTCTGCTGCATCAGCTGTAGCAGCCTCGGCTGTGGCAGCATCGGTTGCAGCAGCATCGGTTGTAGCAGCATCAGTTGTAGCAGCATCACCTGTAGCAGCATCAGCTGTAGCAGTGGCAGCAGCATCGGCTGCAACAGCAGTATCCTTGGCATCTGTTTCCATTGTGTCTGCTCCCTTTTCCTCACTCCCCTTAGTTGCTTCCGCTACCTCAGCTGTAGCACAATCGTTTGTAACAGCAGCAGCAGCATCGGCTGTAGCAGCACCATCAATTGTAGCAGAGGCGTCTGCGTCTGTTTCCATTGTGTCTGCTTCCTTCTCATCACTACCCTTAGCTGCTTCCGCTACCTCAGCTGTAGCACCCTCGGTTTCAGCAGCCGCGTCATCAGTTGTAGCAGCAGCAGCAGCATCGGTTGTAGCAGCAGCAGCTGCATCGCGTGTACCAGGGTCTTCCTTTGTATCCTCGTCCATTGTGCTTGCTCCCTTCTCGTCTGTTCCCTTAGCTGCTTCTGCTGCATCAGCTGTAGCAGCATCGGCTGTAGCAGCATCAGCTGTAGCGGCATCACCTGTAGCAACAGCGCCCTCCTTCGTATCTGTTTCCATAGCGCCTGCTGCTCCCTTCTCCTGACCTTCATCAGCTGCTTCCTTCGCATCACCTGTAGCAGCATCAGCTGTAGCAGCAGCGGCGTCAGCTGTCGTAGCAGGAGCGTCAGCTGAAGCAGCAGCAGTAGCATCAGCTGTAGCAGCATCCACTGAAGCAGCAGCATCCTCCTTTGTATCCACTTCCATAGTGTCAACCTCCTTTCCAGCGCCAGCAGCAGCAGCAGCAGCAGCAGTATCAGCAGCACCAGCATCAGCAACAGTATCAGCCACCGCAGCAGGAACAGCAGCAGAAACAGCACCTCCAACACCAGCATCATCAGCAACACCAGCACCAGCAACCTCATCCTTCTTCTCCTCTCCTCCCTTCCCCTCCTCCTTCCCCTTCGCCCCATCCACACACACCAACCCAAGAGCAGCAGCGGCATGCTTCCCTGCCACCGCAGCAGCAGCAGCCGCCCTCCCAGCAGCTTCCTCTGCAATCGCCCTATCCGGGGCCAAACCCAACAGATACTCCCTCGCCTCTTCCTCCTCCACTTTCCCCCACGCCGCCCTCCCCAAAACCGCCCCCAATTTCTGCGCTTCTGCAGGGATTCTAGGCCCGACTCGGTATTTTCTGTGGGGAATTTCCCCGTCGATTTCCCCTGGATTACCCTCTTCCCCTTCCATTCCCTCCGAATCCCACACTCCCCCTCTCCTCATCCCCCCTGCCCCCATCCCGTTCCCTGCGTAATACCCCTCCTCCCCTTCTTCCTCCCCTTCTTCCCCCGGGTATTCCCCCCTGCCCCCATATCCCCCCCCATGGGCAGCATACGCGCCCCTTCTCCCCCTCCCCCTCCCCCGCCCCCTGCCCCTCCCCCTACCTCGGCCCCGACCTCTCCCCCTGCCTCGGCCGCCCGAGGCTTGGTAGCCAATCATGCGCTTGCGCTCCTCCCAAGCCTCCACCACTTCAAGCCAGCGCTCATGCTCCGGTGTGCCTAGGTCTGGTTGGAGGGAGTGGGAATGAGTGCGAATGTATGGGAAGGAGTGGGACGGATTGCTGTAAGCATAGGGCGTGCTCTGGCATGCGCTTGCGCCCCCCCCAAGCCTCAACCACCTCGAGCCAGTGCTCATGCTCCGGCGTGCCTAGGTCTGGTTGGAGGGAGTGGGAATGAGTGCGAATGTATGGAAAGGAGTGGGACGGATTGCTGTAAGCATAGGGCGTGCTCTGGCATGCGCTTGCGCCCCCCCCAAGCCTCCACCACCTCGAGCCAGCGCTCATGCTCCGCTCCGGCGTACCTAGGTCTGGATAGGAGGTGTGGGAAGGAGGGAAGGAGAGAAAGAGGAATGAGGGATGACGAGGAAGAAAATGGGAGGGATTCGAGAGTAGAATACGACACTAAAACTATTTTTTATTCAAGGTAGTCACACCAATCGCAAGCAAGACGCAATATGTGGAAACGACATCTGAGAAGGGACAAGGGCCGTACCTGAGGGCATGGAGGCAAAGACGAGATTCCGCAGCTCCTCCTCCAAAGGCTCCTTGCGACTGGTGCATGGGCGTGGGGGGGAGATGGGGTGAGGGTGGGGGTTATGGCCATGGGCAGTTACACCTGTGGGTGTGACTATGGCCATGGGCAGTTACACCTGTGGGTGTGACTATGGCCATGGGCAGTTACACCTGTGGGTGTGACTAAGGCCATGGGCAGTTACACCTGTGGGTGTGACTATGGCCATGGGCAGTTACACCTGTGGGTGTGACTATGGCCATGGGCAGTTACACCACCTGTGTGTGTGACTGTGCTTACTTTCACAGTGACACGACTCAAAAGATGCACCCCATAGAAGAGAATGCGCGTTTCGATCAGATCCATCTAGCAGTTTAGGCAGGCAGGCAGGCAGGCAGCATCACCAGGCTGCCCATTGCTCACTGCCAACCAACCCTCTCACTACCAGCACTGTATACAGTCACACCCCGTTACGTCACATTTTCTACAGTCACACGACTCACAAGATCCGCCCGTAGAAGAGGATGTGTGCTTCGATTTGACCCAGCAGCATCGGCAGCATCATCAGGTTGCCCACTGCTCACAGCCAGCCAACCCTCTCACTACCAGCACACTGTCACACCCCGTATAATCACACAGTGTACAGTCACACCACTTACAAGATGCGTCCATAGAACAGGATGTGCGCTTCGATCTGATCCAGCAGCATGGGCAGCATCATCAGGTTGCCCACTGCCGGCCCGGGCGGCGGCTGTGGCAGCTGCTGCTGCATCAGAATCAGATCTGCCGCCTCCACACTTGACAGAATCCGATCCGTTGCCTCAGTGCCAGCCAGGACCATCTCCTTACCGCCCGCTCCCGCCCCTTCTGCTGCCCCTGCACCTTCTCCTCCTCCTGCTGCCGCTGCTTCGGCCTCCCCTGCTGCAGCTTCTCCTGCTGCTGCTTCACCTGCTGCCATTCCTCCTGCTGTGGCTTCTCCTTCCACGTAAGGCTGTGCCACGTGTCCTTCCATCTGTCCCTCCACGTGTCCCTCCATCTGCCCCTCCACGTGTCCCCCCATCTGCCCCTCCACGTGTCCCTCCATCTGCCCTTCCGCATACCCTCCAGCCTCCCCACCAACCGCATATGCATGCGCCCCCTCTTGCCCGTACCCCTCATGTGCCTGGCCCTGCTCTCCCGTGTACCCACCCTGAGGCTCCCCCTGTTCCCCCTGAGCATACCCTTCATCAACCATCCCCATCCCTTCATTACCCTGAGTAATATACCCTTCTTGCGCCCCTGCTCCTGTGTACCCTTCATGGGTCCCCGCTTCAGTGTATCCCTCCGCGCCCCCGGCCATGTGTGCTGCTTCCGCTTCCCCCTGCATCCGCACCCCTTCCATTCCCGCCCCACCAGCCCCTGCCGCACCACCTGCTGCTGCCGCTTCTGCTTCTGCTGCTGCGGTGTCAGCGGCAGCAACAGCAGCAGCGTAGGCATCAGCATCAGGTTTAGCCGCCATATATCCAGCTTCAACAGACGCATCACCAGCATCAGCGGCATCAGCAGCAGCAGTAGGTGCGTATACCACCTCTCCTCCTTCCCCCACCACTGCTCCTTGTTGCTGCTCCTGCATTTCCACATCTCCTCCTAACGGCTGCCCCGCATACTCCTGCCCCTCCTGCTGCTGCTGCCCCGCATAAGCCTCCCCCTCTTGCTGCTGCCCCGCATAAGCCTCCCCCACATACCCCTGTGCCCCGTACTCCCCACCCCCATGCTCCTGCGCTGCATACTCGTGCACCATATGCTCCCCCCCTGCATGCGCCTCCCCCCCATGGCCCCCATGCTCTCCCCCCGCCTGCGCCTCCCCTTCATGCGGCTGCCCCCCATGCTCCCCATGCTCCCCATGCTCCCCGTGCTCCCCGCCCGCGCTGCCCACTGCGCCAACCTGCTGCTCGTATTGCGCATCTCCCCCCACTCCCCCCTGCTCGCCCGTTCCCCCCTGCACCATCTCCCCTTCATGCGCCATCTCGCCCCCTGCCACCTGCCCCTCTCCCCCCACCATCTGCGCCTCTTCCGCTGTTTCCCCATCAGGTTTCACATCCATACCCATCCGAAGCCGAAGCACTTCATCCCCCTCCTGCTCATCTATATGCTCTCCCATATGCTCTCCCTCCCCTTGTCCTCCCTCCCCCATAACCTCCCCCTCTCCCCCCACCACTTGCCCTCCCTCCCCCATCACCTCCCCCTCTCCCCCCACCACCTGCCCCCCTTCCAGGCCTCCCTCTCCCACCTTCACATCCAGGCCCATACCCGTTATAGGCTGCCCCTGCTCCTGCTGCCCGTACGCACCACTCCCATCACCATGCTTCACATCCATACCCATCCCCTCTACTGGCGGAGCCGCTTCCGCCTCCCCCTGTGCGTCCCCCACTGGCGGAACAGACTCCTGGTTACCACCCTGCGGTTGGCTCTCCTCTGCAGGAGCAGATTCCTCTGCAGCAACAGGTTCCTCTGTAGGAGCATACACCTCTGCACCAGTTCCGGTTCCCTCTAGCGCGCCTGCTGATGTCCCCTCCGCTGGTGCCATTTCCTCTGCAGGAGCAGATTCCTCTGCAGGTGTTTCCGCAGCAGGGGGAGAAACCTCAGGGGCAGCATCGGCAAGAACCTCCCCACCAACCGCAGTGATCGCAGCTTGTGCATCAGCCACGGGAGCAGGCTCAGCAGGAACTGGTTCGGCAGCAGGCTCAGTTGTAGGATCTGGAACAGCGTCATTAAGAAGGGGGAGGGGGAGGGGGGAAGGTGGTGAGGGATAGCAAGTCAAGCTTACGTTAACAAAGAGGCTTCGTTTATTTCAGAGGCGAAAGAAACCTCGAACCAGTATGAAGGTTCACTTTAACGTGGATGGCCACTGACAAGGTAAGCGAAGTGAAAAGCGAGTGAAGTTACACTGGAAAGCTTTTCCATAGGGAAATTATATGTGAATAAGAGCGATAATATGCTTGAAAATAGGGAAAACAAAATGGTCACCGTTAAAACATACCTGACTCTCCCAGCATGTCGTCCAGAAGGTTCTCCGCATCTTCCGTTATCACCGTCGTCGGCGCTGCCGTCGTTCCTTCCGCGTCCCTTCCGTCGCCTTCCAGCTCCGCCGCCGCCGCCGCTGCCGCGCTCTCGTGCGCTGGGTAACCCGCATCAGCCGCCGCATCTGGCGCCGCATCGGACGCCGGGAAACCCGCATCCGTCGCCGCGAAGTATTCAGCGGCGCTCGATCCTGGCTCCGCCGCCGCTTCCGGTGCTGAGAAAGCGTGTCCATCCTCGTTAGAAGGTGCCTCGACACCCTGCACAGTTTCTTCCATCTCCACGCCCTCCATTGGCGCTTCCGCGTACGCGTGACTGTCGGGTATTTCCTCCATACGGCGCCTTCGTTAGAAGCACAAGAGTGGCGAAACTAATGGCCCGCGAGACTGTAACGAGAGACGTAATAGCGGGACAAGAAGCGGAGGGGAGACGGCGAAATTTTGAGACTGTAGCGAACCTGTCCCAAAAGAACAAGGACTCGAAAAAGGTGAAAAAAACCGGAAAAGTGACGTTGTCGGTAGTGTAGAGAAGGGAGCGACGACAAAGGTCACAGAAGCTGCGCGAAGCTAACTAAGTCAAGGAGAAATAAACCACGAGAAAAAGTGAAGCACGTCTTGTGAAATTTTAAAATAGTACTATGATGCCGTCGGATGGGGAAGCGAAAGCGCGACGCATTCTAACGACAGTGGGCAATACTAGACGACGCCAAATGCAGCCCCTAGGATCGCGGACAGAAAACTCGAAGGTTGGAAAAGAAACGAACTAGTTCAAATACATGAGGCAACTGCAGCAACTGCGGCGTTCGTCCCGCAACTGTACAACGAAGCTAAGAAGGTAACCTTGACTTTCCGTAACTCGTACTAATGGCACACGCTTTGGACTTCTACAGCCGTAAATCCTCGTAAACTCGAGACACTAGCGTGGGGCACTTACTAAGTGAACAAAAACGCGGTGGTGCTTTGTTAGCAAAAGCAGATGAACATTCCTGCCAGGAATCGATTTCAAATGTGCGCTACGACTGCGACACTCGCAAACTCGCGCGACCTGGGCTAACTGCAGACCGGAAAGAAAGAAAAGGCAAAGCAGATATAGATGGCGAGCATAATAAAATCGAGTTCAGCAGTTTGTAACTTCAAACTCTCGAAAGCTCGAAAACCTGGAAAACCTGAGAACCTGGGAACCCAGCGGGAAACAGAAAAAGGAAGTGAGAGAATATATACGACAATACAATCGAGGAGAACCAGCCGCTATCGTTGTAATTGCGACAGTATCGAGGGGAAGGGGAGCGAATACGTTGGCCGGAACTGTTTCGTTGAAACCCTAGCGGCACCATAAGGAGGGTAAAGCGATCGGCGTAAGGGAAAGGATAAGGATTCGAAGAAACTGTTCAAGACTTGCGATGGTGCAGTACGGTTCAATAGCTGGCACAAGAGACCAAGATGCTACTCCGGTAACAACAGCCTCGGTGTGCGACTGCCATCCAATGACCCCTACAAAACACTTCGAATAACGAGACGCCTATCTTTTGTGCAACACCCCATTACAATATTGGTGTAAAATTCCACATTCCTTCCAGACTCAAATTGCCAGGATATGGTAATAGCAATCGCAAAGAGGACAAATAACTTGTAGTTTACAACCAAGCCCTCAGAGTCATGTGCAAAAGCCAGGCCATAATAATACAATGCAGGCATCAGGAAAGCATAACTATCTTTAAATACCATTTCCATCATACACATACGTGTTGTACTCATCCTTCGCATAACTTTCGTAACTACTAGTACCGGACTGCTGCTTCTGCTGATACGGCTTGATATCAAGACCTGCCAACTTGATGCCACCACCACCAGCACCGCCCATACCACCGAATTCCGAACCAGCAGATGCCCCAGCACCCACCCCACCAGCACCACCACCAGCCCCAGGCCTCATCGCACCCATCCCGCCCCGACCATGCCCCATCGAATCATAAGCCCCCATACCCCCACCCATGCCCCCGCCCATACCCCCACCCATGCCCCCACTCATACCCCCATGCATACCCCTACCCATGCCCATGGCCCCCATTCCCCCCATTCCTCCCATTCCTCCCATGCCCCCCATCCCCCCCACGCCCCCCATTCTTCCCATGCCCCCCATTTCTGCCATCTCCCCACTCATACTCCCCCCTCCCCCACTGTAAGCCGAACCAGGTGCGCCAGGCACATGCATGTTCCCACCGCCTGCCTGAAGCTCCCGCGCTGTCAGCACGTATGCCACGTCAGCAGTAGCGCCTGACGCCACAGATAGCTCCAAAAAGACCTTGCCGCCCACGATCTGCCGCCCGACGGCTGACACCGGGCGGTCGTCTCCAATGAATGTGTCGAGGCCTGATGGGGGGTGGAAGAAGGAAGTCAGGAGGCATTGACTTGGGGCTGACTTGAGCTGACCTGGTAAACTGCGACTGACACGGGGAGGTCGTCTCCCTCAACGATTCGCTCTCCTTCCCTACCAGCACTGCTGCTCAACCTTTTCACCGTTTTCAAGAAAGTCCTCTGACCCATCAGCAGACTCGAGGAGGCCTGTCTGTGATGTGAAGGGTGTCTGTCTGGGAGGGTGGACGCGCAATGACTAGATACACTCACATCATTCTCATCTTACCGGTCTCTATAAAGTCCTCTGACCCATCAGCAGACTCGAGGAGGTCTGTCTGTGATGTGAAGGGTGTCTGTCTGGGAGGGTGGACGCGTCCACATCATCAGCACCACCACGGCACCACCTGCCTGTATTGCTGCTACTAGCCCTTCAACTTCCCCCTCTCACCGTTCTCAAGGAAATCTTCTGACCCGTCCACAGACTCCAAAAGATCCGTGATGTGGAGGGTGTCGGGGAGAGTGGACGCGTCCATGTCATCCCTACCCCACAAGGATAGACACCCTACAAGGATGGATGCCACTACCCTAATGTTGTTCCCTCTCACCGGTCTCTATGAAGTCTTCTGATCCGTCCACAGACTCCAAAAGATCCGTGATGTGGAGGGTGTCGGGGAGAGTGGACGCGTCCACGTCATCCCCGCTGCTGCCGCTGCCAGATTCGGTGAATCCAAACAGGGTCCGCGCCGCCCGGTTCATTGCCGTGATGGTGCCGCCGTCGTCCAGAGCAATGATGGCGTCTATGGTGCTCTGGGGAAGCGGGGAGGCGAAAAGAGAGACATGTGGGAACACGCATGCAAAAAAGCATGAGAAGGAGCAGCCCGGTTCATTGCCGTGATGGTGCCGCCGTCGTCCAGAGCAATGATGGCGTCTATGGTGCTCTGGGGAAGCGGGGAGGCGAAAAGAGAGACATGTGGGAACACGCATGCAAAAAAGCATGAGAAGGAGCAGCCCGGTTCATTGCCGTGATGGTGCCGCCGTCGTCCAGTGCTATGATGGCGTCTATGGTGCTCTGTGGAACAGGGGAGAGGGAGGCAGGGATAGGGAACCAAAAGAGCAACAGGGATAAAAGGTGAGAAACGGGGAGTCAGGGAGGTAGGGGAGGGGCAGTGGCAGCACACGTGCAGGCAAGGCATCATGGAGAGTCAATGCTTGGCCTACCCGTGCAAGAAACTCTTGCAGGAAATACAGAGGGGACTGGGATTACTTTTGAGTCAAATTAGGAGTTGATTGGCCTACCCGTGCAAGAAACTCTTGCAGGCAATACAGAGGGGACTGGGTTGGCATCACTGGAGATTTGAATTAAACATTTCCCATCAATGGGTTTCAAGCCATACTTAGAGCATGGAGAGTTTTTATTTTTATCTTTTCCATCTCAGCCGCTTTCTTCCTGCTCTGAATGCTCTCCTCCTTCCCATGCCCATACGATCATCATCACACCCATACCATGACCACCAAGCCCATACCTTGAGCATGGACACCATGCGTTTCCCCTTCTCGGCCGCCTCCTTCCTGCCCTGAATGCTCTCCTCCTTGGCTTGAGCACCAGAGCCATACCTCCAAGCCTTCACCTTGATAATCAAGCCCGCACCTTGAGCATGGACACCATGCGCTTCTCCTTCTCGGCCGCTTTCTTCCTGCCCTGAGGGTGATTCTCTCCATTGCTCACACCTTCAAGCCAATAGATTATACCTTGATAATCAAGCCCGCACCTTAAGCATGGACACCATGCGCTTCTCCTTCTCAGCCGCTTTCTTCCTGCCCTGAATGCCCGCCACAATCTGAGCCACCGTTTTAGTCACATGCTGCAGCTCCCCCAGCATCAATTCTTCGTACCCTCCTTTCCTGTTGCTCACCGCCCACGCCCCTATCAGCTCCGAACCTGGGCGAATGGGGAAAGCAGGCAACGCAGGAGCGGGGTGAGACACAGACAGGCTGCACCTCCCCCAGCATGCCCTCGTCGTAGGCCCCCTTCCTGTTCCTCACCGCCCACGCCCCTATCAGCCCCGAGCCTATGGGGAGTGGGGCATGGGGAGTGGGGCATGGGGAATGGTGAGGACACGGAATAGAGCAGGCTGCAGCTCCCCTAGCATAGCCTCCTCGTACCCTCCCTTCCTGTTGCTCACCGCCCACGCCCCTATCAGCTACGACCCTATCAGCACATGAGGGCATGGGGAATGGATAGGGAATGGAAACAAAGGACTCAGGAGGATTAGTGACAGAGCAGGCTGCCGCTTCCCTCTCCTCGTACCCCCCCTTCCTGTTGCTCACCGCCCACGCCCCTATCAGCTCCGAACCTGTATGGGCATGTGCATGTACACATGTACGGCCACGTGCATGAACGTCTCATGGAATAGCGGCACGCCTAGGAAGTTGTGGATGGGGGGGTGGCCGGGGGGCAGGCCAGCAGAGCGAGGGGTCTCAAGCATGTGTGTGCGTGCACTTACCATGTATGGGCATGTGCACGTACACATGCATGGGCACGTGGATGTACATATGTATGGGCACGTGCATGAGTGAACACATGTACGTGCATGTGCACCTGTGCACCCTCAGTTGCACGTACCATGGAATAGCGGGACGCCTAGGAAGTTGTGGATGGGGGGATGGCCGGGGGGCAGGCCAGCAGAGCGAGGGTCGTCAGGAGCGTTGTTGCTGAGAACCACATCGCTGGTCTTCACAATCTGGTGAGAGGGATGGGAGGAGGGGGTGAAGGAGAGCGATGGCGGAGAGGGGTCGGGAGGAGGAGGGGTGGGTGGGAGAGAGACAGGGGTGCGTGCGGGGGAAAGGGGTGAAGAAAACACAGAATGGAGTGGTCTCACAACTTGAGGAGGGTAGAGGGAAGGGGGTGGGGAATGTGGAGAAGGGAGAGCGAGAATGCAGGGCGAAGATGGAAGAGAGAAGGGAGGGAGGGACTGACGTAGCCGAGCTTTTAGGGCTCCTCAAAAGACGAGGAATGTGGAGAAGGGAGGGCGAGAATGCAGGGCGAAGATGGAAGAGAGAAGGGAGGCACTGACGTGGCTGAGGAGAGTGCTGAGGTTGCTGAAGACGAGCCCCTTGGCGGGGAGGCAAGAAGAGAGGGGTGATGGAGGGCCAAGAGGGCAAGGAGGGTGGAGAATGGAGGGCGTGGAGGGCAAAGGCACTGACGTGGCCGAAGAGAGTGCTGAGGTTGCTGAAGACGAGCCCCTTGGCGGGGAGGCAAGAAGAGAGGGGTGATGGAGGGCCAAGAGGGCAAGGAGGGTGGAGAATGGAGGGCGTGGAGGGCAAAGGCACTGACGTGGCCGAAGAGAGTGCTGAGGTTGCTGAAGACGAGCCCCTTGGCGGGGAGGCAAGAAGAGAGGGGTGATGGAGGGCCAAGAGGGCAAGGAGGGTGGAGAATGGAGGGCGTGGAGGGCAAAGGCACTGACGTGGCCGAAGAGAGTGCTGAGGTTGCTGAAGACGAGCCCCTTGGCGGCGAGTAGACAAGGACAGGGGAGGGCGAGGAAAGGGGAAAAGGGAGGGCGAGGAGAGGCACTGACATGGCCGAAGAGCGTGTTGAGGTTGCTGAAGACGAGCCCCTTGGCGGCGTTCTCCGTGTACCACAGGCGCAGCTCCCTGGTCCATGCAAAGTTGGTGATAGAGTGGGTCTGGCAAGGGGAGGCGAGGAAGAGGCAAACAAAGGACAGGGAGGGCAGGGATGATTCAAGAGTGCCCATCCCCTTGGCGGCGTTTCTCCGTGTACCACAGGCGCAGCTCCCTCGTCCATGCGAAGTTGGTGATGGAGTGGGTCTGAGAGGCGAGGCGTTACGGGGCAGAGGCAAGCAAAGGATGGAAAAGGCAGGCAGGGTGACTTCAGACTCAGCTGCCCACTCCCTTGGCGGCGTTCTCCATGTACCACAGGCGCAGCTCCCTCGTCCATGCGAAGTTGGTGATGGAGTGGGTCTGAGAGGCGAGGCGTTACGGGGCAGAGGCAAGCAAAGGATGGAAAAGGCAGGCAGGGTGACTTCAGACTCAGCTGCCCACTCCCTTGGCGGCGTTCTCCATGTACCACAGGCGCAGCTCCCTCGTCCATGCGAAGTTGGTGATGGAGTGGGTCTGAGAGGCAAGGCGTTACGGGGCAGAGGCAAGCAAAGGATGGAAAAGGCAGGCAGGGTGACTTCAGACTCAGCTGCCCACTCCCTTGGCGGCGTTCTCCATGTACCACAGGCGCAGCTCCCTCGTCCATGCGAAGTTGGTGATGGAGTGGGTCTGAGAGGCGAGGCGTTACGGGGCAGAGGCAAGCAAAGGATGGAAAAGGCAGGCAGGGTGACTTCAGACTCAGCTGCCCACTCCCTTGGCGGCGTTCTCCATGTACCACAGGCGCAGCTCCCTCGTCCATGCGAAGTTGGTGATGGAGTGGGTCTGAGAGGCGAGGCGTTACGGGGCAGAGGCAAGCAAAGGATGGAAAAGGCAGGCAGGGTGACTTCAGACTCAGCTGCCCACTCCCTTGGCGGCGTTCTCCATGTACCACAGGCGCAGCTCCCTCGTCCATGCGAAGTTGGTGATGGAGTGGGTCTGAGAGGCAAGGCGTTACGGGGCAGAGGCAAGCAAAGGATGGAAAAGGCAGGCAGGGTGACTTCAGACTCAGCTGCCCACTCCCTTGGCGGCGTTCTCCATGTACCACAGGCGCAGCTCCCTCGTCCATGCGAAGTTGGTGATGGAGTGGGTCTGAGAGGCAAGGCGTTACGGGGCAGAGGCAAGCAAAGGATGGAAAAGGCAGGCAGGGTGACTTCAGACTCAGCTGCCCACTCCCTTGGCGGCGTTCTCCATGTACCACAGGCGCAGCTCCCTCGTCCATGCGAAGTTGGTGATGGAGTGGGTCTGAGAGGCGAGGCGTTACGGGGCAGAGGCAAGCAAAGGATGGAAAAGGCAGGCAGGGTGACTTCAGACTCAGCTGCCCACTCCCTTGGCGGCGTTCTCCATGTACCACAGGCGCAGCTCCCTCGTCCATGCGAAGTTGGTGATGGAGTGGGTCTGAGAGGCAAGGCGTTACGGGGCAGAGGCAAGCAAAGGATGGAAAAGGCAGGCAGGGTGACTTCAGACTCAGCTGCCCACTCCCTTGGCGGCGTTCTCCATGTACCACAGGCGCAGCTCCCTCGTCCATGCGAAGTTGGTGATGGAGTGGGTCTGAGAGGCGAGGCGTTACGGGGCAGAGGCAAGCAAAGGATGGAAAAGGCAGGCAGGGTGACTTCAGACTCAGCTGCCCACTCCCTTGGCGGCGTTCTCCATGTACCACAGGCGCAGCTCCCTCGTCCATGCGAATTTGGTGATGGAGTGGGTCTGAGAGGCGAGGCGTTACGGGGCAGAGGCAAGCAAAGGATGGAAAAGGCAGGCAGGGTGACTTCAGACTCAGCTGCCCACTCCCTTGGCGGCGTTCTCCATGTACCACAGGCGCAGCTCCCTCGTCCATGCGAAGTTGGTGATGGAGTGGGTCTGAGAGGCGAGGCGTTACGGGGCAGAGGCAAGCAAAGGATGGAAAAGGCAGGCAGGGTGACTTCAGACTCAGCTGCCCACTCCCTTGGCGGCGTTCTCCATGTACCACAGGCGCAGCTCCCTCGTCCATGCGAAGTTGGTGATGGAGTGGGTCTGAGAGGCGAGGCGTTACGGGGCAGAGGCAAGCAAAGGATGGAAAAGGCAGGCAGGGTGACTTCAGACTCAGCTGCCCACTCCCTTGGCGGCGTTCTCCATGTACCACAGGCGCAGCTCCCTCGTCCATGCGAAGTTGGTGATGGAGTGGGTCTGAGAGGCGAGGCGTTACGGGGCAGAGGCAAGCAAAGGATGGAAAAGGCAGGCAGGGTGACTTCAGACTCAGCTGCCCACTCCCTTGGCGGCGTTCTCCATGTACCACAGGCGCAGCTCCCTCGTCCATGCGAAGTTGGTGATGGAGTGGGTCTGAGAGGCAAGGCGTTACGGGGCAGAGGCAAGCAAAGGATGGAAAAGGCAGGCAGGGTGACTTCAGACTCAGCTGCCCACTCCCTTGGCGGCGTTCTCCATGTACCACAGGCGCAGCTCCCTCGTCCATGCGAAGTTGGTGATGGAGTGGGTCTGGGAAGGGAGAAGGGAGGGCAGAGGACAGAAAGAGGAAGAGGACAGAGAGAGACCAGGGAGAGAGAGTGGGGATGGCTTAGCATCTCCCAACCGTGCCCAACCGTGAGCGACTGGGTGAGCTGCAGAACTTTCCACTGTAAAGCTGCCCCCAACCGTGCCTATAACGAATGGCTTAGCAGGCAGGTGATTGGGTGAAGCCAGCAGGCGACTGGACCGCTATAACGCCACAACCCGTCCGTGCTTATAACGAGTGCACTCACCTTCAGAGAAAAAGCCCCATCGGGCTTGCTGACAGCGCTGCAGATGAAGCCAGCAGGCGACTGGGTGAGCTCCAGCAGCTGTGGGGCTGATAACGAGTACAAGTGTGCTCTCACTCACCTTGAGGGAAACAGCGTCGTCGGGTTTCCTGACAACACTGCAGATGAAGCCAGCAGGCGACTGGGTGAGCTCCAGCAGCTGTGGGGCTGATAACGAGTACAAGTGTGCTCTCACTCACCTTGAGGGAAACAGCGTCGTCGGGTTTCCTGACAACACTGCAGATGAAGCCAGCAGGCGACTGGGTGAGCTCCAGCAGCTGTGGGGCTGATAACGAGTACAAGTGTGCTCTCACTCACCTTGAGGGAAACAGCGTCGTCGGGTTTCCTGACAACACTGCAGATAAAGCCAGCAAGCGACTGGGTGAGCATCGACCGCTGCTTCTATATTACCACGGTGCTTATAACGAGTGCAACGAGTTTTTCCTCTCACCTTTAGGGAAACAGCACTCTCGGGCTTCCGGACAGCGCTGCAAATGAAGCCCGCAGGCGACTGGGTGAGCTCCAGTAGCTGTTTCTACAATACCACATCACACCCCCGGGGCTTATAACGAGTAAAAGTGTGCTCTCACTCACCTTGAGGGAAACAGCGCCGTCGGGCTTCCGTACGGCGCTGCAAATGAAGCCAGCAGGCGACTGGGTGAGCTCCAGCAGCTGGGAGAGGAGAAAATCGGCCACCTTGCTGCCATTGGGGGTCTGGCGGAGGGATGAGAAGAGGAGAAGAGATGCCGGAGGAAGGGGATTGGGGACAAGGGAAGGGCAGGGGAAGGAGGAATGGGAAGCTGGGAGCGCAGAGCAGAAAATCCGCCACCATGCTGCCGTTGAGGGGATCTGGAGCGAAGGGGAAGGGGATGAAAGACAAGGGCTGCAATGCGGTGAGCAGGGAAGTGGGGAAGGTGGAAGGGGCAGGGGCGCGGGGGCGGGGGGGGGGGGGCGCGGGGAAGGAGGAGTGCGTACCGTGTCCTTGGCGTAAAGCTCGTGCACCTTAGTGATCATCGACAGCATTCTCCGATTCAGAAGGTCGGCTGCACTCACGTGGCTCAGGTGACTTTTGAGGCTCACAAGTCAAGCGCATACGTACCGTATCCTTGGCGTATAGCTCGTGCGCCTTAGTGATCATCGACAGCATTCTCCGATTCAGAAGGTCAGCTGCGCTCACAACGCTCCCCCCTCCCCCTCCCGCTCCCGCTCCCACTCCCACGCTATGAGTCGTCCCCGTTATAAGCGAGTCCGTGTTACTGCTCGCGCCAGAGTGCGTCCGAACCAGCCCCGCCACCCGCGGCCCTCCTTCCCCCGCATCTCCCCCCGCCCCTCCTCCCCCAGCCTTTCCGCCTAGGTACGGGCACGCGGACGGGCCATCGTCCGTCATTGCGCCGTGCATGTCCGGGAAGGAGGCTCGGGGGTGAGGCCCGGGGGAGGCTCGGGAGTTAGGTCTGGGAGAGGTCCCGGCTGAAGAGTGAGTGTCGGTGTGATTGTGACTGCCACCGGCTTTTAGCTGAGAGACGAGGCGCAAGGCGGAAGCGAGGGAGGGATTGGCGGAGGAATCTCCGCACTTGTGACACCTGAAGGTGGCGGAAAGCAGGGGCGCGGAAGGGAAGGCAAAGGCGAATCGAAGGGGGACAACTGAGATCTAAGCTGAAAAGCAAGGCTACGTGGTTCAGGTTTACTCTGTCCGTGTGTATACTTGCGCTCGGGGGTTTCTTCTTGAGTGTGCATTTGTACCCTTTAGAAGCCGTCTGTAAGGCGCTGATGATCTCCTGCCAGTCGGCTTTGCTCCATTTCGATGTGACTTTATCGGGGGAGTCCACGAGATGATCACCCGATTGACCCGCCGCATCCCGCTTCCCATCCACCGAAGCCGACGATGGTAACCGCATTTTCGCGAAAGCGTCGGTGGGTGGAGTCGAACCAGCGGGAGCCGCGCTGCTGTCGTAGCTGCGACGTGCGAATGATCGCGAGCGACGAGGCTCGCTGTTGTTGTCGAGATCTTGCGACGTTTGCGTGTGCGGATTGCGAGGCTTGCGGGAGGGGGCGGGGGGGCCTTCTTGCTTCCCTCCTTGAACGAACATTTTGTTGAACCGGCGAGCTAACGCCATGGTTGCGAATCCTCAGGAACAGCTAGTAGAAGCTCAACGAAAAGAAACGAAGAATCGTGCTGCGATCGGCGAATCCGACACTACCTGGTTTGGGAAGGAGGTAAACCTCGCAAGAAACTGCTGCTGGTTTTTACATGTAACACGACGTCGTGCTAAAATGGCGACGCGGATACACTTGAAATGTCCCTAGGCAACGCCATTCGCACCTCCCACTGAACCACCGAGCGCAATTGGCGCTAGCAACGAGACGGAAATTCGTGAAGACAAGAATGAAGAAAAACTGCCTATATTTTAGCAAGCTGGCACGCCATTTCAAACGAGTTGTGGTGAAAGGGGGAGGGGGTGTGTTGGGGTGGGAGCAAGCTTCAGAACTGACTGCTGGGACTTGCAGGTGTGGAACTGGGATGTGAAATGAATGTCCGTTGGAGTCTCGAATTCGGTTTTGTGTGGTTCCCAGAGTTTACTGAGCGGTACACTGCGTTAAGCACTTTACTGTAAACGGTCATGACCGTGTGCCGCATTGCACTGTACACTGCTGCTGGCTCAAGCGAGCGGCGGCAATCCCAAGGCGATTGCTTCCACCACTGTTCGTCCTCTCCTCTCCTCTCCACCATCGTCCTCCTTCCTCCCACCCACTCCCGCCCGTTCGCCTTTTCTGCGAATGCCTTCAAAAATCAAATCCCAGGATGCCCGAGAGTGTGTGTGATGTGATGCCCTCGATGTCACGACGTGGTTGGTGGCTGGCAGAAGCATCGAAAAGACGCGTGAAGGAACACAGGGTGATGGAAGACACACGTCGACGCGCCGCAAATCTTCCCACGACCACGAGGTGATATCGTTCTTATTGAGTAACTCGTACGATCGTATAGGCTCAGTCAAATGTAGCTTCACACTGCAACGCTCTTATTAGTATATCCCTCGGATGCAACAATTTTTTCATTCATCAGGAACTTGAGACTTAGCCACCATCACTATGAGTATTAAAACTCCTTGGATATCAGGCCTTGCCATATATTTTTTAGAGTCACTCTCAAAACTCTATGCCACTAGGTGGTTTGTCAAATCGGGTTAGAATCGGAGTTCATAGCTCGTGAGAAGTACTGCTGGCGTTGCAACCTAGCTTCGTATCAACAAAATCCTCGCCATCTGAGAAATACTCTCGCCCATCATCGCTTGTTGACAACGAACGCTCCTCTCTTACAGCCTCGCTGCCAGCTCCCGCCAAATCCAGCTCACCATCACCTCTCGCCCATGACACCCGGGAATCGTCATCCTTCGTGTCAGCCCCGCCCGTCGAGCTGCCAGTGACAGCCTTTCCAGTCCCACTGCTCTCGACCCCACTGGTTGTACCCTCCCCTAGTTGCTCCCCCTTCACCTCCAGCGCACCATCACCATTTGTGTCATCACCATCATCACCAATGTTACCAGTGTCCCTATTGTCCTCATCACTAATGACAAATGCCGCCGCTGCATTGAGCGCTTGGGCTCTTGTAATCAACGCATCACTTCCTCCTTCTGCGGGTGTAGCAGCACCAGTATCACCACCATCATCACCATCATCATCACCATTATTACCATTACCACCAGCCTCCCCATTCTTATCATCCCCCTTACTCACAAATCCCACCGCTACATCTATCGCTTGAGCCCGCGTAATCAGCCCATCACTCCCTCCCAGTGCAGGTGTAGCAGCAGTGACAGGAGCAACAGCATCAGGAGAGGCCGCAGTGTCAGAAGGGGCAGGCTTCACCCGTGCAGCAGCAGCAGTGGCAGCAGTGGCAGCAGCGGTAGCAGCAGCACCAGCAGTGTCAGCATCACCACTGGCAGCAGCAACAACAGCAGTGGCGGCGGCAGCAGCGGCAGCGGCAGCAGCAGCAACAGCACCACCACTACCACTAACAGCACCACTTACCTTATCACCAGCCTTTTTCACCGCAGCCAACCCACCATCACCACTCTTTCTCCCCTCCTCAATCTTCCCCTCCACCTTCTCCCCATCCTCTACACCCCTCACCTTACCTCCCCCCTCCTCCCCCTTCTCATCCCCACTCGAATCACCTTCCCTGTCACTCTCCTCTCCTCTACCACCCTCTCCCTCCTTCCCCACCCCGCTGCCGCCCAAATCCTCCTTTGCCGCCCGCTTGCCGCCCAGATTCTCCTCCTTGGCCGGCCAGCTGCCGCCCAGATCAGATCTGTCCTTGAGCAAGCGCTGGCCCGTGCGGCGGTTGACAGCCTCCGTGTCAAGAGCCTCTCGCATGAGTCGCCTCAGAAACACCACATCATCTCGCATCACTCCCATGTCTTGGAGTAGCATGGAGCCCAGTCGAAGGCCGGCCTGGGCGGAGTTAAGGAGAGGTGGGAAGGGATACAAACACATGTGTGTGCACATAAAAACATGAGGCGCCGCAGGAAAACAACGTCGTCTCGCATGACCCCCATGTCCTGGAGTAGCATGGAGCCGAGCCTACGACTAGCCTGGAGAGGAGGGAGAGGGAGGTGGATACACATAAATGGACAGATGCACACATGAGGCGGCGGGTGACAGCCTGCGGGGGAGGGAGAGGAAGAGGGTAAGTATGCATGCACACATGAGGCGGCGGGTGACAGCCTCCGTGTCAAGAGCCTCTCGCATGAGTCGCCTCAGAAACACCACATCGTCTCGCATCACCCCCATGTCCTGCGGTAGCATGGAGCCCAGCCGGAGACCCGCCTGGAGAGGAGAGGTGGAAAGAAATACACACAGTCATGAGCACGCACACGTGTTACCATCGCAGGAACACCACATCGTCCCGCATCACCCCCATGTCCTGGAGTAGCATGGAACCCAGGCGAAGGCCGGCCTGGAGGGTTGGGAGGGAGGGGACAGAAAACAGGTGCGGTTGAGACTGCAATTGCCCAAAACAGGTGTCTCTCATTCGGAGCGGCGGGTGACAGCCTCAGTGTCAAGAGCCTTTCTCATAAGTCGCCACAGAAACACCACATCATCTCGCATAACCCCCATCCCTTGGAGTAGCATGGAGCCCAGGCGAAGTCCGGTCTGGTGGCAAGAGTGGGGATGATGCAAGCAAGCAGGCATACACATTTGACGGTGCAGGAACACCACACATCATCTCGCAAGAGCCCCTCATGTCACCAGTATCATCCCCCTCATGATGGTGTCATGTCACGACATGGAGGAAAGAAGAACCACCTCAGCTGCACGGGCGACTCTGCTTGTGTTGTGACGCCAGTATCACCTCCCCTTCCTCCTTTCGTCCCACCTTGCTATCACCTTCTCGAATTCAGCTGGGCTCCAAGCACAGAAATGAGCTACAGTCCTCTCGCTCTCCTCTGTGCTCTCCTCTGTGCTCTCCTCTGTGCTCTCCTCTGTGCTCTCCTCTGTGCTCTCCTCTGTGCTCTCCTCTGTGCTCTCCTCTGTACTCCACAGCACACTTCAGCTGCACGGGTTTATCACCTCATCTCATGATATTACCTCCTCTTCTTCATCTTACTTTGCTATAATCTCCTACTCCCACACGTCTCACTCACCTCTGCGCTCTCCAGAATCACGTCTGTGGCGCCCGCCTTTCGGAGCTCCGCAGGCTACTGGCCTTGTGTCGAGACATGACACGACATGAGCTTCCTTTTATCGTCTCAACATTGATATTGTCTCAACATTGATATTGTCTCAACATTGATAATGTCTCAACATTGATATTGTCTCAACATTGATATTGTCTCAACATTGATATTGTCTCCATTCACGGGTCTCACTCACCTCCTCAACCTCTCACCTCCATTCACAGGTCCTCTCACCTCTGCGCTCTCCAGAACCACGTCTGTGGCACCCGCCTTTCGGAGTTCCGCCAGGTGACTCGCGTCCACTGCTGCTTGTACGTCTCACCGCGTCCCAACCCCACCTCACCACAATCTACTCCCCACGTGTCTTGCTCACCTCTGCGCTCTCCAGAACCACGTCTGTGGCACCCGCCTTTCGGAGCTCCGCCAGGTGACTCGCGTCCACTGCTCGGGCGTATATGGGCAGCTGGTGGGAGGGCGGGCGGGGAAGGGCAGAGGGGGGTGTTGAAGAGGGAGGAGAGGGGGGAGGGAGATAATAAGCCCTCTCTCAGCTCCGCCAGGTGACTCGTGTCCACTGCTCGGGCGTATATGGGCAGCTGGTGGGAGGGCGGGAAGAACAGAGGGAGCGGGCGGGAGAGAACAAAGGGAACAGGGAGGGAGCTGAGAGGCCCTTTATGAGCTCTGCCAGGTGACTGGCATCCCTGGGCGGCTTTGCCAGGTGACTGCTCGGGCGTATATGGGAAGATGGTGATGAGACTGGATGCATGGTATGGTCAGCGGCGTGACATGGGGCAAGGAAGAAGGGGAGTGGAGTGGAGGGAGTGGGTGGGAAGAAGCTAAAGGGCATTGCAAAGAAAAAAGGCAGGAAAGAAGGCTCCATTTCTGAGCTCCTCAAAACCTTCCCTGCAAACTCCCCAAACCGACCTGTGAAAGTCCCCCCAAAATCCCAAAAATCAAAATAGAAGGAATCACAAAAATCCTTAAAAAAAAAAAAACATAACCGAAAAAAAACATAACTCCTAAATATCCCAAAAATCCCAGCAAACGAAAAAAAAAACATAACAAAAAGAAACGGTCCCAAAATGTTATATATATATATATATAAATATCACGAATCCCCCCAAAACATTCCTGTACATTCCCCCACACCTCCCCAAAGGTCCCGCAGGATTTTCCAACAGTCCCTCACCACTCACCCCTGGGAAGGCATTGTGTAAACTTTCCACAGAAGACACCGACTGCTGCCGCCCCGAGTACACCACAATGGCCATTAGCGGACGCGGAATGCCGGCCGACTCGAGCACTGCCGGGCGGCACCCGTCACCGTAGAGGACTGGGAAGCCGAGACGCTTTCCCATCTGGCGGAACGGGGAGAAGGGGGGTAGGGGAAGTAAGGGAGGGGGCACGTGGGGTAGAGGGGGGATACGTAGTGTGTCAAACTATAGGCACCCCAGGCGCTTGCCCATCCGGGGAGAGGGGGGGGAGGGGAAGGGGGGAAAGGGAGGGAGGGAGGTGGAGGGGGGTGGCGTTGAGGCGCTTGCCCATCTGGGGGGGGGAAGGAGGGGGTGGGGGAAGGGGGTGGGGGAGGAAGGGACACGTGGGAGGAGAGGAGTAGAGCCGGGGAAGAGTGGTGTGTCGAATTACAGGCGTGAATCGGAATCTCCCACCAACTCTCTCACTCCTTTGCTCACCCCCTTACTCCCTCATGCACTGTTATGAGACGTCTCAAAATCTCCCACCAACTCTCTCACTCCTTTGCTCACCCCCTTACTCCCTCATGCACTGTTATGAGACGTCTCAAAATCTCCCACCAACTCTCTCACTCCTCTGCTCACCCCCTTACTCCCTCATCTCTTCCACTCTTCCACTCCCTCGCTCACCCCCACACTCCTCGCCCACTCCCTCGCTCACCCCCTTACTCCCCCGAGCACTCACCCGGACGCGATTGGGATTCAGGTCGAAGCACACGAATGGCCACCCAGGGGCAACCACTCCCTCACTCACTCACTCCCTCACTCACTCACTCACTCACTCACTCACTCATTCACTCACTCACTCCACTACTGCACTCACCCGGACGCGATTGGGATTCAGGTCGAAGCACACGAACGGCCACCCAGGGGCAACCACTCCCTCACTCACTCACTCACTCACTCACTCACTCCTCTACTGCACTCACCCGGACGCGATTAGGATTCAGGTCGAAGCACACAAAGGGCCACCCAGGGGCATCTCCCCCCGACCCCCCTGAGATGGTGGCTAGCGGCGTGGATAGCATGTTGGCCAGCACCTGAGAGGGGTGAGGGGGTGGGGGAGCGGGAGAACAGAGCAGGGGTATGACTGGTGGTACCACATCTCCCCGCGACCCCCCTGAGATGGTGGCGAGCGGCGTGGATAGCATGTTGGCCAGCACCTGAGAGGGGAGCGGGAGTGTGAGTGGGTGGGAGAGAGTGATAGGAACCGAAACTTCAGAGAGAAACACATGTGTGACCTTCCCCTTCCCCAAGTTCCACCTGCCCCATCCCTCACCTGCCCCATCCCTCACCTGCCCCATCCCTCACCTGCCCCATGTGGTTGAAGCCAAGAATAACAATGGGCTCGACCCCCCCATAGTGACCCTGGTGACAATAGGAGAAATAGAGGTAAATAAGTGGATGGAAGAATGAGGTTTGGTGTGTATTTTTTAGGCGCCTAAAAAATGAGAAGACGAGAAATAGAGGGAATTAAGTGGATGGAAGCAAAGAGGCTTGGTGTGTCAATGGGGGATGGTGGGTAGGGAAGGGTCAACGAGAAAAAGGTTCCGAGTAATCCCCTTGTGTAAGAGCATAACCAAAATAGAAACAACTCTTGAAAACACAATAGGATTTAGATTAAACACATCTCACTCACCCCATGTCCTCCTCCTCCGCCGCCTTTCTTCCGCCCCTTCCTCTTACCGCCTCCCACCACATCCAACCCCTCCTCCCCGTCCTCCTCCTCATCCTCCCCTAGTGCCTTCCTCCTCTCCCTCTCGCGCTTCTCTAGCGCCTCTGCTGCTGATCGCCCCAGGGAGTCGAGGAGAGGAGTGAGAGCCATGGAGAGCACCACCACAATGATCAGCAGCCGGTTCAGCTCGTCTGGAAGCACACCAAGTCTGGTTGGGTTGAAGGGGTAAGGCAGAGAGGGGATAGTGGGCAAGTGAGAGACTGCTGATCGCCCCAGGGAGTGGAGGAGGGGCGTCAGAGCCATGGAGAGCACCACCACAATGATGAGCAGCCGGTTCAGCTCGTCTGGCAAAACACCCAGCCTGAGGCAAGCAAAAACGGGGGGTAGTGGGTAGCAGAGGTGTGGGTAAGAATGCGGGTGATCGCCCCAGGGAGTCGAGGAGAGGAGTGAGAGCCATGGAGAGAATGACCACAATGATGAGCAGCCGGTTCAACTCGTCTGGAAGCACACCGAGTCTGGCAGCAAGGGGTGGGCACAGAGAGGGCACGTGGAGACAGAGAGGGCACGTGGAGGCAGAGAGGGCACGTGGAGGCAGAGAGGGCACGTGGAGACAGAGAGGGCACGTGGAGACAGAGAGGGCACGTGGAGACAGAGAGGGCACGTGGAGGCAGAGAGGGGCACGTGGAGACAGAGAGGGCACGTGGAGGCAGAGAGGGCACGTGGAGACAGAGAGGGCACGTGGAGGCAGAGAGGGCACGTGGAGACAGAGAGGGCACGTGGAGACAGAGAGGGGCACGTGGAGACAGAGAGGGCACGTGCAGGCAGAGAGGGCACGTGGAGGCAGAGAGGGCACGTGGAGGCAGAGAGGGCACGTGGAGACAGAGAGGACACGTGGAGACAGAGAGGGCACGTGGAGACAGAGAGGGCACGTGGAGGCAGAGAGGGCACGTGGAGACAGAGAGGGCACGTGGAGGCAGAGAGGGGCACGTGGAGGCAGAGAGGGCACGTGGAGGCAGAGAGGGGCACGTGGAGGCAGAGAGGGCACGTGGAGGCAGAGAGGGCACGTGGAGGCAGAGAGGGGCACGTGGAGGCAGAGAGGGCACGTGGAGACAGAGAGGGCACGTGGAGGCAGAGAGGGCACGTGGAGACAGAGAGGGCACGTGGAGACAGAGAGGGCATGTGGAGGCAGAGAGGGCATGTGGAGGCAGAGAGGGCACGTGGAGACAGAGAGGGCACGTGGAGGCAGAGAGGGCACGTGGAGGCAGAGAGGGCACGTGGAGACAGAGAGGGCACGTGGAGACAGAGAGGGCACGTGGAGACAGAGAGGGCACGTGGAGGCAGAGAGGGGCACGTGGAGACAGAGAGGGCACGTGGAGGCAGAGAGGGCACGTGGAGACAGAGAGGGCACGTGGAGGCAGAGAGGGCACGTGGAGACAGAGAGGGCACGTGGAGACAGAGAGGGGCACGTGGAGACAGAGAGGGCACGTGCAGGCAGAGAGGGCACGTGGAGGCAGAGAGGGCACGTGGAGACAGAGAGGGCACGTGGAGACAGAGAGGACACGTGGAGACAGAGAGGGCACGTGGAGACAGAGAGGGCACGTGGAGGCAGAGAGGGCACGTGGAGACAGAGAGGGCACGTGGAGGCAGAGAGGGGCACGTGGAGGCAGAGAGGGCACGTGGAGGCAGAGAGGGGCACGTGGAGGCAGAGAGGGCACGTGGAGACAGAGAGGGCACGTGGAGGCAGAGAGGGCACGTGGAGACAGAGAGGGCACGTGGAGACAGAGAGGGCATGTGGAGGCAGAGAGGGCACATGGAGGCAGAGAGGGCACGTGGAGACAGAGAGGGCACGTGGAGACAGAGAGGGCACGTGGAGGCAGAGAGGGGCACGTGGAGACAGAGAGGGCACGTGCAGGCAGAGAGGGCACGTGGAGACAGAGAGGGCACGTGGAGGCAGAGAGGGCACGTGGAGACAGAGAGGACACGTGGAGACAGAGAGGGCACGTGGAGACAGAGAGGGCACGTGGAGGCAGAGAGGGCACGTGGAGACAGAGAGGGCACGTGGAGGCAGAGAGGGGCACGTGGAGGCAGAGAGGGCACGTGGAGGCAGAGAGGGGCACGTGGAGGCAGAGAGGGCACGTGGAGGCAGAGAGGGCACGTGGAGGCAGAGAGGGGCACGTGGAGGCAGAGAGGGCACGTGGAGACAGAGAGGGCACGTGGAGGCAGAGAGGGCACGTGGAGACAGAGAGGGCACGTGGAGACAGAGAGGGCATGTGGAGGCAGAGAGGGCATGTGGAGGCAGAGAGGGCACGTGGAGACAGAGAGGGCACGTGGAGGCAGAGAGGGCACGTGGAGGCAGAGAGGGCACGTGGAGACAGAGAGGGCACGTGGAGACAGAGAGGGCACGTGGAGACAGAGAGGGCACGTGGAGGCAGAGAGGGGCACGTGGAGACAGAGAGGGCACGTGGAGGCAGAGAGGGCACGTGGAGACAGAGAGGGCACGTGGAGGCAGAGAGGGCACGTGGAGACAGAGAGGGCACGTGGAGACAGAGAGGGGCACGTGGAGACAGAGAGGGCACGTGCAGGCAGAGAGGGCACGTGGAGGCAGAGAGGGCACGTGGAGACAGAGAGGGCACGTGGAGACAGAGAGGACACGTGGAGACAGAGAGGGCACGTGGAGACAGAGAGGGCACGTGGAGGCAGAGAGGGCACGTGGAGACAGAGAGGGCACGTGGAGGCAGAGAGGGGCACGTGGAGGCAGAGAGGGCACGTGGAGGCAGAGAGGGGCACGTGGAGGCAGAGAGGGCACGTGGAGACAGAGAGGGCACGTGGAGGCAGAGAGGGCACGTGGAGACAGAGAGGGCACGTGGAGACAGAGAGGGCATGTGGAGGCAGAGAGGGCACATGGAGGCAGAGAGGGCACGTGGAGACAGAGAGGGCACGTGGAGACAGAGAGGGCACGTGGAGGCAGAGAGGGGCACGTGGAGACAGAGAGGGCACGTGCAGGCAGAGAGGGCACGTGGAGGCAGAGAGGGCACGTGGAGGCAGAGAGGGCACGTGGAGACAGAGAGGACACGTGGAGACAGAGAGGGCACGTGGAGACAGAGAGGGCACGTGGAGGCAGAGAGGGCACGTGGAGACAGAGAGGGCACGTGGAGGCAGAGAGGGGCACGTGGAGGCAGAGAGGGCACGTGGAGGCAGAGAGGGGCACGTGGAGGCAGAGAGGGCACGTGGAGGCAGAGAGGGCACGTGGAGGCAGAGAGGGGCACGTGGAGGCAGAGAGGGCACGTGGAGGCAGAGAGGGCACGTGGAGGCAGAGAGGGCACGTGGAGACAGAGAGGGCACGTGGAGACAGAGAGGGCATGTGGAGGCAGAGAGGGCATGTGGAGGCAGAGAGGGCACGTGGAGACAGAGAGGGCACGTGGAGGCAGAGAGGGCACGTGGAGGCAGAGAGGGCACGTGGAGACAGAGAGGGCACGTGGAGACAGAGAGGGCACGTGGAGACAGAGAGGGCACGTGGAGGCAGAGAGGGGCACGTGGAGACAGAGAGGGCACGTGGAGGCAGAGAGGGCACGTGGAGACAGAGAGGGCACGTGGAGGCAGAGAGGGCACGTGGAGACAGAGAGGGCACGTGGAGACAGAGAGGGGCACGTGGAGACAGAGAGGGCACGTGCAGGCAGAGAGGGCACGTGGAGGCAGAGAGGGCACGTGGAGACAGAGAGGGCACGTGGAGACAGAGAGGACACGTGGAGACAGAGAGGGCACGTGGAGACAGAGAGGGCACGTGGAGGCAGAGAGGGCACGTGGAGACAGAGAGGGCACGTGGAGGCAGAGAGGGGCACGTGGAGGCAGAGAGGGCACGTGGAGGCAGAGAGGGGCACGTGGAGGCAGAGAGGGCACGTGGAGGCAGAGAGGGCACGTGGAGACAGAGAGGGCACGTGGAGACAGAGAGGGCATGTGGAGGCAGAGAGGGCACATGGAGGCAGAGAGGGCACGTGGAGACAGAGAGGGCACGTGGAGACAGAGAGGGCACGTGGAGGCAGAGAGGGGCACGTGGAGACAGAGAGGGCACGTGCAGGCAGAGAGGGCACGTGGAGGCAGAGAGGGCACGTGGAGGCAGAGAGGGCACGTGGAGACAGAGAGGACACGTGGAGACAGAGAGGGCACGTGGAGACAGAGAGGGCACGTGGAGGCAGAGAGGGCACGTGGAGACAGAGAGGGCACGTGGAGGCAGAGAGGGGCACGTGGAGGCAGAGAGGGCACGTGGAGGCAGAGAGGGGCACGTGGAGGCAGAGAGGGCACGTGGAGGCAGAGAGGGCACGTGGAGGCAGAGAGGGGCACGTGGAGGCAGAGAGGGCACGTGGAGACAGAGAGGGCACGTGGAGGCAGAGAGGGCACGTGGAGACAGAGAGGGCACGTGGAGACAGAGAGGGCATGTGGAGGCAGAGAGGGCATGTGGAGGCAGAGAGGGCACGTGGAGACAGAGAGGGCACGTGGAGGCAGAGAGGGCACGTGGAGGCAGAGAGGGCACGTGGAGACAGAGAGGGCACGTGGAGACAGAGAGGGCACGTGGAGACAGAGAGGGCACGTGGAGGCAGAGAGGGGCACGTGGAGACAGAGAGGGCACGTGGAGGCAGAGAGGGCACGTGGAGACAGAGAGGGCACGTGGAGGCAGAGAGGGCACGTGGAGACAGAGAGGGCACGTGGAGACAGAGAGGGGCACGTGGAGACAGAGAGGGCACGTGCAGGCAGAGAGGGCACGTGGAGGCAGAGAGGGCACGTGGAGGCAGAGAGGGCACGTGGAGACAGAGAGGACACGTGGAGACAGAGAGGGCACGTGGAGACAGAGAGGGCACGTGGAGGCAGAGAGGGCACGTGGAGACAGAGAGGGCACGTGGAGGCAGAGAGGGGCACGTGGAGGCAGAGAGGGCACGTGGAGGCAGAGAGGGGCACGTGGAGGCAGAGAGGGCACGTGGAGACAGAGAGGGCACGTGGAGGCAGAGAGGGCACGTGGAGACAGAGAGGGCACGTGGAGACAGAGAGGGCATGTGGAGGCAGAGAGGGCACATGGAGGCAGAGAGGGCACGTGGAGACAGAGAGGGCACGTGGAGACAGAGAGGGCATGTGGAGGCAGAGAGGGCACGTGGAGACAGAGAGGGGGTAGTGGGTGGATAAGAGGGCTGCTGATCGCCCCAGGGAGTGGAGGAGGGGCGTGAGAGCCATGGAGAGAAGAGAACGACCCACCACGGTGAGTCGAGTTTTGAGTCGACTCAAAACTCGACTCATTACACATGGAGAGAACCACCCATCATGGTGATCAGCAGCCGATTGGGGTCACTATGGGGGGGGCAAAGCCCATTGTGATTCTTGGCTTCAACCACACGGCGGGGGGGGGGGGGGGGGGGGGGGGAGCGGACACACGGGGGAGTTGGAGACATCATAGCCATATGATTCAGTTAGGCGGCAGAGGAAGGCTGAGGGAATGAGGTGACTTTTGAGTCGACTCAAAAGTCACAGCGGACACACGGGGGAGTTGGAGACATCATAGCCACATGATAAAGCTAGGCGGCAGAGGAAGGCTGAGGGAATGGAGGGCAGTGCACTTACTGGCTGGCGAGGGCAAAGACGACGAAGGCGAATTCCCCCCCCTGGGAAAGAAGAAGGCCCGTGCGGATGGACTCGGGCAGGGAGAGAAGGAGAGAGAGAATGAGGGTGTGGTGAGCAGAGACTTACTGGCTGGCGAGGGCAAAGACGACGAAGGCGAACTCTCCTCCCTGGGAAAGAAGAAGGCCCGTGCGGATGGACTCGGGCAGGGAGAGAAGGAGAGAGAGAATGAGAGTGTGGTGAGCCGAGACTTACTGGCTGGCGAGGGCAAAGACGACGAAGGCGAACTCTCCCCCCTGGGAGAGAAGAAGCCCCGTGCGGATGGACTCGGGCAGGGAGAGGCCGACCCGCGGGCCGAGCGCCGTGATGATGGCGGTCTTGATGGCAATGAGGCCGGAGAGGAGGAGCAGGATGTTGGGCCACTCCGCTGCTAGGAGCTGGAGGGGGGGGGGGAAGAGGTACAGAAAGGGGCAAGGGGCAAGGGCCGAGCGCCGTGATGATGGCGGTCTTGATGGCGATGAGGCCGGAGAGGAGGAGCAGGATGTTGGGCCACTCCGCTGCTAGGAGCTGGAGGGGGGGGGGGAAGAGGTACAGAAAGGGGCAAGGGGCAAGGGCCGAGAGCCGTGATGATGGCGGTCTTGATGGCTATGAGGCCCGAGAGGAGGAGGAGAATGTTGGGCCACTCCGCTGCTAGGAGCTGTGGTGAATGAGGCATGTGGAAGAAAGAAAGGGGAAAGAGGCGTGATGATGGCGGTTTTGATGGCTATGAGGCCGGAGAGGAGGAGCAGAATGTTGGGCCACTCCGCTGCTAGGAGCTGTGGTGCGCCGGGGAGGGGATGGGGGTGGAGAAGAATGAGGGATGGGGGAGAAGAATGAGGGATGGGGGAGAAGAATGAGGGATGGGGGAGAAGAATGAGGGATGGGGGAGAAGAATGAGGGATGGGGGAGAAGAATGAGGGATGGGGGAGAAGAATGAGGGATGGGGGAGAAGAGAAAGGAACAGAAAGGGAAAGAGGAGGGGAAGGAGAATGCCGGGGGGGGGGGGGAGGAGAATGAGGGTGGGAGAGGGGTGAGTCAAGACGAGATGAGACGGGGAGGGAAGAGTCACACATGGTGGGAGGGAGGTGCATTTTTTCTGGCGCATAGTCTCTGCCCACTCAAGGGCATGCACTTCAACACATTCATAGATGAAAGCAGACTGAATCGAGAGATGGGAACTAGACTGAAACGTACACACTGGACTGAACCTGACAAGGCACAGGGGCTTTCGCAAATGGACTGACGCTGAGATCAACGGATGTGCCAGTGGTGACGAAACCGAGCCCCAGCAACAGACACTACGGTTCAATGGCTTACACCCAGCAGAAACCATATTGTGTATGAAAGAGGTCATGTAAAGGCACCACTGACTCACGCTGAGATCAATGGATGTGCCAGTGGTGACGAAAAAGAGACCCAGCAGCAGACCCCTGAAGGGACGAATGTCTGCCTCGACCTGCGCATGGGGGGTTATGGTATGGGAGGACGTGAAGAGTGAAGTGAAGTGAGGCGAACAGATACAGCAAGGAGGCAAAGAAGCGACCCAGCAGGAGTCGAGTTTTGAGTCGACTCAAAACTCAACCCAGCAGCAGACCCCTGAAGGGACGAATGTCTGCCTCGACCTGGGCGCAGAGTTTGGATCGTAACGGTATGGGCATGGGGCATGGGGCATGGGGCATGGGGAATGGGGCATGGGGAATGGGGCATGGGGAATGGGGCATGGGGAATGGGGCATGGGGCATGGGGCATGGGGCATGGGGAATGGGGCATGGGGAATGGGGCATGGGGCATGGGGCATGGGGCATGGGGCATGGGGCATGGGGAATGGGGCATGGGGAATGGGGCATGGGGAATGGGGCATGGGGAATGGGGCATGGGGCATGGGGCATGGGGCATGGGGAATGGGGAATGGGGCATGGGGCATGGGGCATGGGGCATGGGGCATGGGGCATGGGGAATGGGGAATGGGGCATGGGGAATGGGGAATGGGGCATGGGGATGGGGCATGGGGAATGGGGCATGGGGAATGGGGAATGGGGCATGGGGAATGGGGAATGGGGCATGGGGAATGGGGAATGGGGCATGGGGAATGGGGAATGGGGCATGGGGAATGGGGAATGGGGCATGGGGAATGGGGAATGGGGCATGGGGAATGGGGAATGGGGCATGGGGAATGGGGAATGGGGCATGGGGAATGGGGAATGGGGCATGGGGAATGGGGAATGGGGCATGGGGAATGGGGAATGGGGCATGGGGAATGGGGAATGGGGCATGGGGAATGGGGAATGGGGCATGGGGAATGGGGAATGGGGCATGGGGAATGGGGAATGGGGAATGGGGCATGGGGAATGGGGAATGGGGCATGGGGAATGGGGAATGGGGCATGGGGAATGGGGAATGGGGCATGGGGAATGGGGAATGGGGCATGGGGAATGGGGAATGGGGCATGGGGAATGGGGAATGGGGCATGGGGAATGGGGAATGGGGCATGGGGAATGGGGAATGGGGCATGGGGAATGGGGAATGGGGCATGGGGAATGGGGAATGGGGCATGGGGAATGGGGAATGGGGCATGGGGAATGGGGAATGGGGCATGGGGAATGGGGAATGGGGCATGGGGAATGGGGAATGGGGCATGGGGAATGGGGAATGGGGCATGGGGAATGGGGAATGGGGCATGGGGAATGGGGAATGGGGCATGGGGAATGGGGAATGGGGCATGGGGAATGGGGAATGGGGCATGGGGAATGGGGCATGGGGAATGGGGAATGGGGCATGGGGAATGGGGAATGGGGCATGGGGAATGGGGCATGGGGCATGGGGAATGGGGCATGGGGAATGGGGAATGGGGCATGGGGAATGGGGAATGGGCATGGGGAATGGGGAATGGGGCATGGGGAATGGGGCATGGGGCATGGGGAATGGGCATGGGGCATGGGGCATGGGGCATGGGGCATGGGGCATGGGGAATGGGGCATGGGGCATGGGGCATGGGGCATGGGGCATGGGGCATGGGGAATGGGGCATGGGGAATGGGGCATGGGGAATGGGGAATGGGGCATGGGGAATGGGGAATGGGGCATGGGAATGGGGCATGGGGAATGGGGAATGGGGCATGGGGAATGGGGAATGGGGCATGGGGAATGGGGAATGGGGCATGGGGAATGGGGAATGGGGCATGGGGAATGGGGCATGGGGCATGGGGCATGGGGCATGGGGAATGGGGAATGGGGCATGGGGCATGGGGCATGGGGCATGGGGCATGGGGCATGGGGAATGGGGCATGGGGCATGGGGAATGGGGAATGGGGCATGGGGAATGGGGAATGGGGCATGGGGAATGGGGAATGGGGCATGGGGAATGGGGAATGGGGCATGGGGAATGGGGAATGGGGCATGGGGAATGGGGAATGGGGCATGGGGAATGGGGAATGGGGCATGGGGAATGGGGAATGGGGCATGGGGAATGGGGAATGGGGCATGGGGAATGGGGAATGGGGCATGGGGAATGGGGAATGGGGCATGGGGAATGGGGAATGGGGCATGGGGAATGGGGAATGGGGCATGGGGAATGGGGAATGGGGAATGGGGCATGGGGATGGGGCATGGGGAATGGGGAATGGGCATGGGGAATGGGGAATGGGGCATGGGGAATGGGGAATGGGGCATGGGGAATGGGGAATGGGGCATGGGGAATGGGGAATGGGGCATGGGGAATGGGGAATGGGGCATGGGGAATGGGGAATGGGGCATGGGGAATGGGGAATGGGGCATGGGGAATGGGGAATGGGGCATGGGGAATGGGGAATGGGGCATGGGGAATGGGGAATGGGGCATGGGGAATGGGGAATGGGGCATGGGGAATGGGAATGGGGCATGGGGAATGGGGAATGGGGCATGGGGAATGGGGAATGGGGCATGGGGAATGGGGAATGGGGCATGGGGAATGGGGAATGGGGCATGGGGAATGGGGAATGGGGCATGGGGAATGGGCATGGGGAATGGGGAATGGGGCATGGGGAATGGGGAATGGGGCATGGGGAATGGGGAATGGGGCATGGGGAATGGGGAATGGGGCATGGGGAATGGGGAATGGGGCATGGGGAATGGGGAATGGGGCATGGGGAATGGGGAATGGGGCATGGGGAATGGGGAATGGGGCATGGGGAATGGGGAATGGGGCATGGGGAATGGGGAATGGGGCATGGGGAATGGGGAATGGGGCATGGGGAATGGGGAATGGGGCATGGGGAATGGGGAATGGGGCATGGGGAATGGGGAATGGGGAATGGGGCATGGGGAATGGGGAATGGGGAATGGGGCATGGGGAATGGGGAATGGGGCATGGGGCATGGGGCATGGGGAATGGGGCATGGGGAATGGGGCATGGGGAATGGGGAATGGGGCATGGGGCATGGGGAATGGGGAATGGGGCATGGGGAATGGGGCATGGGGAATGGGGCATGGGGAATGGGGAATGGGGCATGGGGAATGGGGAATGGGGCATGGGGCATGGGGCATGGGGAATGGGGCATGGGGAATGGGGCATGGGGAATGGGGCATGGGGAATGGGGCATGGGGCATGGGGCATGGGGCATGGGGCATGGGGCATGGGGCATGGGGAATGGGGCATGGGGAATGGGGCATGGGGAATGGGGCATGGGGAATGGGGCATGGGGCATGGGGCATGGGGCATGGGGAATGGGGAATGGGGCATGGGGCATGGGGCATGGGGCATGGGGAATGGGGAATGGGGCATGGGGAATGGGGAATGGGGCATGGGGAATGGGGAATGGGGCATGGGGAATGGGGAATGGGGCATGGGGAATGGGGAATGGGGCATGGGGAATGGGGAATGGGGCATGGGGAATGGGGAATGGGGCATGGGGGATGGGGCATGGGGGATGGGGCATGGGGGATGGGGAATGGGGGATGGGGCATGGGGGATGGGGCATGGGGCATGGGGAATGGAATGGGGAATGGTGAAGTGAATTCCTACTAGGCGAATCACCTGTTTGACTTTTGAGTCGACTCAAAAGTCAACTAGTAGGAACTGAGTACCTAGCAGTGAAGTGAATTCCTACTAGGCGAATCACCTGTTTGACTTTTGAGTTGACTCAAAAGTCGAGTCGACTCAAAAGTCAACTAGTAGGAACTGATTACCTAGCAGTGAAGTAAATTCCTACTAGGCGAATCACCCGTTTGCCCCACCACGCCTAGAAAGAAGTACCTAGCAGCAGGCGGCAATGTGATTTTACTGATGTGCTTTACTACGCTTGGGCTAAATCAGCCTCACTCACTCACCTGCGTGCGGTAGTTGGTCTCTGCCAGCAACGCTCCTGCCAAGAACGCTCCGAGCTGTATGCACAGGCAGGCATGAGAGACAGAGGGGAGAACACAGAAAGGAGAGTCAGTGCGGGTTTGGGTTCATGGTGCCTCCATTCCCCTCCACCTGCGTGCGGTAGTTGGTCTCTGCTAGCAACGGTCCTGCCAAGAACGCTCCGAGCTGCAAGCGCAGGCAGGCATGAGAGACAGGGAGGAGAGCACAGGAGAGGAGAGAGTACGTGAGTGATTGGGTTCATGATGACTGTGAGTTTTGAGACGTCTCAAAAGGAGAGCACAGGAGTGGAGAGAGTAAGTGAGTGATTTGGTTCATGCTGACTGTGAGTTTTGAGACGTCTCAAAAGGAGAGCACAGGAGTGGAGAGAGTAAGTGAGTGATTTGGTTCATGGTGACTGTGAGCAGGAAGAGCACTTTTTGAGTCCACTCAAAAATGAGCACAGGAGTGGAGAGAGTAAGTGAGTGACTTGGTTCATGATGACTGTGAGCAGGCAGAGCGCTACAAAGGCCTCTGTGCTGCGCGACTACCTGAGGGGACTGGGGATTATACAGGCAGCACTCACTCACCGAGTCACTGAATCCGAGCTTGCTTGTGATCAAGGAAGTTCCGGTGACCGTGAGCAGACACAGCGCCACAAAGGCCTCTGTGCTGCGCGACTCAGCCACGAACTCGAAGAACCTTCTGAGAAAGAGCCGGCCCATGTAGAGCAGCACGCCCAGGCCCAGCAGGGACTTGAGCCCCGCTGCTGCCAACAAGGGGAATAGACTGTCATCCGTGAAATCCTGTTTGGGAAGCACAAGGAGAGGTAGAGGTGAGAGGGTTGTTGGTGGGTGTAAGAGAAAAGAGGCGGCCCATGTAGAGCAGCACTCTCCCAGACCGAGGAGAGACCTGAGGCCCGCTGGTGCGAGCAGGGGGAATAGACTGTCGTCTGTGAAGCCCTGAGAGGGAAGCACAAGGACGGGGAGAGGGGAAAGCGTTGGTGGGAAAAGAGGCGGCCCATGTAGAGCAGCACTCTCCCAGACCGAGGAGAGACCTGAGCCCCGCTGCTGCTGCTAGCAGAGGGAATAGACTGCCTGCCGTCGGTAAAATCCTGTGGGGAAGCAGAAAGGGAGGGAGAGGGGAGGGTGTTGGTGGGTGTGAAAGGTAGTGCCAGGCACTGCAAATTGCAGGGGCACACATGCATGGGGTTACTGCTATGTCAGACGAGAAGCGAGTGGGGAAGGGGGATGTGTGACACACACGCATCCTATCCCACCCCACTTACCCCGCCATGCTTGACACACATCCTATCCCACCCCACTTACCCCGCCATGCTTGACACACATCCTATCCCACCCCACTTACCCCGCCATGCTTGACACACATCCTATCCCACCCCACTTACCATGGCATGCCACTTTTGAGAATTCTCAAAAGTAAACTCATGCCACTCACCCCGCTCTCGAGAATAGGGAGGATGACCAGTAGAGGCACCACCGCTATGTCCTGCAATGACTTGACATCTCGTCTCAAAAGTCGCATCCGATGGCTGCAACGAAGCACTCACCCCGCTCTCAAGGATACTGCAGGGTGTTTTTCAGAATTCTCAGGGTGTTTCCGAGAATTCTCAAAAACACCCTCCTGCAATGATTTGACATCTCGTCTCAAAAGTCGCATCCGATGGCTGCAACGAAGCACTTACCCCGCTCTCAAGGATAGGGAGGATGACCAACAGAGGCACCACCGCTATGTCCTGCAGCAGTAGAATCCCAAGAGTGGCTGAGCCCACGCGGGTGGCAAGCTCTCCCTTTTCTGAGAGCAGCTGAGGCAAGGAGGAGAGGGGAGGGGAGTACAGGGGAGCAGAGAATGGGGTTATCTGCTAGAAACTAAAGAAATCCCAAGAGTGGCTGAGCCCACGCGGGTGGCAAACTCTCCCTTCTCTGAGAGCAGCTGAGGAGAACAGGAAAGGGGAGGGGAGTACAGGGGGGCAGAGCTGAGCAGAGCACAGGGGAGCAGAGAATGGGGTTATCTGCTAGAAACTAAAGAAATCCCAAGAGTGGCTGAGCCCACGCGGGTGGCAAGCTCGCCCTTCTCTGAGAGCAGCTGAGGCAAGGAGGAGAGGGGAAGGGAGCACAGGGGAGCAGAGAATGGGGTTATCTGCTAGAAACTAAAGAAATCCCAAGAGTGGCTGAGCCCACGCGGGTGGCAAGCTCTCCCTTCTCTGAGAGCAGCTGAGGCAAGGAGGAGAGGGGAGGGGAGCACAGGGGAGCAGAGAATGGGGTTATGTGCTAGAAACTAAAGAAATCCCAAGAGTGGCTGAGCCCACGCGGGTGGCAAGCTCTCCCTTCTCTGAGAGCAGCTGAGGCAAGGAGGAGAGGGGAAGGGAGCACAGGGGAGCAGAGAATGGGGTTATCTGCTAGAAACTAAAGAAATCCCAAGAGTGGCTGAGCCCACGCGGGTGGCAAGCTCTCCCTTCTCTGAGAGCAGCTGAGGCAAGGAGGAGAGGGGAAGGGAGCACAGGGGAGCAGAGAATGGGGTTATCTGCTAGAAACTAAAGAAATCCCAAGAGTGGCTGAGCCCACGCGGGTGGCAAGCTCTCCCTTCTCTGAGAGCAGCTGAGGAGAGCAGGAAAGCACAGGGGAGCAGAGGCCGGCACAGATAACACAGACAGATTTTTGAGGCGCCTCAAAAGTGGAAAGCACAGGGGAGCAGAGGCAGACACAGATAACTCCAGAGCAGAGCAGAGACAGATGTGCACAGGCGAGAGCAGAACGCGGTTACAGGCTAGAACCTAAAGAAACTCCACGAGTGGCTGGGGCCAAGAAACAAAATGAGGGACAGGGAGTGTGTATGGCGGCAAACAGGACGAGGAGATGGGGAGGGGGCTCGGATGGCTGGTTGTTTGAGAGAATATGCAGCAGACACAACAGACGGTGAGGCTAAAAACGCGGTGATTTTTTAGACGACTCAAAAGTCACCTCTGTATGGCGGCAAACGGGAAGAGGAGATGGGGAGGGGGCTCGGATGGCTGGTTGTTTGAGAGAATATGCAGCAGACACAACAGACGGTGAGGCTAAAAACGCACCTGAAGCACAAAAGCGGAGGAGGAGAGTGAGAGAGCAGCGCCGATCACTATTGCCTCGTCCACTGACCGGATGTTCACCTGTAAAGCAATACCGGGCAGCAAACAAAGCGTAGCAATGATGACAACAAAAGGAGGGAGCAGCCCCGATGATCACTAGGGCGGGCCTCATCCACTGACGGAATGTTCACCTGCAGGAAGACTGGACAGCAAACAGAGGGAATGGGCAGTGAACAGAGGGAATGGGCAGTGAACAGAGGGAATGGGCAGTGAACAGAGGGAATGGGCAGTGAACAGAGGGAATGGGCAGTGAACAGAGGGAATGGGCAGTGAACAGAGGGAATGGGCAGTGAACAGAGGGAATGGGCAGTGAACAGAGGGAATGGGCAGTGAACAGAGGGAATGGGCAGTGAACAGAGGCAAGCAGAGGAACCGTTCTCTATCTCGCTGCTCTTCCCCGATGAGAACAGAGGCACCGAGCGGAGAACAGAGAACGAACTGATGCCTGCAAGGGAAGGAGAGCATTCTAGGTCAGGTCGGTGCCAATGGCGTTATTGGGTGGGATGGGATGGAGTTGGGAGCGGTGAGAAGGGTTGGGAGGGGGTGGGATCTCACCAGGTCAGGGCGGGCAGAGGCAGCCCACTCGAGCATGCGGGTGCCGATGGCATGGTCGGGAGGGAGCTCAAACGCTGCAAAGGCGAGCGTGGTGAGGAGCACCTGTTGGAGGGAGGGGAGGGGAAGTGCGGTGAGGAGCGGTGAGGAACGGTGAGAGACTCTTAAGGGGCTTCAAAACCGAGCAAGCATGCGGGTGCCGATGGCATGGTCGGGAGGGAGCTCAAACGCTGCGAAGGCGAGCGTGGTGAGGAGCACCTGTTGGAGGGAGGGGAGGGGAAGTGCGGTGAAGAGCGGTGAGGAATGGTGAGAGACTCTGAAGGGGCTTCAAAACCGAGCAGACGGGTGCCGATGGCGTTGTTGGGTGGGAGCTCAAACGCTGCGAAGGCGAGCGTTGTGAGCAGCACCTGCAGGGAGGGGACAATGTGGTGAGGAGTGGTGCGGAGGAGTGGCGAGGAGTGGTGAGGAGCACCGTGCCTTCACCTTCAGTAAGACAAGCGAAACCCGACTGTAATACCAATCTTCCCCTAACCTGCCACACCAAAAGCTCTCACCTGCTACAGCACCCCACACCCCACTCACCTGCGGCAGGCCCATGCCTGCCACAGCCTCTCACCAGTCAGGTCACATCACACTCACCTGCTACAGCCCTCAGCACTCACCTGTGGCAGGCCCATGCCAAAGGCGAACTTAGCGAGGGCCCTCAGTCGCTCGATAGACAGCTCCAGCCCCATCTCACCGCCACCCCACAACCCCTCACCTGCTACAGCCTCTCACCTCCAGCACCCCACAGTCCCCCACCTGCTACAGCCACTCACCTGCGGCAGGCCCATGCCAAAGGCAAACTTGGCAAGGGCCCTCAGTCGCTCGATAGACAGCTCCAGCCCCATCTCAAAGAGCTGTGAGGAGCATATGTAAGGGGGGGGGAGGAGGGGGGAACGACAGGTAATAGGTGAACATCGGGAAGTGGGTTCATATCAGAAGCAGTTGAAGCCCTAAGGTAAGGTCAATAGTGACAGAGGGCAGAGAGCAGAGAGCAGAGAGCTATACGAGAACAGAGGCTGGAGTTGTTTGTTGAGCATCGAGTGCTGCTCAGCCTACCGGGAAGAGAATCCCAAGTTCGGAGAGTGCTTTGACATCCGCGATGTTGCTGATTAGAGCAGAGAGCAATGCGAGAACAGGGCTTGGGTCTGTTTCTTGGGCAATGCGTTTCTTGAGCAATGAGTGCAGCTGGTGCAGCGCAGTAAGTGCAGTGCGGCTTACCAGGAAGAGGATTCCGAGTTCCGAGAGCGCTTTGACATCCGAGATGTTGCAAATCAGCAGAGAGTAAAAGCAAAACAGAGGCTCGAGCTGTTTCTTGAGCAGTGAGCGAGTGCAGCGGGTGCAGTGCGGCTTACCAGGAAGAGGATTCCGAGTTCCGAGAGCGCTTTGACATCCGAGATGTTGCGGATGAGCCCCAGCTGGTTGAGAGCTACGCCTGAGAGCAGGAAACCGAGAATCTGATGGAGGGAGGGGAAGGAGAGAGGGGTGGAGGAGCAGAGGAGGGTTGTTCATGCGTTGCCAAGATGTTGCGGATGAGCCCCAGCTGGTTGAGCGCCACGCCTGAGAGCAGGAAGCCGAGAATCTGATGATGGTGGCATGGGGGAGAGAAGGGAGAGCGGTGCCAGGGGATGGAGACGAGGGCCTTTGATGAGATGTCGGGTTTTGATGAGACGTCTCAAAGCTGGGTATGAGATGGTGGTGGCATGGGGGCGAGGGGAGGGGGGCACGGGGGGAGGAGAAGAGGGATTTATCTGAGACGTTTCATTAGTGGGGATGAGATGAGATGAGATGAGATGAGATGAGCAGCGGCTGGTTGAGTGCCACTCCAGAAAGCAGGAAGCCACACAGAGAGGGATGGGATGGAAGAGAGGTGAGGGACGGAGGGAGAGAGAAGGGCAGGTCAAGAGGGAGGGAAGGAAGACAGAGGTACAATCTGAATAGCCTCTCTCTGCCAGAGAGCCGTTCTTGGCCGTTCTTGGCCGTTCACAGGGGCTGAACTGGAGGGGCCCTCTGAACTGGCTTCTCATCTTAGCCTCGGAAAACATTTCCCCTTCTCCCGAGCCTCCCTCGCATCGCAACTCACCGGGCTGGCTTTGAAGCTGCGGAAGAAGGGGATGACAATAACGGTGGCCACCAGGAACGTGAGTGTATCGAGCCCCAGCGTTCCAATCACATCCTGAGCCGCCGACGAGCCAATCTCCACCCCCACCGCCGCCCGCACGTCCCTCGTTATACGCACATTTGCTCTTCTAACAGCCCCCCGCCTCCCGCTTTCCCCGCCAACCTGCCCCCCGTTGCTGTCACATCCGTGGCTGCTCCCGAGCCTTCCCCCTACGCCCGTCGCGTTGCTGCGCCGGACCAGACCTGAACCGAGCCAGGCGGCATGGTGTGATCCAAGCCCCGACCCTGACCCGAACCTCGGACCTGACTCGAGCCTCGGACCTTGGGACGGCCCGAGCCGTGAGCTTTCGCTACTGCTCCGACCGAACCTGCCGAATCCAGAAGCGCATTTCACGCCGCTGGTTCCGCAGAGCGCTATGGCGGCTTTGGGAAATGGCGAAGGCGCGCGCAAGAGAGGGGGAGCGAAAGGAGTCCTCCGCGCCTCAGCCAAGTGGGTGAGGGGAAGAGTGGCGGAATGGTTGGCGGAATAGGTGGCGGAATTAGTAACGCAGTAGTGGCGCAGTTGCGCCATTGCGCGCCGATGGGGCAAGCAGAGTCGGACCCCGAATGGCGGGAACGACGGGCGGAGACGAAGGGCGGAAACGGAGGGCGGAAGCGGAAGGCGGAAGCGGAGGGTGGACGCGGAGGGCGGAAACGAAGGGATGGGGGTGCTCGACGCTCACTCAACTAGCATCATGTCAGGCTGCCTTTTCAAGCAGACGCTTGAATTAGGCTGCCAGGGCCTGCCATTTAAATTAGGATTCCAGGGCCTGCCTCAAAAATGGGAAATTCCTTATTTCTGCTTCAGGCTTCGCATGTCCTGACGGTTCCCGCATCAATATCGCACGTTTGAATCGAACAGAAATGCGAAAACGAATAGCCCCGAGACGCTTCGGTCCTCCTCACTCCCCTTCCACGTTGCGCGGGGTGAGACGTATTTCAGGAGCAGGAGAGGTAAGCGAACGCTGAGTGCGGGGCTGGTTAGGCCGCCAAATCTGGATAGCCTGAGGTGAGCGGGAGCTTCGGAGGTAAGCGAGCGCAGGGCGGCGTGCATAATTTGCCTCTGATTGGTTCACACTTGATGCGAATCAAGTTACTGGGCTACCTTTGTTTGGCGAAGCGAGTCGCAGATGTTCGCGGTGCAATGAGATGGGGCTGTTCCCCTTCCGCCAGAGTTTCTGACAGAATGCTGAAGTGGACACATCTGTTCGCGAAAGCAGACACATCATCACACGCTTGAAGGTGGATTGGACAGGCGGTCACGTGGCGACCTCGACGCCACAAATGAGTCACCTCTGGCGCTTTAGAGAGGCCGCCTGTGGTGGCTCGTGTTTTGCTGTCTTGTGTGCCACATGTGGCGAACTCTGAGTGGGTAAAGGTGGGTTATATTTTTCCTGCCCTTGACCTTTCTATCGTTTTTCCTGTCCGGACCGCAACGTTGGCAGAAAGGCATTGGCTATTCAGTTGTTGACCTAAATCCTCATACGCTTTATGAAGTTTTCTCGTTACCCACCGGAGTAGCATACTATTCTATACATGCTGTTAGCATGAACCTGCGTTTTCTGTAACACAGCAGTAACCAGGGCACCCCTTCAGTTCCCAACCTCTCGGATGGCACACGTGGGAGGGAGACATGTCAGCCTGCACTGTTCCGCACGGGCATTCCCAAGGCTCATGTCTGTTGGTTGTTTCCACCCAAGATTCCTGGGGTCACCTTGCCCAGACCTGACGTGGTATAACACGTTTCTCGAACCCCACCAACCACAGCTTCGCGCTTCGCCTGGTCAACTCTCCTCTTCCATGGCTCGTTTCGTTCAAGCAGGATTTCTGGCCGTTTCGCTGACGGAAGTCGTTGCGCTGGACAGAACAGTGCTAGTTCCGTCATTTCCCTGCTCAGCAGCATCACAACTACTGTATCTGCTTTCGTGGACCCAAATTCTGTCATTCTGTCCATCTGAGCGGCTCTGATTGAAGATCCGTGCTAATTTCAACGTATCGTGGCCGTCGACTGGTTCTTTAACTCGTTGCTTTCTGTTCATCATCTGTACGTTTGTTGGTGGTCACGTGCACCACTGCTTATTCCCACTTACCTAGTCCACGCTCAACGACCTAATAGCTGCGCTAGGCCACACTCTAACGACCTAGTAGCTTTGCTAGGCCACAAATTTACTCACAAGAGATTAGAGCGTCTACGTAATTGCATGTTTAGCATCCCGCGTTTGATTACATAGCATCCCGCATCCTGCTTCTTTTTTCCAGCGCATTCCGTCCGTCCATCTCTCGCGCTCCTGGCATCATTGACACATAACATACAAAATACCGTCCACTTCACCAGAAGGCATGTCGTACAGACGAATATTGCTGCCGGAGCCTCCGCCAGTCATAGGATCGGCGGGAACGCCGGAGATCTTCGAGCAAGGCGGCACGGCGTCCGTGATTCGTCGCGCTGTGATTATAGGGAACGGCCATCCCGGCAGTGAACACCAGAGCCTGGGCCTTGTGCGAGCTCTGGGACTGGGAGGGTCCATGGAGATACAGGTAGGAAAGCCGTACAATATGAATGATTCAAGTAGCAGAATCAGGTGTCATTTCTCTCTTCATTTCTTTGAGATGCAACCTCTGGGGGCTCCAGTTACCTGTCGAGATTCAGGTAGGATGATAGGAGATCTTAGATGGGTCCAGTTTCATGTCGCTTGCGTAACAATCCCTCTGAATTCACTCAAATTCCGGCTGCAGTGGTGCGAGGAAATCTAGATACTAGATTCAGATGTCTAATGTCGTTTCCTTGACGCATTTCTCGACTTCTTGGTTCGAGCACATTTGGATGGTGACCCTTCAACTTTAGAGAATTCTCAAGAGGTAGCATATACCTCGATGGTGACTCTTCAGCGTCCTATCCAATATGTTCTGCGTCCCTCCGCTTTCCCCGCTCTAACCGATCCTGCAACCCTGATGCCCATGTTTGAGAATTCTTGAAAATGCCAGTCTTTCTTAACACCTCCCCTCACCTTCACCCTCGCCTCCTTTCTCCCCCTCCCCGGCCCCCTCACCCCGCCCCTTCCTCCCTCACCCCTCGCATCCCTCCCTCACCTTTGGGCCTCCTTTCGTTTCCAACCACCGACTCCGTTCTTTCTTTCTATCTCTCCCCTCTCTCCCCTCTCTCCCCTCTCTCCCCTCTCTCCCCTCTCTCAGAGAGTGGTTCGTCCTAAGGCCGGCCTGCATCGCTGGTTACGGTGGTTACCACTGGAGACGCACCAGAATCTAGACACGTATCTCTCTCTGCGCCTAGCATGGCTCTTCCAGGCCGTGTCCTCCGTAGTCCTCCGATTAGCCCTTCTCCCACCCCCCAGATTAAGCCTTCCAGCTCCCCCCACACCCCCATCAGCATCACCATCATCATCATCCGCACCATCAGCTGTATCACCAGCAGAAGGACTAGCAGGATCAGCGACAGCAGGAACAGGCGTGAGTTTACCCACAGGTAGAGAAGCAGCTGCTGTAGCGTACACAGACGGACGGTCTGCTGTAGGAGGAACGGAAGCAGCTAGTTCACTTTATAACCCCTTCTCATCCCCGTCCGTCAACGGTACTGTAGGTTCCCCTGGCAAGCCGTTGGAAACAGTTGTAGCAGGTTCTACTAACGGTATGAATAGCACCTTCGCCAGTGGCACCTTCGCCAATAGCACTTTCTCCAATAACACCTTCACCAATGGCACCTTCGCCAATGGCACCTTCGCTAATGGTACCATGGCCAATGGCACGAGTTCTTCATCATTTCATACCTCTGACCCTTTCCATCCTCGTTATGAGCCGACTCAGCACACGCCCAGATCCGTGCTCCTTCCTAGAAGCAACCCTGTCTCCGCCCAGCGGCCTCGTATCCTATCAGAAGCTTCCACGTCAGCGTTTCTCCCTGCTGCTGCTCCTGCGGACCCTGCTGCGATCGCCAGGGAGGCAAATGAGACCCTTGAAAGGTGAGGGGTGCAGCAGAAAATGGTGCGGTGGAATGCGGTTAAGTGAGAAGGGATACGGTTGACTGATGTGCCAGCAGGGAGACGAATGAGACTCTTGGAGGGGGGTGCAGCGGGGGATGGTACGGTGTGATAAGACCCTTGGAAGGTGAGGGGTGCAGTGGGGGATGGTGCGGTAACTTTCGGTTGAATGATGTACCAGCACGGTTCAGCATCTTCTTCTGCTCCTTAGTGACAATGTGATGACTGTGAGATTATATAGGGTAACCCATTCCACACACCCACCTGCTGCCATCCCCGCCCCTCTCCTCTTCCCTTCCTTCCCCCTCCCCTTCCTCTTCTCCCCTCAGAGAGGGCCCACTGCTGGTGGTGGCAGCAGGGAGGGACACAGCGGCAGCAGCAGAGGTGAAGCGCCTGGCCCCCAGCTCCACCCTTGTGGTTCAGATCCAGCACCCCAGAATAATCAAATATGAACCTCTCCCCTCCTCCCAACAGTGAGGGGCCACTGCTGGTGGTGGCAGCAGGGAGGGACACAGCGGCAGCAGCAGCAGAGGTGAAGCGCCTGGCGCCCAGCTCCACCCTTGTGGTGCAGATCCAGCACCCCAGAAACGACCTGCACCAGTATGACCTGGTGGTGGCGCCTTTGCACGACTTTTACGGGCTCACAGCAGCAGCAACCCGGGAGGTGCCTTCGTGGATTTTGAAGTGGATCGCCCCTGCTCCGCCTGCCAAGAACGTGGTAAGTCCCACCTGAATTCCCAGGTACGACCTCCACCAGTACATACTGAAGTGGATACTGAAGTGGACCGCCCCCGCTCCGCCTGCCAAGAACGTGGTAAGTGGTAGCTTGGCACGTGCCATACCTACCTCCTCCTGCCCTCCCAGAAACGACCTCCACTCCACCAGTATGACCTGGTGGTGCCTCTTGCTCCTGACCTCCCCGCCAAGAACGTGGTGAGTGGCTACTGCCATAAACGTTGGTAGCTCCCACACCTGCCCTGCCAGAAACGACCTTCACCAGTACGACCTGGTGGTGGCGCCTCTGCACGACTTCTACGGGGTCACAGCAGCAGGCAGCAGGGAGGTGCCTTCGTGGATTCTGAAATGGACCGCCCCTGCTCCACCTGCCAAGAACGTGGCAAGTGCCCACCTGCAGTGCAACCCCGCCCACCTGCAGTGCAACCCCGCCCACCTGCAGTGGACATGGTGTGACATCGCGGAATCGCAGCAGCAGCAGAAGCAACAGCAGCAGAAATAGTGGTACCATCTCAAAACTGCAGAGGCAGCCGCAATCCGCAGTGGCTGCATTTCAAAACAAATGCACCTAAGCAACCCACCATGTCATAACCCCTCACGTCTAGTCTTCCCCGCCTCCCCCCCTTTCGCTCACCCCGTCCTCTGGCAAATCAGGTGTTGACAACTGGCGCACTGCACATCGCAGAGCCGTCCCTCCTCCGCTCAGCAGCTGCCACGTGGCACTCTCTCAGTGACTTCCCCAAGCCACTTGTCGTGGTCAACATTGGTGGACCCACTCGTAAGTCCAGCTGGCTTTCTCAAATCATTATGAGTACATAGCAACCAAGCTTTGCCCCACCTACTGAAGAAAGAAGTCGAACACTTCTGCCTCCTTGTTCACATAGAGGCACATGGCCCCGTTGCATGTGGAGGGCATAGAGGCACTATTGCCTCATTCTTTGCCTCACTTCCAATTTGCCCCACTACCGGCCGCTCTCCCACTCTCCCCTTCCTGCCACCTCACGCACTCCCTGCTGCCCAGGTCACTGTAGCTACCGCCCAGATTTGATTGCACAGCTGGCAAGGACACTCAAGGAGATGCTGCAAGAGTGCCAGGGGTCTCTCAGCGTGTCCTTTTCAAGAAGAACACCCGTGGCGGTACGTGGCTGGTTCTTTAGGCGACTCAAATGCCGTCACAGCTGGCAAGGACACTCAAGGAGATGTTGCAGGAGTGCCTGGGGTCTCTCAGCGCGTCCTTTTCAAGAAGAACACCCGTGGCGGTACGCACCTGATTGGACTCTGTTCCTGGACGTTACTTTGGAGGGACCTTGAGTACAACAAAGGAACGATTGGGGAAAAACTGTGTGTGTGTGTTTCCTTGATGATGTTACTATCTTCGTCTCCTTGTGTAACAACAGACACCCCCCGCCCCCGCCACCATTCCCGTCCTCCATACCCACTCCCTGTCACACCCTCTTCCTCTCTGCGTGCCTCTTCAGATGCAGCGACTGCTGCAGCAAGAGTTGAAAGACCAGCATGCTGTTTAGCAGACCCTCACTCCCACCCTCACCCCCATCCCCATCCCCACCCCCACCACTGCCCTCATCCATACCCTCTTCGCCATACAGATGCAACGAGTGCTGCAGCAAGAGCTGAAGGACGAGGATGCTGTTTAGCAGACCCTCACTCCCAGCCTCACCCCCATCCCCACCCCCACCCCCACCACTGCCCTCATCCATACCCTCTTCGCCCTACAGATGCAACGAGTGCTGCAGCAAGAGTTGAAGGACGAGGATGCTGTTTACATATGGGATGGTCAAGGTGAGTACCATCCTTCAAAAGTAGCCCTCTGTGGTGCGCATGTTTAGAAAAAATATGTAGTTTCCTTGTATTGGTGGTAATTATGTATGGAATTATGAATTGCCGTATTTACTGCACTTACCTCACTCAGGCATGGTGTGGGAAGCTTCAACCTTTCACAGGATTTATCGTCCTCGTTTTTCAAGTGTAATTCCTTGGTTTATAAGTGTCAGGATACATGATGATCAATCATCTGTGTGCTGTGTTGTTTTAAAATGCAGGCCTGGACCCTCACTTGGGTAACCTCGCTTGGGCTGATGCGTTTATAATCACTGCGGATTCTGTCAGCATGATCAGTGAAGCCTGCTCCACAGGGTAAGTGTTGTGTTACATATATGTTGGATTACATGTGGGCAGTATATGTTGATTGGGGTGCAGATATGTTGCATGTAGTGCCCTGAGTTCTTGCTCTTACCCTCCGTCAATTGCTCAGATTCCCGCACTCGTATTTCATTGCTTTCAGTTTCGTGTCATTGGTCCTCTCATGTGTTATGGCAGCAAGCCAGTGTACGTGGTGGGTGGGGAGCAGTGCAAGTGGAAGATTGCCGAGTTTCACCGAACCCTCCAGCGGAGAGGAGCCATTCGGCCTTTCAACAACTCTGTCAATGTCAGTTTCACACTATCCATGTCATTGGATGTTCTGTTAGATGCCAGCTCATGCCCTGCCAGCCAGGGTTTCTTCACCCTCGGTCACTATCAGTTTCCAAGGCTCATTCCCATTCTCCTCCTTTCGGTACCTCTCGTCCGAACCCACCTCCTTGTCACGTGTAACAGCTTGCAAGCACATGGAGCTACCCACCGTTGACAGACAATGTAGACGTAGCGGCACGTGTCCGCGCGGAAGTGGCCAAACATGGATGGGTCTTGCACCACCCATAACACTTAGGATGTACTTCGTAATACATGTGTTGGATGATGCAGCCTATATGCGATTGTGCTCTACAAGCTGCTATGTATCGTGTTTGTATGCTGGTTATTGGTAACAAAAATTGAGTTAAAGATAGTAAAAGAAACAAAGAAGTGAAGCCATGAAGATTAACTTAGTCATGGGAGCATTCACACATTTTGAATGTGTGATGTTGGTATATGACCCCAAAAAACATTGCAACATCAAGTTTGTTCTTCAATTATGTTACGGGTGCAATGGAACGAGATAGCGAGGATTGCACTAGGTGTCAAACGAGTACAAGGTATGAACGAAGGCATGGGCGAATAGTTATACGCGAAACATGCAAACGGTAATGCGGTGCGTGCGAGCTGGCTAGTGCTAGGCTGGCATCGATGTTCGGGCTAGCCCGGAAGCCTAGGCCGACTCGGCCGGGCCAGCGGTGCATGGTTTGGTAAAACAGTGCGCGCAAAATTAGCGAGGCCCCGCTAGCATTAACGGGCGAACAACGGCTGCTGCTGTACGAGATGCTGATGGTCGCGGTAATGAATAGAGAAAATTCCTTACAATTAATTCAGAATGAGGTATCTGTTTCTGCAAGCACCCACTTTGAAATTGCCGCGCGTCAGAAATTCAAATTCGGATGGCCCGGCGGGAAACGCGTTTCTGACGCAGCACATGAACGCCAGAAGTGCCAATTGAGCGAGTCGCCTCGCCATGTGTGGGGCCAGTCAGGTCAGCTTCTCATCCATTCAGCAAACCGCACAGATACAGCGCAAATCAGCCCAACCCTATTTCAATTCATCAAACCGAAACGAACCGATTTATACCTGTCACTTACTTACCCTTCTGCCATTCCTCACCAGTCATCATCTCGGGGCTTTTCCTTCCTGCTGGGTGATCCTCTCTTGGGTGACCCTGGGACCTGGACTGACCTCCGCTCTCCCCATTGCTCTGGTCTGGTCTCCAGAGACGTTTTTTTTCCTTGTGGGTTCAGAGTTCCCTGAATCCCCATTGCTCTAGTCACCGGCCTTTTGACACTCCCTCCTCCCCTGAAATTATCCTGTTACTCTTTGAGACGCATATAGCTTCCTGAGACCCGAGCGTGGCTGCTGACTAGATCCCCCACGTAGCTACTGCTATTTCCAGCTTCTATTTATTACTCATACAGCTGAAACGCGTACTGCTTGTGACAGGCTGTCTGACTCTCATTTGCTCATCCCTAGCCGAGTCTTGTAGTAAAGAAGCAACTTGCTGTTAGACCAGCAGCTTATCGTTCCATTTTAGGCCATAAGGGCTCTCTCGAAGTAGGACTCACTTAGCCTTTGCTGGAAACCTCTAGTTTCTGTTACAGCTGGTGTATCTGAACTGGCGCTCGCGTTTTGGATATTAGCTCTCGCGGTCCTGCACTCATTGGTGATAAGAGTACTTGTTAATTTATTTTCGGTGCTGAAGCCACAGCTTCCGAAGAAAGCTCCATCGATGGACGAGGCAGTCAGTCCGACCTTTCCGAAGGAGGGTACTGCAATGGAGGTTGAAGAAAAGCCGAAGCAATATATTGACCCAACATACGAGTTTGTGCAGGCTCCCAAGTATTTTGATTTCGTCAATGGTGATATGGAGGATGCCTCGGCTGATGAATGGTTCCGATCGACACCAGGACATCCAAAGTCTCGTGAGTAGCCTCTATACACTTCTCAAATGATGTTATGCTCATTGGGTTTTTATTTAGATTAGTTTCCCTTTTCAAAAGTTGGTTCAACGGAATCGTTGCTGTTTCTACTTGCAGCACTGGTTGTGAAGGCCATGGCTTCTGGTCAACGCATGATGCCGAAGGAGGCGATACCGCTTCTTAGCGCTATTAAGGTATGTTTTCGTTAAGGGAGCCATACGGCTTTTGTTTTTAATTTTGGAGCATTTCTGCATAGAATCTTCAAACTGACGGACGACTTCTCATGGATTCGCAGATTCCTGAACCAACTCCTCGTCCTACGCGGTTTATGACGAAGTCTGACGGTCCACAAAGGTGATTACTGAAACCGTTTTTGGTACTTCTCAATCTGATTGATCTTGTGTGTTAGTACAGGTACTGATGTTCTTGTTGTTACCTTAAACTGTTCGGGATTTACAGAGTCAAGTGCGATGACGTCGCTACCATGGATGGTGCTGGAGAGAACGCGGGGAATGACGGCGAAAACGGCGGAGCAGTGGAGGATGAGGAGGATAAGCAGTGGACCGACGTGGATTTGAAGGAAGAAGGAGATGCGATCCAGCATGAAGGATCCGCCAGTGAAATTCCGTTGAACGATGAAATTTCAGGGGATGCTGAGGGGTTAGAGCTTCACACAGCAGGCGTGAATGTCGCTGCAGCAGAGGCTGGATCGGACGCTCCAGCAGCAGGACAAGGGCCGGAAGTGGAGGTTCAGCCTGTAATGGAGCAAGACGAACAAGGTCCGGCTGGCCGTTCCATTTTTTAAAACTCGTGAAATATCTGTGAATTCTTGTAAAGTTACCAGAGATTTTGTAATGACCTTCTGTGATTGTGTCCGTTTGCAGGCTGCAAGGCTGGATCGTCCGGCGCGAGGATTCACGGCATGCAGACCAGAGCAATGGCGTCGGCCTCGCACGCGGGAAATAGCAACCCTTTGCCTCCTCTCAGTGGTTCTGCTGGTAAAAGGAGCCGCGAGGAAGAGGAAACGGACGAAATGATCACGGCCGTTTTCCCCCCGGTCGAGGAGACGTCTCCAGAGAGTGGTGGATTTCCAAAGAAGAAGCTGTGGGATCAGCTGAGGAGCATGCGAATCAGCACGCCCCGCTCGATCCGCGCGAAATCCAGGGTCTCGAAGGTCCACAGTGCGCGAAAGGCTGGTGCTTCTGGTGATCAGAGTGAGGTGCCTGGCCGAGCTGATGGTGTGATGCGTGGCGCTGATGATACGCATGAAGCTGCTGCTGATGCGTGTGATGGTCAAGGTGATGCTGCTGCTGGCTCAGCTGCTGAAGCAGCTGATGCGAGTGGAAAGCCAGCTGGCGCTGCTAATGCCTCGGTTATTGTCGCCGCTTTCATCGTAGGTGCTGCTGAAGCCACTGCCGCAGCATCTGAGGCGGTTACCTTCACTTCTGCCGCTCCCCGACCAGCTGAAGCTCCTTCTGCTGCTGCTCCTGCTGCTCCTGCGGCTGCTACCACCCGTCGTGCTACTGACCCGACATCCACCCGTGCGTCGCTCCGACGAACCTCTGCCAGGCTCAAAGCAAGAGGAGGAGCCCCCCCTTCAGGGTATGTGCGTTGGATTGACCCCTGTAGGATCGATTACCTGCTGAGTGGCCAGTGTTTCTATCCTGTTGCCGTCTTCCGTCTCTCACATCCATGTACGGATTCGAAGGTGCTGACGGTTTCGTCTGTCATCTGTTTGGCAAACACTGTTTGCAGAGCTGCTCGGCCGTCTCTCATGGCAGCGACGGCAGCTTCCGCTGCCAGAAGTGCGGCCACCAGCGGATCGAAGGCGAGGCCACGCGAGAATAAGAGGCAGAAGGTCGACAGGACCCCACAGCAATGGAAGGTAATTCACAATTGTGCATGGTTTCGTTTCACTCTCAAACAAATCTTGCTGATCCATCCAATGCTTATTTTTTGCTCCCAACATAATCGGAATCTGACGTTAGGACTTTATGGTGGTTTGAAAGCTGTCTTTATTTTTTTTGGGCCCTAGCTCGTGTCTAACTTGACTTATACACCACAACCCCTCTGGTCGTGCGCTTACAGGCACCTACCAGCAGTCGCCCTACAGGGCTTACAGTTCCGCAGCCGTTCAATCTCAGAACGGACGTCAGAATCCGCCCAGGAGACGCGAAGCTTAAAAACGAGGTGCGCCACTTCCAAATGTATTGCTTCTTTCTTTCGAAACGGGCACAAATGTTGTTGATCCATACATGCACTCAGGGTAGCATTAAGAAAATCCTGCTTCTTGCCTCTCCAATTCAGCAACCAACCTTCCACGTTATTACGTTTGCCGTTGCCATTGTCCTGGTCGCAGGCACAGCCCTTCGTCTCCCTCGCCCAAAGCGTGCAAGCCTTTGCTCGCTCGAGCCGATCTTCAGATGCAGAGGTACGCAACCACAACGCAGTCTGCTGGAGCTGGTTTTATCAATTCAGCCTCATAACTCCATTATTCCTATCGTTCGGTCAGGCTCCATGGAGTTTCTCTCACGGTCAGCTCCACCTCCCATTCTCATGACGCTCTCTGGGGTTTTTATTTCTCAATTCCGCTGCTGCCTCTGATCCTTCCTCCCAGGCTGGTGCTGCGCATGGGAGTCGCCCGGGGGTATCAGCGGTTCCTGCAGCAGCAGAGCCTCATCTCACGGTGCCCCAGCCATTCGTCTTCAACACGGAGAAGAGGCGTGGGTCTCAGAATGAGAAGACGAAGGAGGTGGGGTGACGATGATAGACTTTTATGGATGAGCTGTGCGAAGCCTTGAAACAGACGGACGCCTTTTATTGCAAGCCGAAGAAGAAGCCAGTCTTGCTGCTTCTGGTTCCCCTTGTCTTATCACTTCTCGTTCGGTAACATCTCATGAAGGTACTGGCGTGTCCGTGTTGCGTGATGTGCAGGCGAAACCGTTTGTGTCCCTTGCTCAGAGCGTCAGCATGTTCGGCATCAGGGGCAACCGATCATCAGAGGTCGAGTCAGGTTCACACGATGGCAGGTCCACACACGAGCTTGGCCTGACCATTCCTGAACCGTTTGACTTCAAGACAAACAGGCGGCAGCGACCGAAAGACGAGCAGCTGAAGAAGGAAGCGAAGCCGTTTGTGTCACTCGCTCAGAGCGTCAGCATGTTTGGCGCCAGGAGCGATCACCGATCGTCAGAGACAGAGCACAAAGCGCACGAGAGTGGGCCTTCCCACGGGGCTACTCTTACCGTACCTGAGCCGTTTGACTTCAAGACTGACAGGCGCCTGCGACCAAAGGACGAGCAGCTAAAGAAGGAAGCGAAGCCTTTTGTCTCGCTTGCTGAGAGTGTCAGCATGTTTGGCGCCAGGAGTAGCCGGTCATCTGAGACCGAGTCCCACGCACATGAGGGCGGGCCTTCCAACGGGGCTACTCTAACCATTCCTGAACCATTCGATCTGAAGACAGACAGGCGCCAGCGACCCAAGGACGAGCAGCTGAAGAAGGAAGCCAAGCCATTTGTATCCCTCGCCCAGGAGCTCAGCTCGTTCTCAGCACACATGAGGCCGGAAGGCGAGGCTCCTACCGCCTCTGCTGCTGCTTCCAATGCTCCCCGTGTGACCAAGCCTGTGACGCCGAAGCTGCTGACGGCCCAGAGGGAGCGGCCGAGGAGGTTCCGGGTGCTGCAGGAAGGGGAAGCTGCTGGCACTGGGGTGATGACCCGGTCTGCTTCAAAGAGGGGCGCGACAGCTGCTGCCGCTGGTGGTGCTGGTGGTGGTGTGGCTGGTCCAAGGCTTCCCACGGTACCTTGCTCGCCCATGCTGACCACCAAGCTGCGAGCACGAGCAGCAAAGTAAGTCGTGCGCCACAACCAACAGATCAACAGGTTGCACATATGGTAGGTTCTCTTCGTAGCTTTCTTCTGGATTGCCATTTGATGGTCTTCTTTCTGGTGTGTGCTTCTTCCAGGGTGAAGAGCAGCGAGGAGAGGGAGCTGGAGGAGATGGCGAACGCGGCTAAGCGCATGCATACCAGCAAGCACGGCAGCTCAGAGGTACTGTTGGACGTTCTCTCGTGCACTCTTGTGTTACTCACTCGGCCATTGTACCAACCCCCCTTGCGTCGAGTAGAGTCGACCTTCTATTCGTAAACCCAGCTGCTGTTTGTTTGAGGCGCATCGAAATCATAGACGGATCCATTTGGTTCCTCCTTTACTCCTCTGCTTCAGGTGCCAACCGTCACTCATCCACGGGAGTTCCACCTGTTTACTGAGGTCAGTTCGCTGCTCCTATTCTTCCACACTAGCACACTTCACGCATTATTGCCCAGAGCCTTGCCCCTTGTGCATGCCTCCCTGTTCAACCCTGGTTCTCATTACCAACATCCGACTGACCTGCTGCATGGTAACCCTGTTACATGTCCACATAACCACAGGAGCGTGGGCAAGCGAAGCAGCACAAGTTACAGCAGAAGCTGGCAGAAGAGGAGGAGGAGAGGCGCAGGGCAGCCATTCCCTTGGCAGCACCCATGCCATTCACCACCCTCGCCCCAGAGTTCCTCCGCAAGCCGCCAACTAAGCCAGCCACCGAGCCAGAGGAGTTTGAGCTAGAGTCGGTGAGGCGGCACCAGATGGCACAGCAGCGGCTGGAGGAGGAGGCGCAGAGGAAGGCGCAGGAGGAGGCTGCTCAGAAGGAGTTCCATGCACAGCCCCTGCCTGACATGACCAAGCGGTGAGTTCTGGCTGTCGAAACAGACACCACCAAGCTCTGCTTGCCTGGCTCTAAGCTGTTTCTGGTCTCTGGAACCCGCGACCATGTTTTTGTGCAGATCTTCTGCTTGGCTGACTGACTTGCGTTATTCTTGTACCTGCTTGGTGTTATTACATGTCCCGTCCTGGTTAGGAATGCTTGCTGCGATTCTCACAACTCAGTGTGGTTGTTGCGTCCCTCCCAGGCCTGAGTCCCCAAGGCGCATTCGCGTGCTGACGGAGGTGAAGCCGTTCAACCTGAACGTGGACCGCCAGGCAGAGCACCATACATGCGCCAAGAAAGCGGTACGTTGAGAAATTCATGCTGTTGCTACATCCTCAAACAACTGGTGCTCTCGCCATTTTCAGTTGCTGAGTTGCCATGACTAAGAGGCTCATTGTCTGTGTTTCTTTGTGATTTTTGACCTGGTTGATGTCTGGATGATTTTGACTTAATACCGTGGTTGATGTCTGAGTCTCTTTGTATTTTTTCTCATTGTGTTGTTGCAGTTTGCTGAGAGGTGTCAGCGGGGTGAAGAGGAGTACGCCAAGATGCAAGCACGATGCAGGGTGAGTTTCCCTGCCTTGTCATTGCACGATCTCGCACACATTCTTGTTGTGGAACGATGCTTTGCTGACTCAACCTCGAGGCGCCTCAATGATAGAGTTTCTTGCTGCGACCATGCCTTGCTGACTTCTTGAGCATGCGCTGTGGGCCTTGCAGAAGGAGGAAGAGGAAGAGATCAAGAGGATGCGTAAGGGGATGGTTCACCACGCAGTTCCCAAGCCCTCCTACGGGGAACCATTTGTTCCAAAACGGTGAGATTGGCTTGATACCGCCAGCTCCAGGTCAAAAGTCCTGCTTTCACCTACAAGAGCTTTCCACATTCTTGTTTTGCTCTTATTCAGATTCGTGGCTTATCTCGTTCTTTGTCCTCTTCTCAGGTCAGGGAAGCCCTTGACTTAACCAGTGTCCTCTTGTCCAGGCTTAGAGGCTGTGCGGGCAAGTAGGTTGCAGCAGGAGGACATGTATTAACTGCGTGCTTAGAGCACGCCCGGGGATTTGCAGCTTATGCTGTCTCTGTGTTGGTCCAACACCTCCTTACGTTGGTTGTAGCTTTGCCTCGGCTAACGGATTGTAGACCCTGGCACGATTCTCTGTGCCATATAAGTAGTGCAGTGTAATGTAGTCAGATATACTTGGGAATCTCGAATGTTGCCGTACATTTATTTCGCTGCAGCAGTAGCAGAGTCTATGGTACCTCTGCATAGGACTGTGTGGCATCATAGCCATATGATGCTGTATGTATGTAGCTCTGAATAACAGTTGCTGATCTTTCTGAGGGCCTTCTTCTGCCTTGAGTTGAGAGCCCCCAGCACGATGAGAATGCCAGAACAAGTGGATTCAATGTCGGAATGGAACCAATGAATTCAAAAGATCCACCAGCGTTGGGAGAATGTAATACGGTAACAAGTAGCCCCAAGATCCATATGAGCACGCGTTGGTTATTGCCGAAATAACAGATCTGAACAAAAACACCCCTTAGGCTGCTTTGCATGTCATGCTAGACAGCTTCACATATCACACAGTATCTGCAGATTAGGCATAAAGAGCTACTACGGTACTACTCCCACTGCATGCGAGGGGGTGGGGGGGGGGGGTCATGTTAATAGCCAGTATGGATGGACACCCGATGGGGAAAAATGGGCTCTAATATACACACTGCCAGAAGGCACACTACCCAAGGACCACACAGTACAGCAAAAATGCTAACGCTGATGGGATGCATCTGGGGTACCCGGTATGAAACCTATAAACAGCACGTGTTTCCTTGAGAACAGCAGACAGGTGTAGCAGATCCACTGCAGCAGTTAGCAGTGGGACAGCAGACCCCTCCACAGCACGTGTGATCCAACGTGCTCTCGCTCTGCATACACAAGCATAGAGCATGAAACGAGATCAGTTGTGGTACGACATCTCCATTAGAAGAAGGATCAGCAATCGAAAGAGAAATAACCAATTCAAACAACTGTTGATTGAAGATAACGCGGAAACTAATCGCGAGGCATTGGCACTTACAACGCCACAGCAGGTTGTGTTTCCGCACACGCCCCAGCAAATCGCAGTGTCGCCGCTACCGCAGCACGTGGCTTCCGGAAGGCAGCACGGTCGCGAGTACGCGCCTCCGCCGGTCACCGTGAGGCACACGGGACAGCTAGCGCTCGCAGGAGCAGGCGCTGCCGCAGTGGAGGTGTTCGAAGCGACCGCTGGCGACGGGCAGGGTGTCGGTGCGACTGGTGCTGGCGACAGTGCTGGCGACGGTGCTGGCGACGATGCTGGCGACGGTGCTGGAGACGGTGCTGGCGACGATGCTGGCGACGGTGCTGGCGACGGCGACGGAGACGGCGACGGTGAGCACAAAACGGTCACTTCTAACGAGTCGCCGTTAGACGTCATGGTAGCAGAATCAGATCCGGTAGCAGCCTGCTGAGCAGCTTCCGCCGAAAGGTCTTGCGGGACGGACGACGGATCTGAGTTCGACAGCGAAGCTTCCTGTAGGTTTCGCGAGGAAAGCCATAGCCAATCCTTGTTGCTCGTAACGCCAGAAGGACGAAAGCTCGCGGAAACGGACGGCGTGACGGTGACGCCAACGAAACGCGCGTCCACGGAGAATGGATCTGAGCAAAGAGTGACGAGAAGCACGAGAGTGATGACGGCGACTGTCCGATTGAAAACAGCCATGGCGTCGGATAGGGATTGTTGAGACAAAAGTGCTGTAGTAGAGATCAAGAAGCGGAGAGACAGAGAGAGTCTGGAGCAAGCGTTATTTCCACCGTCTGTGAGAACGAAGATGATTAGTCAACGACCGTCGTGGAGGATGGAGACCTAATGAGATTCGCGGAGCGAGAAGGACTCGTGCTGGTTGCGATTTGCGAGTCAATGAGGCGAAGAGTGAGAACGAAAACGGGAGCGACGATTGAGAAGGACCCGGGTGAAACGACCGCGCTTTATACTTGCTAGGATCCATCGAAAGGGCCTGTAAATCGCTTCGTCCTTTGAAGGCTTTGAGTCGCGCTTCGTCCATTGAGGGCGTTCCATCGAGTCGGGAGAATGCGATAGGGTTGACCTTAGGCCTTTGGCGGCTCTCCTCCTGACACTCCTGAGCCTACGCCTAACGCTGTCTTGATCTCGTCGAACGAGAATCAACTCGCAGCGCGACTACGCCTATTTCTAGTCTGCTACCCGCCTTGATAATCCTGACTCCCAGAACTGCGACTTTTCTGACGAAGTTTTCCCCCGCCACTCCCCAGTCCTGCCGAAACTCGGCCGCCTAACGAAGCTGCTTCTGCGCGAAACTCACGAGAGGCGGCGAAGCTAGACCCTCTGCCCGTAGTAGTGCTTTACGGAATGGCGAAATATCTCCATCTAGTTTCAAGGAGAAGTGTGTAACAAGAAAATCCGCGATGTTGCACTCCTCAGTGGAGTTCACAAGCAGTGCTGTGTAAAATCACGGCTACGATCAGCATCAGAACCATCAGGGAGATTATTGAAATAATGGCAACAGCCCTAAAAAAAACGAGGAGTCTACTCAGTCCAAGTAATAAGTGGATGTCAAGAACCAGGCAGTAGAACTCGCGGCAAACGAGAGCAATCACACCTTGATCATGGTACCGTACACTGAAATTAGGAAACAACAAACTACCCGACTCGCAGAAATAAAAATTAAACGGCAATTGCCTACAATCCTACCGAGTAACTTGAGAGCACACTCTCCACACACCATGCTCTAGGGATTGACGAAACACCACACTGAATTCTGCACTACAGATGAATTTCTATTGCACCAGCTCCAGCCAGCAGCGCCAGCCACTCAGCGTCCACCAATCAACACCACAACTGCTTGCCAGACCCAATACATCGAGTTTGACCGAGTCTGAGTCTCACTGCACCCATCCCTGCCCTCTCTCACTGATTGCACCAGAAAACTCACCAGCAGCTGCAACCTCGTACCACCCAGCACATTCAAAGAAGAAACGAGAGTTTCTAAACGTCTCAAAACCCCCACAAATTCAGACAGAAGCGGCATTTTACCACTGTCACAAGGCAAAGCACAAGCACACAACCCATTAGAGACCCACTCTTCAGGACAGGACGCGCCACCAAACACACAAACGCACACGACCGGTTTGAGCCCCACTCTTCACTGGGCCAAGCTTCGAGTGCCAAGCTCCTGAAAATTCCCTGTTATTCATGCACCCCTTGAAACAACGATTGCTCCAGCTGCCGCTGTTGCTACTGCGTGCACAAGCTGGTGCTGCCGCCTGCACCATAGCTGCTGCCAACTCTATTGCTAACCCCCGTGCTGGAGTCACACTGCCGCTTCTGCCTGCCACCTCTGCTACTGCCAGCTTGCTACTGCCACTCTGCCCTGGTGACTCTCAGTCGACTCGAAAGACCCTTCGAATGAACTCAGAAATGCTACTACCACACTGCCGCTGCTGTCACCTCTGCAACTGCCAGTCTGCCCTGGGCCCAGCAACCGAAAGCCTGCATGTGGCACTTCTGATGCGCGTTAACGCACAACCCTACCTCCCTTCTCTTCCACTGCTACTGCTGCCACCTCTGCCCCTGCTACTCTACCCTGGGCCCAGCAACCAAAAGCCTGCATGTGGCACTTCTGATGTGCCCCTGTCAAAACCCCCTAAGGTTTGGCGCCTTCAAAACCGAGCCCCTTTTCCTGCAAGCATTAGCCCACACCCCTACTTCCACCAAGCGTTAACTCACAGCCCTACCTCCCCTCTCCTCCCCTCGACCACCACCAGAACCCTCTGCTCTCCCCCGCGGCCTCCAACTGCTTTTGAGTCGACTCGAAAGCTTATCCAAGAACTAACTCATAGCCTTACCTCCCCTCTCCTCCCCCCGCCCACCACCAGAACCCTCTGCTCCCCCCCGCGGCCTCCAACTGCCTCCACCTGCTGCCCCCGCTCCTCCCTCTCTCCCTCTCCCTCCCCTTCCTCCCTGCCACCTCCCACCCCCTCGGCCCTCCCCATACCCCCACCGCCCCCCTTGCCCCCTCCCTTGCCAATCCTGTGGCCCCCCTCTCCCGCCTCCATACCCTCCACTTCCCCTGCCTCCGCCTCCCCCTCCCCCTCCCCCTCCACCTCCCCACGCCCCCGATCTACCGCCATAGCCCTGCCCTTCCGCCCCCACGCCTCTGCCCGCGGATTCCCTGTCTTGGCCGCCCCTCCCCCCGCGCCCAGAACCAACTGCTGCTGCCGCTGCTGCAGTTCCAGCTGCATTTGCTGGTGTGGCTGATGTTGCAGCAGCACCACCACCAGCACTGGCACCAGTACCAGGACCAGCAAGGCCACGGCCAGCTGACCCTCCTCGCCCGCTGCCATGCAAGCGGCTCCCTTGCTGCAGCGGGGTTGCAGCAGAGGAAGGGAGGGGCAGGATAGCAGCAGATGCTGCTGCCGCTGCTGCAGCCGCTGCCGCCCCTGCTGATGTTATTCCTGGACCCACTGTTTTCACTACCCCTCCTGCTCCTCCTGCTCCTGCTGTTGCCCCTGCTCCTGCCCCTGGCCCTACAGCTATTCCAGTCACTCCTGCTGCCGCTCCTCCTACTGCTCCTGACGTGCTTCCTTGTATTAACGTAGCAGACGCAGCCCCTGCACTCGAGCCTGAGTACAGCGGCACGGATGGAGAGGCTCGGGTATTCATCCGAGCCTCACCAGCAGGTTCGGCGCCCGTTCCAGTCACCGACAACTGCCGCTGCTGCTGCTGCTGCCGTTGTTGCTCTGCTGTGCTTGCAGCAGCAACGCTCACACCTGAAGCCACCCCTCCTACTGCCGAATTCCCCACGCCTGCCCCTACATGCCCTCCCACATCCATACCTAAAAGAGCTTCGGCCATCGATCCATCCAGGATCGGGGAAGGCGACGACGCTGGCACGCCAATCTGCCCGAACTGGAAAACGGGCAGCTGAGAGCCGGAATTGTTTTCATCCTGCCCGAGAGAGCCCATGCTGAAAGGAATGGGCATGGAGCCGATTTGGATCATATAAGGGGCCACTCCTGACTGTGCTACAGACGGGATTCCCTGTGAAGATGATGAAGCAGACACAAACGAGGATGACACAGACGGGTATGAGGACGAGCCAGACCCAAACGCGTCAACAGCATGCGCGGGGAGGGTTGGGGGAAGAGAGGGGGGAAGAGTTTGGGGGAGGGATGGGGCGAGCGCCTGGGGAAGGGACTGGGAAGGAGAGGACAGGCCCACAGATGGGTCTGGGCCAATGGGGGACCGGGAAACAGGGGAAGAGGCGGTAGGAGCAATGGGAGCGAGAGAGGCAGCAGAGGATGAGGGGAGGTGGGGATCAGGGGAGGTGGATGGCGTTATTCCGCTGGTTCTGCCACTGGGCAAAGTCGCGGTGATTAATGACGTGGCAGCCTCGGTGACGTCCGCATCTGACGTGGCAGACGGAGATATTTTGGAAGCCGCTGCATTGGGTTGGTCATGAGCGTCGACCTCGAGTTTCGAGGCGAGAAGCGCGCCAAGCTCGTCCACCACGTCTGCTGACGTGGCGTCTGATGAAGGTTTGACTTGCATTGACCCTGTAGATTGCTGCTGAGTCTGCTGTCCCCCCTCCTGCTGCTGCTCCGGCGCTTCTCCCTGTAACTTCTGTGCTTGCTGCTGCTGTTGCTGCTGCTGCTGCTGCTGCTGATTCTGATTTTGCTGTGGCGGTACTATACCCTGCTGCTGATGCTGCTGATGCTGCTGGTGTTGCTGGTGTTGCTGCTGCGGGTGCTGATGATGCCGCTGGTGCTGCTGAGAGTACCCCCCCTCCGGCCCTAACGGCCCCCTCCGCCCCTCCAGATGATCCCCTGGCGCCCCCCACCGCCTATCCCTTCCGCCCATGCCCCCATCCACGGCCCCCAGTCCGCCTTCCTCCCGCCCATAGTAATCCCCACCCTGGCCATCCCCCCTGCGCTCTTGATACTGCCTCCCCCCCAGCCCCGCGGGGCCCAGTCCCCCAGGCTCCCCCACCACCCCCACCGCGCGCCCCATCCCGCCCCCTCCCCCCGCAGCTGCGCCAACCGCGCCTATGGGATTGCCTGGCGGAAAGCGCCCCACGGGGCCTGGTCCGCCGATGTACTGGTTCCGCATGGGTGTGGGCCCTACAGACTTATCAAAGTACTGGAGCGGCGCACCCGAGGGAGCTCCGCCTGGCGGGCCCGCGAACGGCCCTCCCCCGCCCCCTGCCCCTCCCCCGCCCATCCCCATGGCGGCATGCGCCCCCCCGCCTGCGGCGCCGCCCCCGAGCATGTGAAACCCGCGCGTGATGTCCCCGTTGCCAAAGAACGAGGAGGACGGGGGGGAGATGGTGACGGGGCGGTGCAGCAGAGGGGGTTGCTGCCCGTGCAGGTGGTGCTGCTGCGGAAGGGGCATACCGGGCGCGGAGTGATGCGCGTGCGCGTGCGCGTGGTGGGGATGCGCGTGGTGCGGGTGCGCGTGAAGCTGCGCATGCGGGGGCGCGTGAGGGGGGACCAGGAGATGCGAAGCACCGGGGAAACCCCCCCCGGGGCCAATCATCCCCGGCGGGAAAAACTGCTGGTGCATCTTCCAAGGCGCAAACCCTAATTCCCCGCCATTCCCCCCGGCGCCACCAAAATCCCGCCCAATCCCGCCCATCTCCCCCATACCCCCCACTCCCCACATATCCTGCTGCCTTTCGCCTAAATAACGCTCCTGCGACCCGTGCGAGTCTATGTGCGATCCAGGATAGCGCGCGAGCGGTTGATTGTAGGCAAAGGACGAGAGCATGGGGCCTGCGCCGGGGTGCCTAGAGGGGTACGGCGCATGGTACGGATCCATTCCGCGCAACTCCGCCCCAGGGGGGAGCTCCGGCGCGCCCCCCTTGTTTTGCTCCCCCGCCTCCCCCGCCGCCGCCGCCGCCGCCTGCTGCTGCTGCTGCACCTGCTGCTCGTTTTGCGCCTCTGCTCCCCCGCGCTCCTGCTTCTCCGCATCGCTTTCCGCTTCCACCGTCACTTGCCCCAACCCCGCGCCTTCTCCCGCCGACTTCACTTCCCCTCGACTTGCGTTCCCCTGGCCATCCTCCAAGCTTCCAGCCTCCGCCCCCGCTTGATCCAATACCTCCTGCTTCACAGTTTCCGAGACTTCCGCCGTTGCGCCACCCACCTCCACTAACACCTGCCCTTCGGCCCTACCCGCTGCCGCGTCTGCCTTACCGCCAGCTGCCGCTGCCTCTGCCGCCTCTGCTGCAGCGTCTGCCCTATCCGAGTCTTCCCAGCTATCTGCCACCTGTTCCTGCTCCTTCTCCTTCTCCTGCTCCTGCTCCTCCTTCGAATCTCCCTCCCCGTCGCCTCCCCCCTCCGCTCGTCTCGCCTCCTCCTCCGCTCGTCTTCTCGCAATTCTATCTTCAAGCTCCTGCAGCTTCTTCCGCGCGTTTTCCTTCCGCCTCTCCTCCTCGTCCCGGATCCGCTGCTTCTCCTCCTGCACCTTCCGCCGCTCCTCCTCCAGCCTCCGCGCCGCGGCTTCCGCCTCCATCTGCGCGCGCAGTTCCGCCTCCCGCGCCTCCTGCTCCGCGCGCGCGCGCAGCTCCTCCTCCTCCCGCGCCTTCCGCACCATCTCCTCCTCCTGCTGCCGCGCCATCTCCATCGCCCGCTGCTCCTCCTCCTCCTTCCTCTGCTTCTCCTGCTCCTTCTGATTCTGAACCCTTTCTAGTTCCGCCTCGAACCTCTCCCGCTCCAAATCCCGAAATTCGCTGGCGGCGGCGGCGGCTTCCGCGTCCTCCTTCTTTTTCCGCGACAGCGCAAGGAGAGCCAAGCTAGGAGGCGGCTCCACGCCGACACGTGGCAGAGACTGGAACTCCGGCCGAGGCAATGACACGTCACCGAACACGTCACCTCCCATAAACCTTTCCCCACGCTCACGCGCCCCCCCCGGGCCGAACGACCGCGAATGCAGATCGCCACGCCCACCGCCAAACCCGCCACCGAATCCGCTGCCGAATCCGCCGCCAAATCCGCCTCCCCGCCCCGGAAATCCCGGGCCGAAGCGGTCGAAATCAGGCTGATACCCAGGACCTCCAACCCCACCACCCCCAACCCCACCGCCACGCCCCCCACGCCCCATACCCCCCCCTGGAGGCCCATCTCTATACCCCCGTCCCCTGCCCATCTGCCCTGGGCCCATCGCACCTGGATTCATCGAACCTGGACCCATCGGGCCTGGCCCCATAGCGCCTGGATGCATCGAACCTGGACCCATCGGGCCAGGACCCATGTGCCCTGCACCCATACCATAAGGAGGCGGTCCGTCCCAGTTACCCGGTCCCCCAAACCCTCCTGCGTCCCGCCCACCCCTTTCGTCGAAGTACCCGCCGGGTCCCGGCCCTCTGGAATCAGCAGGACCCCTTGAGTCGCCATAATAACCAGGCGCGTTGCCCCTCGGACCAGGGCCACCGCGAGGAGGACCCGAATCTCGCTCGTCGTCGGCCCACATGCGACGGGGCGGCGACGGCAGGCGAAACGGATCCGGTCGCATGGGCCCTGCGAACGGATCCGGTCGCATAAGCCCGCCGTCGCCGGACCCGCGAGGGGGGAAATTCGGCTCCTCCTGTCTGTCTCGACTCAAAGAAGTTTTTCCAAGCGGCGCTCGATCGTCCTGCTCTTGATCAGGCTCGTCATCCGCCCAGCGCCCCATGCTTCCCATACCTCCCAGACCTCCCATAGCTCCCGTACCTCCCCTGCTGCTTCGACTGCCCCCGCTTTCTGGCGCCGCACCTGTCTCCTGCCCTGCGACGCTGCTTCGGCGACCGTTGTCGTGTTCCCCTGAAGCGTCCGTTTTATTGCCAGAGCTCCCCCCTGAGGGTACGGGCGGCTGGGGGCTCTTTCCCCGAGAGTGCTCCTTCGCCAGCACCTTCTTGGCAGTTTCGAGCGACGGGAAGTCCTCCCCGCTGATGATGGATGGCTCGTTCTGGCGCCCGGGAGGAGCAGGTTTCGCGGAAGGTGCTGCAGTTGCCATTCCAATTCCGGATCTAGCTCCTGGGGGTTGATACACCCCCGGACGAGAGGCACGGGAAGCATCGCCGGAATCTGCTGCGGAAATCGCGGAAGATTGGAATCCGTGCTGTCCCGAAGCAGCATTGACGTCAGAGGGCGATGACGTGGACCCCAGTGGTTTGGTGGACGAGGAATCACTAGCGGGTCCGTCTGAAACGAGAACAGGTTTCTGCCAGCCCGATCCAATGCCGGTGGGTTGGACCAGGGACACGGATGGGTCGTTTCCTGCGTGCTCTCGCCGCAAAGACGGCAAGTTGACCGGTTTAGGAACGACTAGCCGTGACTTATGCGCAGATCCCATCGATGTTGACCCAGGTCCTGTTTTCCCCAAGACGACCATTCCACCAGAAGATGCAGATTTCCCGAATTTCCCGCTGCCATGGCCGCTTCCGCTTTGTGACTGACTCGAGCTTTGCTTTCCGAAGGAGTTGTTAAGGTTAACGCTGGTGAACCTATTGCGATTGGCCATTCCCGGCTAAAAGCCGCGCGAAAAGATGAACGCTTAGAAGGCGGAAATTGACGACCGAGTGTGAATCGCAGTGCAGCTTGCAGAGCATGGCAAGACGGGGTACGCTAAAAAACTGCACAATAGCACTAATACGCTTATAACAGATGCCAGATACACATGAGATAGATAGATGCCAATGTTCCGACTATCAGTCTAAGGCTTGATCGGGAGAAACCCTAGACCAGATCTGCCAGCAGAGGTACGAAAAAAGAGACGTTGGCGGTGGAGCAGATCTGGCTGGGGAATCCAGATTCCAGCTTCAGGAAAGTCCCGTAGGGGTGTTGACCTTGGGAGTGTCGCGGGATTTTGGGAGCCTTGGGGGTGGGGATGCTTGAGAGATGATGGTAGTGTAGAAGTCGTTTACAATTAGAATAAAGGAATGGAGGATGCGGTCCCGTGTAGAGAAATGGATGCTTCTGGAAGGATTCACGAATTCCTGATTCAAGGGAGCTCTCGCGAAATAGTTCGTTGTCGGTGTACTGCTGTAACCACCAGCTGCGAGGCTGAGTAAAATCTCTTTGGCGGGAAAGAGATCGTCGTCATGATGGGTGCTCTCACCCTTCACTCCCACTGTCCAATAGGTAACCAGCATTTTATGTGTTGGGTATGGTGGTGGTCATCCACAATATAAAGCCCCCATCAGTTCGTGCTGAAACACGAATCACTCGTTGCCGAAGCTTTCGACTTTGCAATACAAAGTTCTATTAGCTCATAATAGATGTATAAGGGAATACTATACATAATGCAACAAAGCAAACGCATGATATTGTATTTAAGATTTCTCTGGTCATCTATATAATATTTATTATGTATAATTCTTGGAAAAAATATGTTTTATTAGCCAGACCCCTGTAATATCTGGTTCATATTGTAGCCGTGTAAGAGTCACCTTGCCGAAACACCAAAGAAGAGTTCTATTGGCACTCGTCTTTTACCATAACGAACTTTTCCTCCAAGAGATCGGTGTTGGCGAAACCCCAACCACCAAGTGCATCGTCGTTGCGTTTGTTCGCCTTGGGTTTTTTCGCAGGGTCAGCTTCGAATCGCGGAAGAACGAGGTGTTCCTCAAACGAAAAGTGTGGTCCTGGGCAGCAAAAGTGAGGTTCAACCCAATGGACAACCAAGGGTAACTGGAAACCAGAATGAACAGTGTTGTGGGCAGCTTCTTGGTCAAGAAAAATATGATTGTATTGAGGGTTGGGTGCTAGCAATCAAGCCAATTATGAGGTGGCAGCACGAATACCCCCCGTCCTTCCATGGGAACTGTTTTCTCGACAGCTGTTTCCTTCGCGTCAACCCCGAGAGTCCTCCTCCTGACCTAACCTCTCAAATGCCAGCCCCTTGGAGCGGGACAAGACGATAGCATCTCAGAGTATGGGAAGCGGGGTGGGTTGTGTGTGTTTCCCTCTTGAGTAGGTTGCAGTTGCTTTGCGCCTTTTTCCAGGTCGCAAGGAAGGCCTAGTTGACTTGACAATGGGAAAGGTGGAAGACGATGGAGGATAGAGCTAGCTTAGCTGGAGCGATTAACGTACAGGTTATGAACGATTAGGGTTGCGTTAAGTTATACTTTGCCGGTTACGGAACAGCGTTTGGACAGAACCAAGAGTCGAAGTCGAGTGTCCAATGCTGTAGAGTGGGCAGCCAGACGTCAATTAACCTGTATTATTTATGTCGGCAAAGTTAGGTATTTCGGTGCAGTGAGATATACGTGGTGAATCGTTTTTATCCCGCCAGTGGCCGATCCATCCGAGCACACAGTTTACGCCGTTACGTCTTACGTATTTCGCCACGCGCCACATACCACCTCGCACATTTCGCCACACGCATCTCGGTTGGATTTTCCGCCTAACAGTTTAATACAGCTTCTAACGGGCCGCTAACAAGTTCCTACCTGGTTATATTATGTCACCGTCCCCGCAAAAGTGCTCGTGTTGCTAAGACTAGTCTGCTCGAAAAAAGAAGTAGTTAGCTGATAGGGAGGACGGTGCTACACGTATTATGAATAACGTCTCGTAGTTCTCCTTTCATTCTCCTTCCCGGACCGAGAGTGTACGGCCATGAATAATAACGGCGGTGAAGGTCTTCCCGGCGCGCCGGAGGTGAGTTAACCTTCGCGGATTGAGAGTGCCGTCACGTGTGGTTTGTTGACCCAACTGATTCTTTTGAGACGATGGAAGGAAAGTTACAGTTGAATCGACTAAAAACTCCCTTTCGCCACCGCTCCGAGGAGGTGAGTCAATCTGCGCGGTTTGAGAGCTGCATAACGTGTGGCCGGTTGGTTATGGAGGGAGGCGATTGTGACGAAACGTTGCATTTTTTTTTTTTTTTTTTTTTTTTTTTTTTTTACAATACCCACTCGGGTCGCCGGAGGGGATGTAATCTGCTGTTGTGTTGAGAGCAACATCACTTGGTACACCTGGTATTGGGCTTCTTATTTTCCCTAGTACACCTGAGCTGGGGTTCTTAGTTTCCCTAGTAATCCCCTTCTTTTCCCACTTCCTCCCGCTCACCTTTCACCCCTTCCCACCTTCCTACTCTGTCCCCCGTGCGCCAGCCATGGGTGGAGCGCGAGCTGGAGAAGCGCATGGGTGGGGAGTTCTTCCCTCACCCCGTAATCCCCTTTCCTTCTTCCGTCCCTACCTTCCGCCCTCCTCCCCTCATTCTCGCCCCCCCCGTGCGCCAGCCATGGGTGGAGCGCGAGCTGGAGAAGCGCATGGCGCAGGTGCTACCGCTGGGGTGTCCCCCCTTCCCGCGCCTAATCCTCTTCTCTTTCCCCGTCTTCCGCCTTCCTTTCCCCGCCTTCCTTTCCCCGCCTTCCTTTCCCCGCCTCCTCCCCCCTCTCCCTGCGCCAGCCATGGGTGGAGCGCGAGCTGGAGAAGCGCATGGGGCAGCTGCTACCGCTGGGGTGTCCCCCCTTCCAGCCTAATCCTCTTCTCTTTCCCCGTCTTCCGCCTTCCTTTTCCCCGCCTCCTTCTCCCCCCTCTCCCTGCGCCAGCCATGGGTGGAGCGCGAGCTGGAGAAGCGCATGGGGCAGCTGCTGCCGCTGGTGGAGGAGTCTTTCTCCGTTGCTTCCTCCCTTGCTAAGGTCCGTTGCTCCGTTAGTTTGTTTTATTCTTGCAATTCCTTTGTTTCTTTTCGCTCTGGAGTCTCTCAAGCGTACAATTCTCATTTTTTTTTCTGGCCCATTCCTGCTTCCTACATGTTTGTCTTTTCTCCCGCGATGTTGACGTTTCCCCCTCAAAATAGCAATTCGTGCAGGACCCAGCGGTCGATGCTCTGGTGGAAGCAGATGCATGTTTAAACTGTTCCGATATCCTCATGCATGACTCTTCCCCCATGTTGTTTTCCCCCATGTTGTTTTCCCCCATGTTGTTTTCCCCCATGTTGTTTTCCCCCATGTTGTTTTCCCCCATGTTGTTTTCCCCCTTCCCCCTCCCCCCTCCAAAACAGCAATTCGTGCAGGACCCAGCGGTGGATGCTCTGGTGGACGATGACGATACAGCCTACGCTGTTGAAGAGCTTGTAGCGGATCTCGCTTCTAAAGGTGAGTCAGCTTGTACCGAAGATGCAAGACTGAGTCTGCTTGTAGCAGCATGGATGAGTTACTGATTCTGCTTGTGGCGCGGATGCACGGCCGAGTCTCCGGAACACGGATACGAGGCTGAGACTGGTGCTGCCGCGTGCCCCATGTTTACCCGTTTGCCACGCACCCCTCCCATAGGCATCCCAGGTGCGGCGGATCTGGACGATGCGCTGCAGCAGTTTAATCATCCAATTGAGGTTGCGTTCCCCATCTCCCTTCCTTCTCTTGACACGCATCCCAGGTGCAGCGAATCTGGACGACGCGCTGCAGCAGTTTGGGTCGCCTGCGTTTTGCTGTGTGCCCCACCTCTTGCCATATCTCCCTTTCTCCTCCCCACAGGCATCCCAGATGCAGCGGATCTGGACGATGCGCTGCAGCATTTTGAATCATTCAAGTGCTGCACCTTCCCCTCCCCCCTCTCCCCTCCTCTTTTTCCATTTTTTTTTCTTTTTCCCTCCCACAGGTATCCCAGGTGCAGCGGATCTGGACGATGCGCTGCAGCAGTTTGGGTCGGAGCAGATTGCAGAGAGTGTGGTGGCTTATTTTGATGTGCTCATGGCGGCCGTGGATGGGCACCTCGAGAAAGAGGGCGAGGCGAGTGAGGGAGCGAGTGAGGGAGCGAGTGAGAGAGGGAGTGAGAGGGGGAGTGGGAGCGATGGGAGTTTCAGGAGGGGGAGGAGGGGCGCGGGGAGAGGTGCGGGAAGCGAGATTGGGAGTGGGAGTGGGAGTGGGAGTGAGGAGGGGAGTGTGATCGAGGGTCGCGAGGAGGAGGAGGGGGATTATGGAGGGAGAGGGGGGATGAGGGGGGGAGGAAGGGGTGGGATGGATGGGCATAGGCATGAGAGAGGGGAGAGTAGAGGGAGTGAGTCGTGGGACGAGGAAGGGGAGGAGGGGGATAGCTATGGGGAGAGTGAGGAGGAGGACGAGAGGGGAGGAGTAAGGGGAGGAGCAGGAGGAGCAGGAGGAGGAGGGGGAAGAGGAGTGAAAGGAGGAGGGGGGAGGATGGGAATGGATATAGATGATATGGATGAGGAGGGGAGGCTAGATGAAGAGGAGGGGGATATGGATGGTGATATGGAGGAGGGGTACGGGCAAGAGGAGGGGGGAGTGGGGAGGATGTGGGGGGAGGAGGATCGAGGGCTAGAGGTAGTAGAGGAGGAGGATGAGGAGGAGTTGGAGGAGGAAGAGAGAGAGGGGGAGGGTAGGGGTATGGGGAGGTTGCTGGGCGCTGGAAGAGTGAGTTTTAAAGAGGGAGGAGGGAAGGTGGTGTATGGAGGGGAGGAGGAGGGTGGGAGTGAGGTGGAGAGTGGGAGTGAGATGGGGAGTGGGAGCGAGAGGGGTGGTGCTAGCAGGGGGAATATGAGAGGCGGGAGGGTGGGGGAAGGTTCAGAAGGGGAGGTGGAAGAGGATGATATGTCGATGAGTGGTGGGGAGGAGAAGCAGATGGGTGTAGGGAGGGAGGGGTCTGGGGACTGGACAGAGGATGAAGAGATGAGGGAGGGGGAGGAAGGATTGAGCGGGAGTGATGTTGAGGGGGGAGTGGCTGGAGGACGGGTAGGGGGTGTGGGGATGAACGTTGGGGAAAGGCATGGGAGAGGAATGGGTGAGTTAGGAGGGGAAAGGGGAGACTCGGATCAAGGGTCGTTTGATGATGATGATGATGATGACGACGATATTCCCTTGGCCGAACCTGGAAGGGAGTATCATTCAGGTTCGGAAGAGAATGAGGAGGGGGAAGGGGAGGAGGATGAGGAGGGGGCACGAGGTGATGCTGGCAGTGTGATTATACACGATGGTATGAGCGCTGCTGGCTCGGCCCGAGGCTCTTTCCGGGGCTCACTCGCTGACTCGGGGTCTTTCCGAGGCTCAGTGGGAGGTTCGGCGCGAAGCGGGGCTGGGGCGTTCCAGGGTCCAGGCATGGGGTTTCCGGAGCAGGAGGAAGGGATATTTGATGACGATGATGATGACGATGACGATGACGAGGATATTCCGCTTGCCGAAGCTGGAGTTTCGGGAGATTATGGGTCAGGTTCGGACAGCGATGTGGTGCCGATTGCGCAGCCGGGAAGAGCACCGGACCTGGATGGGGAAGTCTTGGGGGATTCCCAAGGAGAAGAAGATTCGTTTGGGGAGGGGGATTCCCAAGGGATGAATTCTCAAGATGAGGGCTCTCAAGAGGGCGATTTTCAAGAGGGGGATTCGCAAGGGGAGAGTGATTCTCAGGATGACGCTGGGATGCCAGGAGAGGGTGGTTCTGTTACCCCTGACAGTCTATCAGGGTCCGGTGAAGAGGTAGAGGAGGATGATGATGATGAGGATGACGACGATGATGATGATGATGACGATGATGATATTCCTATAGCCATGGTGAACCTGTCGAGTCAAAGCAACAACAGCAGTTTCGGTAGCTTGGGGGGCAGCGGCGGTGCTGGTGGTGGTGGTGCGGGTGGCAGCGGAAAGCACGATCTGCCACACATCCCAGCGGCAATCAAGGCTTTAAGATCGCAGCATTTCGACGTTCCCCACAAACCGCTTACCGGGTCCGGGGGGCTGGGCAGTCCGAGAGTTGCCGCCCTCAGCCGCCCGGGCGCCGCTGGTTTCGTCCGTCCCATGCCGCCCGCCGCCGGCCGCGTCAACTCCTTCTCCGTCTTTTCTGAGCCGCCCCAGAAGCTGCCGACCAACCGGGTGAACTCGTTCTCTGGACACCGTTTGCAGGGGGACGGCGTGCCTCTAACCCCGACCCCGCCACCTCACCCGCACCCTCCCATATCAGAGCGAGACCGGCTACTAGCCGCACGAGTTAACTCGTTTCAGATGCGAGCGGTTAGCAGCAGCCCACGGGCGGCGGCAACAGCGAATAGAGTCAATTCCTTCTCGCATCCGGCTAGTGGGCTGGCTTCCCCCCATGCTATGGCAGCAGGGCGGGTGAATTCGTTTAATGTGGACAACCGACCAGGGACTGGGGGCGGTGCAGGCGGGATTCCGTCCTCTCCTCTGGCCAATCGGGTGAGTTCGTTTAATGTGGACGCGAGGGGCGGGAGTGGGAGTGGGTTTGCTGCCTCGCCGCTTGCTAATCGGGTGAATTCGTTTCAGGGGGTAGGGGTGGGTATTAGGGGAGGGGGAGCGATGGGGATGGGTGAGACAGGGGTGGGGCATGGGCGAGGTTCGGTTGGATTCGGTGGTGGTAGGTTTGGGATGGGCATGGGAAGGGGGAGGGGGGCTGCTACTGGTGGTAGTGGCGGTTTTAAGGTTCCTTCCCAGGATTCGTTTGGAGAAGGGGAAATGGGAGATGAGGAAGAGGAGGATGAGGAGGAGGAGAAGGAAGGGAGAGGAATGGGGAAGGGTTATAGGGATGGGGACAAGGGGAGTGGTGGAAGTAGCAGGAGTGGCAGTGAGAGGAGTGAAGAGGAGGAGAATGATGCTTCATCAGCAGCAACGGAGGAAGGGGAGGGGAGCAGTGAGGGGGAGGAGATGAGCGAGGACGGGGAGGGAGATAGGGAGGAGGACGGGATGGGGAGAGGAAGAGGGAGGTTTGGAAAAGGAGGGGAGGAGCGTGGGAGTGGGAGTGGGAGTGAGAGTGAAGGGGAGAATCAAAGTGAGGGACAGAGCAGGAGTGGGAGCGAGAGGGAGAGTGGAAGTGACAGGTCTGAATCGGAAAACGAGGATTACGGGGAAGAAAGATTCGATTCTGCTTCTGCTGGTGCTGATTCTGTGGGTGTAGGCAGGGGGCGGGGGAGAGGGAGGGGGAGAGGGAGGGGGGTGGAGGGGGTGGGCGGGCGGGAAGGCAGGGGGAGGGGGCGCGGGCGGGGCGTGGGGAGGGGGAGGGGGAGGGGGGTAACACCCGCTGGGGACGATGGGGAGGGGGAGAGTGGAGGGGAGGAGGCAGGGGAAGGGGTGGGTAGAGGGAGGGGGAGGGGGAGAGGGAGGGGGCGGGGGAGAGGGCTGGAGGTAGAAAGCCCGGGAGCTGTGGGGAGAGGGAGGGGAAGGGGGCGGGGGAGAGGGGAGGGGTTGGAGGGGCGGGGGAGAGGGCGTGGGGAAGGGTTGGAGGGGAGAGGTCGGGGGGAGGGTCGGGGGGAAGGGCCGGAGGGGCGAGGGAGGGGGAGGGGGAGAGCAGGAGAAGGGGGGTTGGCTGGAGGCCGAGGGCCTACAGGCAGAGGTCTGGGGAGGGGTGGGAGGGGGAGAGGAATAGGACGGGGCGGAAGAGGGGCCGATGGGGAATTAACCCTAGAAACAACTTCACCAGGAGCAGGAGCAGCAGGAGGAGCAGGAGTAGGGAGGGGGCGCGGGCGGGGGACAGGAAGGGGCGTGACAGGCCGTGCGTTCATACACACAGATAGTGACCCGGGCTTAGACCGCGTGCCTGGAGGTTCCATGGAAATAGACGATGCTTTAGCCCAGTACGGCCGTGCGCCGACTCTCCCCATAATGAGACAAGCCAATGCCAGCCCAACGCAGCATGCGCCGCCGCCCCTGCCGGTTGCCCCGTCTCCTAGTGGCAGTGTGGGCGGTTCCAGGGGCGGGTCTAGCTTCCTTAAATCTACCTCCACCGGGCCTGCCTCCCCTGGGTCTGCTGGTCCGTCTCCTGCCGCCTCTCCTGCTGCAGCTGCAGGTGTAGCAGCAGCAGTGGGGGCTGTGGGGGCAGTGGCGGGAGTATCAATGTCTCCTAGGCCGTTTCCACCTACGAGGGATAGAAGGAGCGAGTCCGGAGGGGGAAGCGGTGGAGCAGGGTTAGGAACGGTGGTGGAGGAAGGGGCTGAAAGGGGAGTGGAGATGTGGACGGGTGAGGATGCGGCAGGGGCAAGGGGAGGGGCAGGGGTAGGAGGAGGGAGTGTGGGAGTGGGAGAGGAGGGGCCGAAGCGAGTGAGTGTGGGGGTAGGAGAGGAGGTGTTGGTTCCCCTAGTGCCCACTCCTCCAGGAGGAGCAAAGAAAAGCCCGTGGGGGAGCTTTGGACGAAGGAGCTTCAAGAGGGTTAGCAGCAGGCAGGAGGCGGATACAGAGGCAGAGGAAGATGGGGGGGGAGGAGGGGGGGCGGTGAAGGGAGGGGGTATGGGTGTGGCTGGAGCGGGAGTGGTAACTGGCATGGGTGCTGTTGCTGCGGCTGCTGTTGCTGCTGTGGGAGCCGCAGGGTTCGAGGAGAAGGAAAAGGACGAGGGAATTGAGGGGAGGGAAGTGGGAGGAGGAAAGGGGGGAGGAGGAGAAATGGGAGGCAGGGATGTAATGGCAGCTTCAGCTGTGGTTGATGATTCGAGTGATAGTGATGAGGAGGAGAGAAGGGAGAGGATGGAGGAAGAGGAGGAGCATGGGGATGAGAGGAGTGTGAGTGGAGGGGAGAGTGAGGGGTCTGGAGTGGGTGGCAAGAGGAAGCTGGGAGAAAGATTTGGGCGGCTGCCCGGATCTCCCGGGCAGTTTGGGCCAGGTGAATTGGACGAAGCGGTTGGTGCGTCCCCGTCTCGCCGGACCAAGCTGCAGGATGGTTCCGCAGCCGATCAGTGGCAGCTTCGGAAGCATGGCCAGGTTGGAGATGCAGGTCTGGTTACAGGCTCTGCAGCAGGCTCGGCAGCTGGTCTGGTGGAAGCAGCACCTTTGCAGAGCTTCGGAAGCGTTGACATGACAATGGGGGAGGCTGGGAGAGACGAGGAGAGAGTGAAGGAGGAAAGGGAAAGGGAGGAGGAGGGTGTTGGAGAGGAGGAAGGGGACACTGGTTTGGAAGGTTCAGGTCCGGAAGAAGGTGAAAAGGGTGAAGAGAGAGGGGAGGTTGGGGAGGGAGAAGAGGGAGGGCTGGAAGTTTCTGGCATAGATCGGGAGAAAGTTGGGGGAGAGGATGAGAGGGAGGAAGGGAGTGTGAGAGGGAGTGAGGAGGGAAGTGAGCGAGGAAGTGAGGGAGGGAGTGAGATGCACAGCGAATCCGAACAAGAGTCTGACCACAGGTCAGAAGGCTCGGCAGGAGGCCCGGATCATCACAGACGAGGCTCGGGCGACTGGACTGGTTCGGAACGAGGCTCGGAGCGAGGCTCGGGACACTGGTCTGGTTCGGATTATAATGAAGAGTATGATGAGGAGGGTAGGCCGATAAGTCGAGATGGTAGGAGGCCGATAAGCAGAGATGGGAGACCTGATAGCCGGGATGGGAGGCCTGACGAATATGATGAGGAGGGAAGACCGATAAGTAGGGATGGGAGGCCTGATAGCAGTTATGGGAGGGATGAGGATTATGATGAGGAGGGGAGACCGATAAGCAGGGATGGGAGGCCTGATAGCCGGGATGGGAGGTGGAGAAAGGGAGAGGAGAGGTGGGAGGGGGGGGAGAGGTACAGTGGTAGTGAAGATGGGAGTGAGGAAAGGAGTGAGAGGGGCGAGGAGGAGGGGAGTGAGAGGGGGAGTGGGGAGGAAGGAGGCGAGTTGAGTGGGGAAGAGGGGGAGATAGAGGAAAGAGCGGACCAGGAGTGGAGGGAATGGGCTGCAAAGAGGGAATCAGACGAGGAGAGGGGCTCAGATGAGGAAAGGGGTTCAGCGAGTGAAAGGGGTTCGGAAGATGGAAGGGGATCGGAGGACGAAAGGGAAGCTAACGTTGCATTGGGGGCAGAGGAAGCTGGAGGTTTTGAGGAGGAAGGAGACGGGGAGCAGCGGAGGGGGTTGAGTGCGGTTGAGAGGGAGGATGGGGAGGACGGCGAGGAGAGAATGCGGAGCGAGGAGAGCAAGAGGATGGGGCTGATGGGAGGCCTGAGTGGCCGATTAGGTTCAGGTCTGGTGGGGCGAAGGGGATCAGGTTTGGTGGTAGATGTGGGTAGGCCAAATGATGAGGAGGATGAGGATGAGGAGGATGATGAGGAGGTAGATGGTGGTGAGCATAGCGAGCGTAGCAATGATCATAGTGAGGCTCGGGATCATGAGGAGTGGTCAGGTTCGGACAGAGGCTCGGCGGAAGGTTCGGAGGGTCGCAGGCTTGGCAGCGACCGTGGTTCGGCGGGTGTTTTGACTCCAGAGCTTACACCTCAGGGAAGCTGGAGGGGTGATGACGTCACCCCCCTGGGCAGTTTCAGGGGTGATGATGCGTTAACTCCTCTGGGCAGCTGGGGGGGCGAAGGGGAACTTACCCCGGTTTGGAGGGGTAAAGGGGAAATTACCCCTCAAGGAAGCGGGGACTGGGGAGAAGAGGCAGAGAGGGAGAGGGAGGAAGAGGGGGAGGGGGTTTTGACACCTGTGTTAACCCCCCAGGGCAGTTGGAGGGGCGAAATGTCAGGGAGCGAGCGGGGGGAAGGGTCTGAAGGGGAAGGGTCTGTTATTGAGTTGACTCAGAGGGACGGGGCTTTAACACCTGAGTTATCTCCCCAGGGAAGCTGGAAAGACGAGGGGGAGAGAGAGGGGGGTTTGACGCCCGAGTTATCGCCACAGGGGAGTTGGAGGGGGGAGTTTTCAGGGAGTGGGAGGAGGGAAGGGTGGGACGGATTGGAGGGAGAGGGGGAGGGCAGGTACGAGGATGAGAGGGGGAGTGAGGAGGGAAGTGAGAGAGGGAGTGTGGTGTCTAGGGGTGGAGAAGAAGAGGAGGAGAGGGAGAGGCAGTGGGAGAGTCTGAGGGATGGGGAGGAAGAGGAGGGGAGTGTGAGAGGAGAGGACGAGGAGATGGAGAGAGGGGAGAGTGAGGGGGAGCGTGACGGAGACAGTGAGGAGGAGGAGAGGGAGAGACAATGGGCCAAGATGCATGCTGGGAGTGAGGAGGGGAGTGAGGATGGGAGGGAGGAGGGGAGTGCGAGGAGGAGTGAGGAAATTGAGAGGGGGAGCGAGGGTGAGATGGAGGAGGGAATGGAATTGGAGGGAATTATGGGTGAGGGGATGAAGGGGATCGGACAATTGGACGAGGGAAGTGAGAATGATGGGGAGGAAGTGGGAGAAGAGGAGAGAGAGAGTGGAAGTGATGATGATGATGATGACGATGATGTGGTGGTTGCAGTGGCAGCAGCAGTGCCACCACCACCAGAAGAAGGGGATTCGGATAGGGACGAATATCAAGGCTCGGAAAGAGGCTTGGAGGGCGGCTTGGAAACCGGCTCGGAAGCAGGTTCGGAAAAAGAAAGAGGTTTGGGAGATGAGTGGAGGATGGAGAGCGACGAGGAAGCGGAGGAAGTGAGAGGTGTGGGCGGCGGGGGAGTGAAAGGAGAAGGGTTTGGGGAAGAGCAGGAGGAGCAAGAGCAGGAACTTTATGAGCAAGAGGAAGGTCTGAGTGGGGATGAGAAGAGGGAAGAGGCAATGGGGGATGAGGATGGGGACAGGCCAAGGGAGCAACGGGACAGTGGTGATATTGGAGGTGGGGGTATGAGTGAGAGCGATGGGAGTGATAGTGACGACGATGTTGCTGTTGCTGTGGCCGCCCCTTCTGCTGTGGCCGCCGTTTCTGCTGGCCTTGTTGGGGTGGGGTTGGCCGTGGGAGCTTCTCTAGGAGAGGGTGGCGAGGGAGTGTATCCTGTGCAAGGCGATGCGTCAGTTGCTCTTATCGAGTCTGCTTTTGACGAGAATGGGCTTGGGAATCAGGAGAGGGAGCAGGAGGAGAGGGAGGAAGAGAAGGAGGGGCAGGAGGAGGAAAGGGAAGATAAGGAGCTTCAGGAGAAAGAGTGGAGAGAAGGGCATGAGGAGGAGGAGGAGGTTGTTGGGGAGGAGTCCAGTAGTGAGCGGGACAGGGAGGAGGAAGAGGAGGAGGAGAGGGGAGTAAATGCAGTGGGCGGTGGTCTTATGATGGGGGGAAGTGAGGGAGGGGAGAGTGAGAGGGAAGTGAGTGAGGGAGAAGAGGTTGAGCGGGAGGAGAGAGAAGGGGAAGAGGATATGGGAGAGGGGAGTGACAGGGAGGGGAGTGAGAGGGAGGAGAGTGAGGAGGAAGATAGTGATGGGGAGGTGAGGAGGGAGAGGCGACACAGGTACCATCAGAACCAGATGGTAGAAGATGAGGAGGAGGAAGAGGAGGCGGAAGAGGGTTACAAGGAAAGTGATTATAAGAAGGAGCGTTATAAAGAGTATGAGGAGGATAGCGAGGGGTATGGGAATAATGAGGAGGAAGAAGAGGAGGGCAGGTTAAATGATGATGATGATAAGTGGAGTGACGTATCAGGGGAGAGTGGAGAAGAGCTGTTTGAGGATGGGCGGAGGGATGAAGGGGAGAGTGAGGGGGAGAGTGAGGGGGAGGTTGAGGGGGAGGTTGAACGGGAGGAGAGTAGGGGGGAGGAGAGTGAGGGTGATGAGATGGATGTGGGTGAAGAGAGTGAGAGACGAGGAGCTGGAGGGATGGAGAGAGAGGAGGAGGAGATGGACGAGAGAGAGGAGAGAGAGGAGAGGGACTATGGAGACGAGAGAGATTATAAGGTGGAGGATCAAGAGAGTGAAGATATTAAGAGTGAGGAGAGTGAGGGAGAAAGGGGCAGGGCGACAGAAAGTGATGAAGAGAAGGACGAGGAGGAGGTTGCGACTGGACAGGTTGATCCGGGGGAGGTGTTATTTGTGAAAGGGGGAGAGGGTAAGGCGGAGTCAGGTAGTGATGATGAGGCGGAGGCGGTATCTGTGAAGAAAGATGAGGAGGATTCGGAGGAGGGGCGTTTGGTTGGTGGTAGGACTTCGGAACGGGTGTCAGAGGCAGGTGGTTCTGAGGAAGGTAGATCTGAGGATGGGGAAAATAGATCTGAAGATGGGGAAGGTAGGTTTGAGGATGAGGAAGGAGGAGAAGCTTGGCAGGGAGAAGGAGAGAGAGTACTCGGAGATGAGGAGAGGTTAGAAGGAGGAGAGGAGAGAGTGAGGGAGGAAGGAGAGAGTGGGGAGGACATGGAGGATATTGATAGTGAGGGAGGGGAGGAGAGCAGTGAGGGTGAGTGGGAAGGGAGAGGGGAAGAGTGGGAGGAGGACGAGGAGGAAAGAGAGGTGTTAGCAGCGGTTTCAGCAGCTTCGGCAGCAGCAGCTTCGGCAGCAGGTTTGGCAGCAGTGGTGGCTGCTGCTAAGGCAGCAGCAGGAAGGCACGGGGATGGGGATGAGAGGGAGGAGGAGGAGGAGAGGGAGGGAGAAGTGGGGGAGGAAGTGGGTGGTAGTGCAGCAGAATGGGCTCTCTCTGAAGGGGAGGAGGAGGAGAAAGAGGAGGAGGGGGAGGAGGATGAGGAGGAGATAGAAATGGAGGAGCGAGAGAGGGAGGATGTGGAAAGTGAAGTGGAGAGTGTAAATAAAGAGGTGGAAGAAGGGGAGGAAGGAGGAGGTGAAGAGATGAGTGATTCAGAAGCAGAGGGAGAAGTGGAAGCAGAAGGAACGGCTGGAACAGAAGGAGCAGAAGGAGCAGAAGGAGCAGAGGGAGCAGAGGAAGCAGAGGAAGCAGAGGAAGCAGATTTAGAAACTGATTCCTCTGGGGCCATTGCTCTCTCTACTCGCTCTCCTCGCAGCGCCAGTTGGAGCCCCCGCTCCCCCCAAGAGGCTGCTTCCCCCCACAGTCCCCCCTCGCCCCATCTAGGCACCGGAAGCTTAGGCTCCGCTGCTGCTGGTGCTGCTGCTGCCGCCGCCGCCGCCGCTGCTGCTGCTGCTGCTGCTGCTGCTGCTGCTGCTGGTGCTGCTGGTGCTGCTGATGGTGCTGCTGCTGATGGTACTGGCATCACTGCTGCTGGTGCTGGTGGTGCTGCTGGTGACGATGGTTCTGGCGTTATAGCTGGTGGTGCTGAGCCGTCTGGGTTCACCTTTGCCCCGCATAGGCCGTCCCCCCAAGTCTCCCTCACCCTACCCGCCCACGCCCACCATCCTCCCCTCACTCTTTCCCCCCATGCGCCCCTTGCGCTCTCCCCCAGAGCGTCTCTGGCGCTCTCCCCGCGCCACCCCCCGTCCCCCCCGCCCCAGCGCCCCTCCCTGCTCTCCCCCATTTCCCCCCGGGCTCGCCTGGCCACGTATCGTGTGGCTGGGGAGGGGTTTGGGTTCGGTGTGGGGTGGAACGGGGAGGGCGGAGAGGAGGGGAGGAGGGCCGGGTGGGCTGCTGGTGAGAAGGTGGAGGAGGAGGGTGAGGAGGGAGAGGAGAGTGAGGAGAGGGGCGAGAGGGTGGGTGATGATGAGGAGGTGAGGGAGGAGATGTGGGATGTGGAGGGGGAGGAGGAGAAGGGGGAGGAGAGGGAGGAGGACAGAGAGGATGGGATGGAGAGGGGCGATGAGAGTGAGGAAGGAGGGGACGTGGAGGGGGAAGAAGAGGAAGAGGAGAGGGAAAGGGAGGCAGCAGAAGGAGAGGAGGAAGGGGAGGAATGGATTGGAGATGGAAGGTCGGATGAGGCGATGGAAACGATGGAGAGGGAGATTGAGATGAAGGAGAGTGAAAGACGAGATAGTGAGAGGGGGGGGAGTGAACGAGGGGAGAGTGAAAGAGCGGGGAGTGAGAGGGGGGAGAGTGAGAGAGGCGAGGAAGATCTGGGAGAGAGTGATAAAGAGGGGAGGGAGGATGGGGCGGAAGGGGCGGAAGGGGAGGAAGGGAGGGCGGAGGAGCGTGGATCCGGTGATGAGGCAAGATCAGACGTGGGGTCAGTTCTTGATTCAAATGCCGCTGCTGCCACTGCTGCCGTTGCTGTGGCTGCTACTGCTGCCGTTGCTGTGGCTGCTACTGCTGCCGTTGCAGGCACTGCTGCCTCTGCGGCTCCTGTCTTTGAAGATGCTGGTCCTGACAGAGATGACAGGGAGGAGGATGAGGAGGAGGCAGAGGCGAGATCAGAGGAAGGGTCAGAGGTAGCACTAGATTCGACTGCTGCTGCTGCTGCCACTGCCTCTGCTGTTTTGGATGATGATGTGTCTGAGAGAGATGAAAGGGAGGAGGATGTTGAAGAGGAGGATGAGTACAGAGAGAAAGAGAGGTATGGAGAGAGAGAGGACGGTGAAAGCGAGGGAGGAGTGGGAGAGGAGGAAGAGGAAGAGAGAGCAGAGGAGGAAGAGGAGGAGAGAGCGGAGGAGGAGGAAGATGAGGAGGAGGACGGGCGATCAGATTCTCTTTTGTCTCCAGCCCTCACTCCCCAACCTGACTCAGGCTCGGCCGAACCTTCCCCTCACGCTCGGTCTGATATTGGCTCTGGTGGAAGGTCGGAAGGGGATGGAGAGGATTGGGAGGGGGAGGAAGATGAGAGAAGAGGGAGGAGGGAGTATGGTGAGGGAGAGAGTGGTGGAGAGGAGGAGGAGGAGGAACGGAGGGAGCGAAGGAAGGATTCGGAAGAAGAGGACGAGGAGGAAGAGAAGGAGGAAGATGAGGAGGAGGAGGATGAGGAGATTCGGGGTTCAGGCAAGCGTTACGACTCTGATCAACGTTACGACTCCGACAGACGTAACGAATCGGGCAGACGTAACGAATCGGGCAGACGTAACGACGACTCCGAAGGGCGTTACGACTCTGACAGACGTAACGGCTCGGAGGAGGATCGTTACGACTCGGAAGAGCGCTACAGGTCGGATCGGCGATACAAGTCCGAGAAACAGTATGAGTCAGAACAACAGTATGACTCCGAGAAACAATACGACTCGGAGAGACAATACGAATCAGAAACACAAGATGAGGGGGATAGGCGTGGGGAGAGAAGACGAGGAGAAGATAGGGGAAGGCGCAGGGGAGAGGACGGTTCTGGTGGCGAGGATGATGATGATAGGTATGAGAGTGAGGTTGATAGGCGAGATGGGAGGGATGAGCAGGATGAGGAGGAGGATGGATATAGGCGAAGGGAATATGACAGTGATGCGTTTGGCAGGAGTGAGAGGGAGGAGGAGGAGGAAGGAAAGGAAGAAGATGAGAAGAGTGAGAGAAGGAGGTATAGAGAGGAGACAGGCAGTGAGGGGAGTGAGAGAAGGTATGGCGAGAAGGGTGGGGAGGACGAGGAAGGGGAGGAAGGTGGGGAGGGAGAAGAGGGAGAGAAGGGGGAAGAGGAGGGAGAGAAAAGAGAGGAGGAAGAGGAAGGTGAGGAGAGCGACGAGGAAAGAGAGAAAAGAGAGGAGAGGAGGCGGAGGGATGGAGATGCTTCTGAGAGTGAGCTATCCCCGTCTGCTTCCACTGTGAGTGATGCGGTTCCTGTTGCTGCTGTGGCTGCTGGTGCTGCTCTTGCTGGGGCTGTTGCTGCTGGTGTTGCTGGTGCTGCAGCTGGTTCGGAGGCTGCTGCTAAGGTGGGAGAGGAAAGGGACAGAGATGGAGAGGATGAGGAGGATGAGGAAGAAGAGGAGCAGGAGGAAGAGGAAGAGGAAGAGGAGGAGGGGATTGAGGGCAAGGAGGAAGTCAGGAAAGGGGACGAGCAGGAGAAGGACGGTGGGGAGGAGGCAAGGGAGAGCAGGAGACCCGCTATGGAACCTCTCCCAGAAGGCAAAGCTGTGATTCTCTCAGGCTCGCTTGCTGCTGGAATGACAGGAGAGGTGGGCAGAAACGAGGAGGAGGAGGAGGAGGAGGAGGAGGATAGTGATGACGATAGTGATGATGACGATGCGCCCTTGGCGTTGGCTGCTGATCCGATAGCAGCTGAAGCTGTGGCGGAGGGACGGCGGCTCGGAAAGCGCGAGCGGAGGGAGCGGCGCGCGCGGCTGCGGCAGCAGGAGATGGGGCAAGAGAGGTACGGTGGAGAGCGGTACGGAGGTCATGAGAGCGATTCTTCTGCTATGGAATGGCAGACGGAGGAGGAGGAGAGGAGGGCGCGAGGAGGGGCGGCAGCAGGGGTGCTGGTTCTGGGAGGGACGGTGGTGAAACTGACAGGGACCGGAGCAGGGGACGAGCCTTTGACGTCGGATGCAGGTGCAGGGGGGCTGGGAGCGGTTGGGGGAGGTAGAGGGGGGTTGGGTGCGGCTATGAGGGATGGAGTGCCGGTGGTTCCTGTGGTGGATGAAGAGGGAGGGCCAGGGAGGGCGGTGGGTGGGATGGGTGGTGACGGGGAGAACAAGTATAACCTTGGCCCGGGCTTCCCAGAGCGGGAGGAGTTAGAGTCTCCTGCTGTGGTGATTGCGCCTGGCCCTGGAATGTTTGATATGGGAGCGGATGAGGCAGGTGGAGAGGTGGGGAGGAGTGTGGGGAGTAAGGAGAGGAGGAGAGGGGCAGGGGGGAGGAAGGGGAAACCAGTGAGAACAATGAGTGATGGACGGGGGATGGAGAGAGTGAGGGTGGGAGGGGACGAGGAGGAGGAGGAGGAAGAGGAAGAAGAGGAGGAAGGGGAGGCAGGTGGTGAGGAAAGGAGAGGGGGGGCGGTTGGGGGTAGAGGGAAGGGGGGAGTCAGGAGGAAGGGCACGTGGGATGGGACTAGTCCCTTGGGATCCGGACCTGGTGCCTGGCGGTTTGATGCTAAGGGAACAGCAGAGCAGGAGGAGGAGGAGGGGGAGGAGGAGGAGGAGGAGGAGGAGGAGGAAGAGGAGGAGGAAGATGAGGACGAGCAAGTGGGGATGGAGTCTATGCAACCACTGGGAGGGGGGTACAACGATTTTGATGCTGTTACGGATATCACGGCTGTAACATGCATGACTGATGCTACAGATGCAGACAGCCAAGTGCCCCTGGCGCAAGCTTATAAAGAGTACGACGCTGCTACCGATATCACAGGTATTACTGCTATGACAGAGGCAACAGATGCTGAAAGTCTGGTGCCTGTGGCTTCTCCTGTCCGCATGCCTGTGGTTGCTGCTGCCGCTGCTGGCATTGCTGCTGGTGTTAGTGTGAGGGACGAGGAGGAAGAGGAGGAAGAGGAGGAAGAGGAGGAGGATGAGGAGGAGGAAGGGGATGATGATGTTCCAGTAGCGGGCGCGATCCATTCAGTATTGGAACGTGGAAACTCTGTGAGCAAAAGTGCTCTTGACATCATCCCCGCTGCTATTCCCACAGAAGAGGAGGAGGAGGATGAGGAGGACGAGGAGGAGAGAAGAGAGGGAGAAGGGAGGTACGGTGGGGAGGACGAGGAAGGAGAGGAGGAAAGCTCATATGAGAGAAGAAGAAAAGAGAAATATGATGATGAAGAGGAGGAGCAGGAGGAGCAGGAGGAGGAGGAACAGGAGGAGCAGGAAAGGCAGGAGGAGGAGGGAGAGAGAGGAGGGTTTGGCCCTCCTGCGCATGTGGCCCGTAGGTTTCCTCATTTTGAGAGCGAGGGGGGCTTGAGTGACCTCAACGCTCCTATTGCCATGCCTGCTCGCAGCGTTCCGAGGCGAGAAACGGAGGAGGAGGTTGTGGAGGAGGGAGATGGGGAAGAGGAGGGAGAAAGGGACGAGGAGAGAGAAATGGAGGAGGAGAGAGAAATGGAAGAGGAGAGAGAAAGGGTAGAGGAGAGAGAGGGAGTAGAGGAGAGAGAGGGAGTAGAGGAGAGAGAAATGGAAGAGGAGAGAGAAAGGGAGGAGGAGAGAGAAAGGGAAGAGGAGAGCGAAAGGGAAGAGGAGAGAGAAACGGAAGAGGGGAGACAATGGGAAGAAGAGGGAGAGGATCAAGCAGAAAGCGTGGGGGCAGATGAGGAGGTGGATGAGGACAAGGAGAAGGAAGAGGAGAGAGAGGAGAGAGAGGAGGGAGAGGAGAAGGCAGAGGAGGAGGAAGATAAAGACGAGGAAGAAAACGAAGATGAAGGGGAGGAGGAATGGTCGTCAGACGAAGCAGGAGAAGACAGGGACTCGGTTGCGGAATCAATGCAGCTTGGGGGAGCAGAAGGGGGAGCAGCACGAATGGATTCTTTGGAAAAAAGGTCTTCCAGTGGCAGGAAGTACCAGAGGAGTCTGAGTGAGGCTAGTGACGCTGATACGCCCCTGGCCATGCCGGTCGCAGTGGGAGGGGCGCGGCAGGGGGCAGGGGAGGATGGGGCGTCGGAGATAGGCGATGGGGAGGAGTCGGATATTGGCGTGCCGATCGCCATGCCTATGGGTCCTACACCGAAAAGACGAGCGGAGGGCGCAAGGCGTGGTGGTGTTGGTGCTGGTGGTGGCAGTGGTGGTGGAGAGGAGGAGGAGGAAGAGGAGGGAGAGGATGGGGAAGGGAGAGGGGGGCGTGCAATGGATGAGGAGAGTGAGCTGGACGCTCCCATTGCAATGCCGTTAGCCATGAGAGGAGCAGGCGGGAGCAGGAGGACCAGCGGCGACAGCAGCGGCGGCGGGAGTGGAGGCATTGGGATGGGGCATGGCGGTTGGTCGGGCAGTGGTGTTGCCGATGCCATCCGGGCCGGTGTGATAGATGATGATGGGATGAGCGTTATGTCTAGCGAGCTTGGCGCGCCTATCGCCATGCCTGTCGACGACAGCTTCGGCAGGACGCCCCGGGCTACGGACGAGGCTCGGCGGCGAGCGCCGAACCAAGGGTACGCTCTGCTTTCCCGCCACATGCCTCCTGTCGCTTCCACCAATTCCACCCCACGCAAGCCAAAGCACCATCCGAACCAGAGTCAGCAGCAGCAGCACAGTCAGCAGCAGTCTTACCAGCAGCACTCTAAGGAGTTTCCGCTTCCGCCGCAGCAGCAGCAGCAACACCCAGAGTCTCAGAGGCATCTAGCCTCCCATGTTCAAACCCCGTCATCTCTTGGCGTCTCCCCTTCCTTTGGCCGTCACAGGGCTCCGGCGCAGGTTCGGGCTCTAGCTGCGGAAGGCCTCCGAAGCGGAGGACCAGGTTCGTCCCATTCCTCCCCGAGGGGTGCAGGGCCGGGATCGAGAGCCTCGTCAGCAGCAGGATCCCCGAGGGAGAGAGGGAGACTGGAGAGCCAACGCTCGTCTTCTTTCAAAGTTCCTGTTCGGTATGTTTCATCAACCCCTCTCTCACTCTCCATCTCTCTCTCATGCACTCTTTATCACCCCCTCCCTCTTCCACCCATCTTTCTCTTGGCTCTTTTGCGTCTGTACCTTAATATTGTGACCTAAGCCTTTTTGCTTCCATTCACCTCACTTCTTTCCCTTTACTCCCTCAGTGTCTCAAATCCTTACGCTCTGGTCTGGAACTTTCTGTTGTTCCCCTCCACCGCTCCACACCCACCTCCACCTCGCAGGACCTCGAGCCTGCACTCCGAAGCAGCAGCGCAGATTCGGCACAGCCCTGGGAAGGACACGGACACATCAGCAGACGGCGCACAGGTGGCGCGTGGCGGGTCCTTATCCAGTCGCCAGGCTGGCAGCCACGCTGGCAGCCACGCTGGCAGCCAGGCTGGCAGCCAGGCTGGCAGCCGACCGGGGAGCTTAGCTGGCAGTCCTAACAGCAGCGGGCGTCTTGCTTCTGGTGCTGCTGCTGCTGCTGCTGGTAGTGGGAGGGTGGCAGCAGGAGCAAGCAGCCTCGGGCCTGGCAGTGGTGCTTCTACCCCAACAGCTGGTTTCTTAGGTGCTGCTGGTTCGCCTTCTGCTGCTGCAACATCTGCTTCGGTCACTCCTCATTCTGTCACACCGCTCTCAGTCACACCCAATGGCGAGGGTGCTGCTTTTGATGCTCCCGAGCCTGCAACACCAGTCGCGCAACCTTATCCCGAACCTCCAACTCCCATAGCCCAACCTGCCGCGTCTTATCCCGAGCCTCAAACTCCCATTGCCCAACCTGCCAACGACTTTCCCGAACCACCCACCCCTGTTGCTCAACCTGCCCAGCCTTACGCCGAACCTCAAACACCCATCGCCCAACCTGCCGAGCCTTATGCTGACGAGCCTCCAACTCCCATCGCCCAACCTGCTGAGGCTTATGACGAGCCTCCGACGCCGATCGCGAAACCTGTCTCCCCACCCAAGCCTGCTCCTGCTCCCGAACCTGCTCCCGAGCCTGCTCCTAAACCTGCTCCTGCTCCCGTTAAAGCTCCTGCTCCTGTTGCTGCTTCTAGTTCGACTGGGATATCTGCTTCAGCTGCTGAATCAACTGTTTCAAGTGCTGCCAGTGACGCAGAGAGTGGGAGATTGTGGGAAGACGATGCAGCAGGGGCTAAGCGGCTGGCTGCTGCTGCTGGTGCTGGGAAGAAGAAAAAGAAGAAGTCCAAGTGGTTCATGTGCTTCGGTCCCCCGTCTGCTGTTGACGACTAGTGGTTTAACACAGGGTGAAGTACAGCGGTGGAGTGGAGATGACTCAAAGAGGGCAAGCGGAAAAAAAGAAAGGCCATAGGATTCTGGACGTCTTCAATTTGGGCTGAAAGAAAAGCCGTTGACCAGGTAAATGAGCCTGCCTACCCCTTCAAGTAATGCCTACTGTATCTTCCAGCATACTGTAGTAATCACCATCCAGTATAGGATGGCTTCTGCTAACTTCTAGCTTTTGTTCTTTTACACTCGTACAGGTTGCTACTATGTACCCTATGCCTATTTTGGTTAGAGTGAGTAATACCGTAGTTAGGAGGGCTCTTCTGGGATGTTATCTATTTAGTGCCTAACTGTTGAAGTTTCTATTGAAGGTTTTACTGTGGTTTAGTCTCTTATTACTTTCATAAAGGAGGTCGGAGTTTGACTTCGCGTACCAGCTGGTGTACCCGCTAGTGAGCACTTCGACGCTGTCGCACGATAGTGTGTGTATATGGCAAATGGAGGGCGATTTGAGCTGAATTAGAACCATATTAGTTCTCGAAAACGACAACGACTAGCGGAGGGTACTGACGACAACGTCAGCAATATGGTACACGTGTAATGTGATGTGAATATCCTAAAAACTGAGCACCCATGCGTTGTCACAACCACTCAGCATGCCAAGCATCAGGGATGCAAACACACGAATTTATTCAATGAAGGACTCGCATCAGTAAGAGCATCTGTGCGCTGTCGCCTCTAAGAAAACACTGCCGTGTTGAGGAGCGACGTGAGCATGCCGAGCACCAAGAAAGCGAGCATGGGACTCAGATCCAGCGCTCCGAAGAACGGAGGCTGCATGGGTTTGCGAGGGTGGGGTGGGGTGGGGGGTACACAGGGAAATGTATTAGAACAAGAGAGAAGCGATGAGAAAGCAGGAGAGATGTGAGCATGCCGAGCACCGGGAGCGTGAGCATGGGACTGAGATCCAGAGCTCCGAAGAACAGAGCCTGCATTGGGGGCGAGAGAGCGTGTCGGGGAGATGGGGGGAGGTATATATGGAAATGTATCAAAATAGAAGAGAGGCGACGTGAGCATGCCGAGAACGGGGAACGCGACCATGGGACGCAGATTCAGAGCTCCGGAGAAAGGAGGCTGCACACACTTCGGGGTGGGAGGGAAGGGAGAGAGGGAGGGAAGACGAGGGGAGGGAGAGGAGGGGGATGTGGACCAATAAGGGCGGGTGGGTGGAGGGGGGATGGCGGAAAATGCAAGGGAGCGAAAGAGAAGCACGGGAATGGGAAGTGACAAAAATTGCGGGCACGGGGCTGACATATCCCGCAAAACAGACGGACTACAGGCGAGAACGGTAGGGGTATGTTCTGGTGGACCCAAAGGAGGTTGTGATGAGAGCACAAAAAATAACTCGTCAAAACGGGTTACGGGGCTAGGACAAGACGAGGACTTGTTCAAGCATAAGGAGATGATTTTTGAGTGGCGGACTCGGCACAGCTGGTACAGTGGCAATGTTATTGCCATGATGCATTTTCCTCCACAAGCTGGGCAACTGTAACTGCATATGCAACGCAAGCACTCCGCAAAATTCCGAAGCGCATGGATTGCGAGAGTGCGAATACTGCGGGAGTCTGATCAACAGGGAGGATTCGTTTGTACCGGGATTTAAGTGCCAGCATTGTCAAAACTGTTCATTTATCAATTTCCCTTTCAACCAGCGTACTACTCACCAGAATGTTGCGGAAGAGGTTCAAGTACGGATCGCTCATATCGCGGATGGCTTGCATCGGCTGCCGCTCCCAGTCGATGTTCGGGAACCACGACAGCAGCACGCGAACCAGCAGCAGCCCACTGTACAGCTCCAACCACTTCGCCATGCCGCTCGCAATCACCGTCAGCGGCGTGCTGGTGCTTGCGTTTGATTGGCTGATCGCTGCGAAAAACAGGGGCGCGGCGCACGCCGCTAGCCGTTTCCCGGAGGCGATCATAGATGTCGCGCGGCCCGTGAGGGTGTCCGATTGGAGCTGCTCGGCGGCGGACAGCGGCGCGAAGAGCCGTCGCAGCGGCTCGAGGACTGCGCGTGCGACGGCCGCTGCTGTCGCCGAAGCGGCTGCGACTGCTGCGATAACAAGAGCCGCCGGGGGTGGGGGCGCGGAGGGCTGCGCGGCGGCTTGCGCGGAAGCGGAGGCGGAAGCGCGGATCGACAGCTGGGCGCGGGATCGGAGAGCAGGAAGGGCGGCTGTTCGTTGTGGCGAAAAGACGGAGATCGCCGCTAGTCTGTGCGACGGTAGGTGGGTCGCACGGCAGGGGACGACGGCCGGGCTTGCCGCTTGTGTCGCTGCTCCGGTCGCATGCGACGGCTGCGACAACTTCGCTACGGTGAGCGAGGCTTTGAGGTGAAGCCCTATGGCTGCCATGGCGCCGATTCAACTGAGACGAGGAACTTCAAATATTGGAACAGAACGTGCCACGTACTCTCAGCTAACCTTTGCCAGGAACGTTATTACTAGCAGGTGACCAGCCGACGAGCTTGCCGCTTTGGGATGGGAATGAGAAAACGAAAAATGATGGTGAGTGTCAACCGAGATCTTAGAACCTATCGGCTGTGGGTGGAGGTATGCGAAAGGGAGCTTGGTGCCGGCGAATTCAGATCACTCTCACGAAAATCCTAACGAATCAGCAACTCTGGTTAGCGACGTGTGAAGGCTTTCGCGAAATGCACCTCAAGCCTTACTGGTTGAAGGGATTGGATGAGGTTCCAGAACTTTTTGAGAGCATGAGCTGCTGACACGTGCCATGACGACCTGTCCACGTCAGCCTCGGTCTTTGGGGGCAATCCGAAAGTGAGCCACATCCGACAACTGCAACGGAATCGCACTCCCTCATCCCCGCAGTAAGACACAGCCTACTTTTCACTTTTGCAGGATTCCCTTCCGCACTTGTCAGACAATTGGGGATTCCTAAAAATTAGTAATAAAACAATGAGGATGTGGTTCCAGACACAAAGCTGAACCCTGAGCTCTGGCCCAAAATGTGACATAACATGGCTAGGCCTGCAGAACAGTAAGCATCTATGATGTCTTACATCTCAGAATAAAAACATTTCCAGACCAGCTGTACAAGACAATTCCGACACATGCCGCCCGGCCGGCCGAAGCCCACTCAGGCCTGCTGCGAAACAGCAGCATGCACGTCCTCGTCCATCTTGGGCGGCGGGCCCATGCACGACCGCGCCACCGACTCAAAGAGCTTCTTGATCTCCGGTGCACACCGCGTGAAACCGTGGCTCCAGAAGTTGTACCTCGGGTTCTGAGGCACCACAGCATCAGCAAATGGCAAGAGAGAAAACAAGCATGTCAGATTTTAGAGCACAAACCAGAAATACAGCACCTGTGGAAACAAGTCTAAATTGTGTCAAAACAAAGGGTTGGAACCGGAAGGAACGGAGGGATTGGGGGTGCGGGGAGTGGGTCAGGATGGGGGGGGGGGTGGGGTGGGGTGGGGGGGGGAAGGGGAAGGAGGTAGACAGGGAACTAGGAACGCAGACCCGAGATAAATTTGATTTAAAGAACACTCTCTTTTCGTACCTTGATGAGTTCGATGAAGGTGATGAGGAGACCCCACGGGTGTGGCCGGTTGACAATCAGTCTCTCCAACAGCACGCGTGTGATCTGCTCCTGGACGATCTCCTGTAAACACGGAACAACACAAAGAGAAAAACACGAGGGGAGAAGCCAGGCCGTTGATTCCGGTGCGCATCAACGGTTGACAGACAGCCGCTCGACTCAAGCAGCACAAGACAAAAACAATGGGCAACTCACCAGAGGGGCACCTACATGTGGACTTCTCTCCATAGAATCAAATCTCACCTATCCCCACAGGACTGTGCCATGTCTCACATGGTTGGCCTATCACCCCACACCCCCTATCACATCTCACCTGGTTGGCCTTGGCAAAGAGGTAGAGCAGCGCGCAGGAGAAGTAGTGCCTGTGGTTGTTGGGGTACCGCATTTGGGGTACCTCATGCCACACCTGGTTACCCTATCAACCCTCATGCCACACCTGGTTACCCTATCAACCCTCATGTCACACCTGGTTACCCTATCAGCCCTCATGTCACACCTGGCTACCCAATCAACCCTCACCCCTCACCTGGTTGGCCTTGGCAAAGAGGTAGAGCAGCACGCAGGAGAAGTAGTGCGTGTGGTTGTTGGGGTACCGCAGCTGGTTGGTGTATCACCCCTCAACCCACACTTGGTTACCCTATCAACCCACACCTGGTTACCCTATCGACCCTCACCTGGTTAGCCTCGGCAAAGAGGTAGAGCAGCACGCAGGAGAAGTAGTGCGTGTGGTTGTTGGGGTACCGCAGCTGGTTCGCCACCGCGTTCAGAAACAGGTACCGCCCCTCCGAGTCCAGGTGGGACAGCAGCCGCTGGAACACGTCCATGGGGGCGCTGTGGGTGATGGGGGCCGTTGGCACTGCCAGCTGCTGCGGTGTGGCCTTGCTTTGAAGCTGCTGAATCGCCTGTTGGAGAGGAAAAGGGTGGGGGAACAGGAGGAAGGAGGGAAGGGGAGAGGGAAGGAGTGGGAGCAGGGAAGGGGAGTGGGGTGAGGCGATTAAGATACCGCCCCTGCGAGTCGAGGTGGGAGAGCAGACACTGAGAAAAGTCCATGGGCGCTATGGGTGATGGGGGCTGTGGGGACTGCCAGTTGCCGCGGTGTAGCCTTGCTACGGCACCAGCGAGTTGAGTGGCGACATGTTGTAGCGAGTCCCGCTCTGCACAGCATTAGATTCTTAAGCTGACTCAACACACAGCATTCCGAATCCCATTCATTCAAACCCACCTGCATGCCCACGTAGAGCACGAGGCTGTTGAGCAGAGGCACGTTGTACTTGGTGCCGCTCTGCACAGCTTCAGTGGTGGCATGCTGTGCATGACCCCAGAGTATTCTCAATAACTCTCACCTGCATACCGACATAAAGCACGAGGCTGTTGAGCAGAGGCACGTTGTACTTGGTGCCGCTCTGCACAGCTTCAGCGGGCGGCAGCAGCAGGCGCTGCTTGAGGCTGGCGGAGAGGAAGGAGGGCGGCTGGCGCGTCTGCAGGTACTCATCAACTTCAGCTTTAAGCCCCTTTGCCCTCAGAGTAGCTTCCACGTCTGACAATATGCGAGGAGGCTGGCTGATCTCCGGAAGCAGGTCGACCTGGTTGAGGCGAGGGGGCGACGAGAGGGGAGAAGGACAGGGTAGAGGGGAGGGTGGGGGATGAGAAGGACCAAGCAGCAGGCGCTGCTTGAGGCTGGCGGGGAGGAACGAGGGCGGCTGGCGCCCTTTAAGCCCCTTTGCCCTCAGAGTAGCTTCCACGTCTGACAATATGCGAGGAGGTTGGCTGATCTCTGGCAGCAGGTCGACCTGCGAGAGTGGCGGGGGAAGCAGAGGACAAGAGGCGAGGGGGACGAGACGAGGGGAGAGGAGGGACGGTTAGGATGAGGAGCAGCAGGAGCACCAGGAAGCAGCAGCAGGCGCTGCTTGAGGCTGGCAGAGAGGAAGGAGGGCGCCTGGCGCGTCTGCAGGTACTCGTCCACCTCGGCTTTAAGCCCCTTGGCCCTCAGAATGGCCTCCACATTGAATGGGCAGTATCCATGGAAGGTTGGCTTGGGTGATCTCCGGAAGCAGGTCGACCTGGGGGGCCAAGGAGAGGAGAAGAGGAGAGGGAGACGAGACAACTAGCCTACCAGCACACAAACCTGGTCACCAGTTCAGCTCACCTTGAGGTTGGGTGTGAAGGGGTCGGGGAGCCGCATGTTACGGGGGAAGGCGGAGAGCACCAGGTTGCGCATTTGAATGCAGGTGGGGGGGATGATGGGATGGTGGTGCAGTGCGTGGGGTAGTGTGCTGACAGTCCCAGTCCACAGGATGTAATGCAGAGTACCCAGACGCACACTGAGACCACACCAAGCCTGCTGGTCAGCTGCGTGATAAAGTGTTGTTTTGAGACGTCTCAAAACCAGTCCACTGGATGTAATGCAGAGTACCCAGGCCCACACTGAGACCACACCAACCCTGCTGGCCAGCTGACAAAGCCAGCCTACCAACGCACCAACCTGACTAACTCTCCACCAGCTCACCTTAAGGTTGGGTGTGAAGGGGTCCGGGAGGCGCATGTTGCGGGGGAAGGCGGAGAGCACGAGGTTGCGCATTTGGATGCACGTGGGGGGGATGATGGGATGGTGGAGTGGTGTGGTGTGGTGCAGTGTGGTAAGGTGCCAGGAAGCACACAGAAAGAACACACCAACAACAGTTAGCCATCGCAGCTCACCTTGAGGTTGGGTGTGAAGGGGTCGGGGAGACGCATGTTGCGCGGGAAGGCGGAGAGCACCAGGTTGCGCATTTGAATGCACGTGGGGGGGATGATGTCACAGAAGCTGAAGTGGTAGTCGCAGAGGAACTCGGGGAAATCATGCAGCAGCACCAGCAGCACGCGGATAGCTCCCTTGTACATCAAGCGGATCTGCCAATAACGAGAACAGCGCGAAAATGAGCGAGCTCAGAGTAAGGCAACGGAGGAGGGTAACAGCAGGAACAGCTAAGTGGCTTCCAAACAGTTAGGAGCCCGTCTAGGCTCGTCTAGAAACACTCACCGGGTTGCTGAGCTCTGCATCCCTGAGATACGGCTCCATGAACTTGAAGAGAGAGAGCAGAAGACGCTGGAACCCACCAACCCACTCCAGGAACTGAGGGCTGAAAGACCAACCTTACCAACCCAGCCACTGGGCTCTCTTAGTGACAAGCCATAGCGTTACAGTACACTTACCGGGTCGCTGAGCTCTGCATCCCTGAGGTACGGCTCCATGAATTTAAAGAGTGAGAGCAGCAGGCGCTGGAACCAGGGCCACCCCTTCTGACCGGGGAAGAGCAGCAGCTTGGGCATGAAGGAGCGATGGGAGATGAGCTCCAACCATGCGAAGCTGGCAGGGGGAGGGAGGGAAGGGAAGCAGGAGGGATAATGGGTGGTGGAAGAGTTGTGGGTGTGCCAGGAAGAGCAATAAAGTGCAGTGCAATGCAGTGCAGTGCGGTGCAACCAAGTGCAGTACATGGACTGCAATCGCAAGGGTTGTCAAGCTTTGGGTGAAAAGCCTTCAACTAGCCAGACAAGCACCCACACACCCACCCCCACACTCACGCCCATGCTCACGCCCACCCACACACCCATCCCCACACCCATGCTCACGCCCACCCATTCACTCACCCTCACACTCACGCCCATGCCCAGCCATCAGCCCGGCCAGCCCTCTGCTTCTCACCTGAACGAGGGCACTCGAAGAGGCTGCAGTGCGTGGAAGGTGGCCGCCAGGGTGGTGAGCACCTGATGGGAGGGACAGGAGGAAACAGGAGTTGATGGAAAGGAACCACAGCGACAGGAATTGAAACGACAGGAATTTGAGGAATAGGTATTGAAAGGACAGAAATTGGAAAGGCAGGAATCTGCAGTGACGCTCTCCTGCCCCACCCCAATTCCCCCTCCATATCTTCCCGAACTGTTCAGTATTCCTACCTCACCTGGTGACTGGCGGCATCAAAGTTGGGATCCGGCGCGTTCAAGTCGATCAGAAGGTTGGCGAGGAGGCGGAAGAAGGGGCGAGGGTTGGTGAGGCAACACATCCCCTCTGAGTTACATTCCCCACCTGCTACCCAGCTGGCTCACCTGGTGACTGGCGGCATCAAAGTTGGGATCCGGCGCGTTCAAGTCGATCAGAAGGTTGGCGAGGAGGCGGAAGAAGGGGCGAGGGTTGGTGAGGCGGTGCTCGTCGGCCTGGCGGTGGATGACTCTCACCACGCCCGACAGCACCTTGTTCAGCAGATTCACCTTGCTCAGATTCGCATTGCCTCCCAAATCCACGTAGTACTGCCAGGGGTTGAGAGCGGTGGGAATGAGTGGAGAGGCGCATAGAGGGGTGCGCATGGGTGGGAAGAGGTGGAGAGTGGTGGAAGGGAGTGAGGCGGCGCTCGTCGGCCTGGCGGTGGATGACCCTCACCACGCCCGACAGCACCTTGTTCAGCAGATTCACCTTGCTCAGATTCGCGTTGCCCCCCAAATCCACGTAGTACTGTCAGTTCCAGGGGTGGAGAGCGGTGGGAATGGGTGGGAAGGGGCAGGGAGGGGTTCAAATGGGTGGGAAGCGGTGGAGAGCGGTGGAAGGGGGTGAGGCGACGCTCGTCGGCCTGTCGGTGGATGACCCTCGCCAAGCCCGGCAGCACTTTGTTCAGCAGTTCACCTTGCTCAGATTCGATTTGTCCCCCAAGTCCACATAATTCTTCTCAGATGCTCATGGATGAGCGTGGGAGTCGTACTTTTCACCTCGCACGGAGGCAGATGCTCACCACGACCCTTTGATCCCTGGCGTGCGACGGCGAGCGAAGCAGATCGTCAATGGGGTCTGCGAATGTTCGATGGTGGGGGAGAAGTTCAAAGTTGGGATTGAGCCGAGCAAAAGAAACGAAGTGGAGAAACTATCTGGTGGAGAGATCATGCCTATCGCCACCAGATAGTCTATCCACTTCGCTTCGCTTGCTCGGCTCAATCTTAACCTTGAACTTCTTCCCCACCATCGAACATCCGCAGACCTCATTGACGATTTCCCTCACTCGCCATCGCACGCCAGAGACCCTTTCCACAGGGTCGCGGCGAGCATCTGCCCCCCGTGCGAGGTGAGAAGTACGCCTCCCACGCTCGCCCATGAGCATCTGTGAATGCACCTTTGTTCAGCAGATTCACCTTGCTCAGAGGCGTACCTTGATAAGGTGGGGTGGGGTGAGGGAAACAGCCACAAGCAGTGATCCCTACAGGGCGTACCTTGATAAGCAGCACCACAAGGCGGCTGAACATGTCGACAGCCGTGAAATTCAGCCCACGGGCTGACGGCACCAGGCCACTCCCAGGGACGGCCAGTGGGGAGACCACCGTGTCTGTGAGCGTGTGGAAGAGCCTACCTTGATAAGCAGCACCACGAGGCGGCTGAACATGTCGACAGCCGTGAAATTCAGCCCTCGGGCCGGCGGCACCTGGCCACTCCCAGGGACAGCAGGCAGGGCCGAGTTGAGCGGCTGAGAGGAGGCGAGGCAGCGCGCGACAACCATGTCTGTGAGCGTGCGGAAGAGCCTACCTTGATAAGCAGAACCACGAGGCGGCTGAACATGTCGACAGCCGTGAAATTCAGCCCTCGGGCCGGCGGCACCTGGCCGCTCCCAGGGGCGGCAGGCGGGGGCGGGTTGAGAGGCTGGGAGGAGGCGAGGCAGTGCGCGACGACCATGTCTGTGAGCGTGCGGAAGAGCCTCTCAGCGGCGTCCTCTGAGGCGAGCAGCGAGGAGTGCTGCAGCTGCGAGAGAAACACCACCACTGCCTTGTCGTTGCTGCCCGCCGCCTCGCTCACCCGCACCCAGTCGTCAAACAACGCCACTGCCTGCGCCTGCGGGCGGGGGGGCAAAGGGAGAGGTATTGTGGTCGGGTCATGAGGAATGGCTGATTGCTGCCCGCCGCCTCGCTCGCCCGCACCCAGTCGTCAAACAACACCACTGCCTGCGCCTGAGGGGGGTGTGGGAAAGGGGAGAGATGAGGGAAGAACGGTGGAGGAAGGAGATTTTGAGTTTGCTTGCTGACTGCTGCTGCCTTGCTCACCTGCACCCAGTCATCAAACAGCGCCACCGCCTGCGCCTGAGGGGGGGATGGGGGGGGGAGGGAGGGGGAAGAGTGGGGGAGAAGGGAGGAGAAAAGTGGGCAAGAACAGATTTGAAATGGCAACGTTGTCGCTTTGGCCTCCCCTGCTGCTGCCTTGCTCACCCGCACCGCACTAAAGTGTGCGTTGAAAACAGCGTCATGTGAACTTAGGCAAGTCTCTTGCGGCATTCCCTGTGACTCACAACGGTTCCAATCAAGTAACACGTGGCGTGGGGGTGTGAAACGAAGTCAGGTTGAATGACTTGGATGCAGAACTTGCCTTGATCTCGTGGTCGGGAGGAGCGTTAGCTGACTGTGGCAACGCTGATGAATCCACCTGCACACATGCATCGCAGGCAAGACACGTGCGTGCAACGTAAGGGAGACACAAAAAGGGAAGGAGGGCAAGCTGAGAAGAGGGAAAGACAAGGAAGAGGGCACATGAATCCACGGTTACATCCTACATGAGCCAATCGTCCATGTATCCATCATTCATCCACGCACCTGCTGGTTGAGGCCTGGGAGGTCCATGGGAGGAGCAGGGCTCCCAGCATACGCCAGAGGACCCTCCGCGCCCATCGGGATTTTGGCCAACCCAGGGGGGCCTGCCACCGCGCTAGCAGCGCCAGAAGCAGCGCCAGGGATACCACTACCAGGGACAGAGCCAGGAACCGCGCCCGGCGCACCAAGGGGCATGCCAGGGGCGCCCACACCACCTGCAGCAGCTGCTGCTGCTGCTGCGGAGCCGGGTCTTTCGATTTCTGATGCAATCAGCTGGGCAGGCGAGGGCGAGGCGGAATTGGCGGTGATCAGCTGAGCCGCTCCTCCTGCTGCTGCTCCTGCTGCTCCTGGTACCCCTTGGAAACCCATCCCCGCCTGCTGCTGCTGCTGTTGTGCCTGTGCCTGTGCCTGAGCCTGTGCTTGTGCCTGCTGATCGTGAACTGTTAGCTGCTGCTGCTGCTGCTGCTGCTGAGAGGCACCATACGGGACAGGAGACATGGACGATCCAGGCAGCCCCGAAATCATCCCTCCCATGCCCCCACCATTAGCACCACCACCAACCACTCCACCCACCTGTTGCTGCCCCTGCTGCCCCACCTGCTGCGGCCCCTGTCCTTGCCCCTGCCCAAGCACCATCTGCCCCTGCCCGCCCTGCCCCATCTGCTGCCCGCCCTGCCCCGCCCCTCCAGCCCCGCCCAGCACAGCAGCAGCAGCAGCAGCCGCCGCTCCCGCCTGAGGCACCTGCCCCTGCCAGGGCAGATGCGCGAAATCCTCATAGATTCTCTGCTGGACCAGCGTGAGCCGCCCGGGTTTGGGCCTGAGGGCCTCTGGGATGCGGGCAAGGCTGCCCTGGGAGTAGATGGATGCATCATAGTAGGCAGCTCCCAGTGCCTCCCGCTGCTTGCGCCGCATGGCTAGTGCTGGCCCCAGTACCTCTTCTAAATCGCGCACAGCCTGTGGATGGGGGGAGGGGGAAGAGAGAAGAAGCAGAGGAGGGAGGAGAGAAGAGAAAGAGGAGGTGAGGACAAGGTGGAAGGAGGTCCGTCAGACTGAGAGCCTCTGGGATGCAGGCGAGAGTGCCCTGGGAGTAGATGAATTAGAATGTTAGGCAATATTGAAATCACTTTTGAGAATTCTCAAAAGCGATTTCAATATTCGTCATGGTAGGCAGCTCCCACTGTTTGGTGGGCTGAAAGGAAAAGAGGAGGTCCGACTGAGCGCCTCTGGAATGCGGGCGAGGCTGCCCTGGGAGTAAATGGACGCATTGTAGTAGGCAGCTCCCAGTGCCTCTCTCTGCTTGGTGAGCTGGACTGGAAGGGAAAAATGAAGTTCTAGTGGGCGCCTCTGGAATGTGGGCGAGGCTGCCCTGGGAGTAAATGGACGAATCGTAGTAGGCCGCGCCGAGGGCCTCTCACTGCAGGTCAGGGTTACTGCTGACCAGCAGCTGCAACGCCCCACCTGGTGACTTTTACGGTTCACCTGAGTCAAGTATCAAGTCACAGCATTTGCACACGCCTCTCACCTTCTCACTGGCAGCCTTCTCAATAACAGCACACCCCAGGTAAGGTTGTCGCTGACCAGCACCTGAGCCACCTGCTTCAGCTGGTGACTTTCACCTGAGCCAACAACGTCACAGCACTCGCAAACGCCTCTCACCTTCTCACTGGCAGCCTTCTCAATAACGGCACACCCTAAATCCAAGTTGTCGCTGACCAGCAGCTGAGCCACCTGCTTCAGCTGGTGACTTTCACCTGAGCCAACAACGTCACAGCACTCGCAAACGCCTCTCACCTTCTCACTGGCAGCCTTCTCAATAACGGCACACCCTAGATCCAAGTTGCCGCTGACCAGCAGCTGAGCCACATGCTCCAGCTGATGACACCTGAGCCAAGTACTACCAAGTTACAGCAACACCCAGCAACCAACTCTCACCTTCTCACTGGCGGACTTCTCAATGACGGCACACCCCAGGTCGAGGTTGCCGCTGACCAGCAGCTGAGCCACATGCTCCAGCTGATGACACCTGAGCCAAGTACTACCAAGTCACAGCAACCCCCAGCAACCAACTCTCACCTTCTCACTGGCGGACTTCTCAATGACGGCACACCCCAGGTCGAGGTTGTCGCTGACCAGCAGCTGAGCCACATGCTCCAGCTGATGACACCTGAGCCAAGTACTACCAAGTCACAGCAACACCCAGCAACCAACTCTCACCTTCTCACTGGCGGCCTTCTCAATGACGGCACACCCCAGGTCGAGGTTGTCGCTGACCAGCAGCTGAGCCACATGCTCCAGCTGATGACACCTGAGCCAAGTACTACCAAGTCACAGCAACACCCAGCAACCAACTCTCACCTTCTCACTGGCGGCCTTCTCAATGACGGCACACCCCAGGTCGAGGTTGTCGCTGACCAGCAGCTGAGCCACCTGCTCCAGCTCCGCCCCTGCCAGTGCCGCCTGGAGCAGCGTCCTCAGGTGGTTCGCCATTGCCACACGCAGAGGCTCCTGTGCGGGCGAATGGGAGGCATAAGTGGGGTGGGAGGGGTGGGAGGAAAGGGCACGGACAAGAAAAGAGAGGGGAGGAGGGGTCAGCAGCTGAGCCACCTGCTCAAGCTCCGCCCCTGCCAGGGCTGCCTGCAGAAGCGTCCTCAGGTGGTTTGCCATCGCCACACGCAGAGGCTCCTGTTGGGACGAGCGGGAGGGGTGGGAGGCGTGGAAGGGGTTGGGGGGGGGGGGGGGTTGGGAGGGGAGGGCGGGGTGGGAGGTGCGGGAGAGGTGAGAGCCGTTCTCAGGTGGTTCGCCATTGCCACACGCAGGGGCTCCTGTGCGGGCGAGCGGAAGAGGGGTGAGACAGATATGGCGAGCAAACGGAGGAGGTGAGTGACAGAAGATGCGAACGAACAACCCACCACCACACACACACACACACCACACCGCACCGCACACCCCACATCATACATCCCATCGGACCACCACACACACCCACCGCACCGCATAGATCCCAGCACCAAAGCACCGCACACAACCACCACAAAGCCCACCTTGCACGTGACGAGCGCCAGACTTCCCGCCAGGCTCGCCACCATGAGGTTGGCTGCCTTCTGCTGCCATGACCGTACACCACATCATACACCCCACCACCACACATAACCACCAGACACCACACCCCACCACACCCCACCTTGCACGTGACGAGCGCCAGACTGCCCGCGAGGCTTGCCACCATGAGGTTAGCTGCCTTCTGTGTGCGGCTGTCGTCCGCCTCCATTGCAAAGTCCTGCTCAGACAGGGGTGGGATGAGGGACGCAGCAGAAGAGGTGATGCAAGGGCAATATTAAGCAGATGAAAAAAAAACAAAAACAAAACCAAAAAACACCATACATATATATATATATATATATATACATACATATATACCACCACCGTGGAAACAACTCACCTTGAGCACCAGCTCGCGTGTGGTCATGCACGCAATGCTGCAGCTCCTCTCCACCACTGGCGACACAATCTCCCTCACCGCCCGGTCCATGCACGCAGGCACGATCCTGGGAGCACAACACAACACCGTGAAAAGACCGAGGGGAAGAGTGAATTTCAGGTGGATTAGCGACACAATCTCTCTCACTGTACGGTCCATGCACGCAGGCACGATCCTGGGGGAGGATAATGGAGCAAGCGTGAGGCAGATGACGATGTAGAACATCTGTACCGATGGATGGGAAGGAAGGGCAAGGCGTTTAGAGGGGTGGGGGGAGATAGGGGGGAGTGCTCACCTTGCGAGCTGCAGCTGTTGTGCCACTGGAGCGAGCTTGGGGCTGATGACGATGTAGGACGCCAGGTTGGGCAGCAACACCGATGACTGGGAAGGGGGGGCGTTAATTGGGGGGTGGGGAGGGGTTGGTGAAGGTGGAAGATGGTGGGAAAACCAGCGGCAGGCATGGGGGGTACGTGAGATTAAAAAAAAAAAAAAAAAAAAAAAAAAAAAAAAAAGGGTTAAGGAGCAGCAAGAAATGAGTTGACCGAAAATGGGGTACTAAGATGGAACGGAAGGACAACACAGGTGAGAAGTGGGAGGGGCGGGTGGCTAGTGAAAAGAGGGCAGACGGAAGTGGGGTAGGGGACGAGGTGGGGGCGGGGGGCGGGGGAGAGCGAGGGGAAGGGGGTGGGGTGATGTATAGAGAATGAAAAGTGTTGTTGAGAAATGAGGCTCGGTTATATCCATACCGGAATAGCAGCCTTGGCACCAGCTTGCTGCGACTGCTGCAGCAACAACTGCTGCTGCTGCTGGGACTGCTGCGGTGGCGGTGATTGCTGCTGCTGCTGCATTGACATCTGTTCCTGCTGCTGCTGTTGCTGCTGCTGTTGCTGCTGTTGTTGCTGCAGCTGCTGCTGCTGCTGCTGCTGCTGCTGCTGCTGCTGTTGCTGTTGCTGCTGTTGCTGCTGCTGTTGCTGCTGCTGCTGTTGCTGCTGCTGTTGCTGTTGCTGTTGCTGCTGCTGCTGCTGCTGCTGTTGCTGCTGCTGCTGCTGCTGCTGCTGCTGCTGCTGCTGTTGCTGCTGCTGCTGCTGCTGCTGCTGCTGCTGCTGCTGCTGTTGCTGCTGTTGCTGCTGTTGCTGCTGTTGCTGCTGCTGCTGCTGCTGCTGCTGCTGCTGCTGTTGCTGTTGCTGCTGTTGCTGTTGCTGCTGAAACTGTGAAACCTGCTGTTCCGCCTTCCCTGCACCAGGCACTCCCATGGCCCCTCTACCAGCAGGACCAGGCGGCTCAGGGGACGCAACAGCTGACCGCACAAGAGGCTGAGGGGAACCCCTTCCTGACCCTGCTCCTCCTGCCCCCGCTCCTCCTGCAGCGGATAGGTGGGCAGCTAGCAGGTCCTTGTTTGAGAAGTCCGGATTTCCCTCCATCTCCCTCTGCCGCCCAACTAGCAGCTGCGACGGCTTCACCTCCTTCATCTCGATCCCCAGGTTTTTAAACAGCACCTGCGGGGAGAAAGGGAAAGGAGAGGAACCAGGCGAGGAGAGGGGCGATTAGCTCAATGTCGAACTTGAGATTGGGCTTGAGGTTGGGGAGGCTGTAGAGGTAGAGGGGTTGTGGACCCCCCCCCCCACCAGGTCACTCCAAATCAACGGTTCGACCAAGAAGCACAACGGGCGCATACCTCAATGTCAACTTGAGATTGAGCTTGAGGTTGGGGAGGCTGCAGAGGGGCTGTGGAACCTCACCAGGTAGTTCACCGGATTGACCAAGAAACACCCCAGGGAACAACTTTAGGTGCGCTTACCTCAATGTCGAACTTGAGATTGAGCTTGACGTTGGGGAGGCTGTAAAGAGGCTGCGGAACCCAAAACCGGGAAGAAACAATATTGGGCCTCATACCTCAATGTCGAACTTGAGATTGAGCTTGACGTTGGGGAGGCTGTAGAGAGGCTGCGGAACCCAAAACCGGGAAGAAACAATATTGGGCCTCATACCTCAATGTCGAACTTGAGATTGAGCTTCAGGTTGGGCAGGCTGTAAATCTCCACCAGCAGACCCAGGATGCCCACGGTCCAGGGGTTGGGTGGCTGGTAGATCACACTGTTCGCACAGGGTTCCAGAATCTGCAGAAGAACAAAACGGGGGAGCGAAGGAAGGGGAGATGGGGGAAGGGGGGGAGAAGAGGGGAGGATGGGGGGAGGGAGGACACAAGGGAAGGGGGGGGGGGGGGAGGTCACAACACAGAATGCCCACGGTCCAGGGGTTGGGCGGCTGGTAGATCACGCTGTTTGCACAGGGCTCAAGAACCTGCAGAACGAGATGCAAAACAGAAGGGAAAACAGCCGGGCACACAAAAGAAGCGGGTTGAAAGGGGGGCGAGTGGGGGCAGTAGGGGGAGAAGAGTGGGGAGAAGATGGGGGAGGGGGCGGAACGAGGAAATGAACAAACGGGGGAGATTTTTTTTCTTAGAGTAAACATGGAGAAACATGCATAGACGAGGGGAACAGGAAGGAACCAGGAAGGAACGAGAGAGCATGCCTGAACGGAGGCTATTGACCCAACTCGAAGAGGAGGAGAGGAGAAAGGTGGGGGGGAGAGGGAGAGTGGGTGGAGGTCGAAGGAATGCTCACTTTGGATGTGAATGGAATGATGGCAATCATAAGACCCTTCTCGTATGCCTGGAAGGGGTGGGGATGGGAATAAAGCGTGAGTCCGAGAGAATTTGAGCTAAAAGGGGCTGTTTTTAGGACTTTGGGAATACGGCGTGAGTACGAAAGAAAGTTGAATGCATCCGGGTGAGGCATGGAAAGAAACTGGTATGGCTCAGAACACAACTCAATAGTGCAAGAAACGAATAAACGAGGGGGGCGGGGGGGGAGAGGGGGGAGGGGAGAGAGCGAAAGGAAGGGTCGAAGGGGAAGGGTGGGCAGGAAGCACGGCATAGAATCAGAAATAAGAAGGGTGGGGGTAGGGAGGAGCCGGGGGGGAGGGATGGGGGAAAGGGGGTGTGGGGTTAGAAGGCAGGACAGCAAGGACAGCAGGTGGAAGCCATACACGGTGGGAGGGAGGAGGGGTGGGGTGGGGGTAGGGGGGTTGGAACACAAACGTCAGAATAACTCAAACACGAAAATGCCATGAAAAGCTGGATCGGAGAGGTACCCCTTACCCAAACCCTAACACCCCCTCTCAACCATCCCTCCAACCTTTCTCCCCACTACACTCCTTTCCCCGGCCCTTCCCTCAACCCCACCCCCCATCCCTTCATCTTCCCCCCTTCTCCCTCCCCACACGCACACACACCGATCCGTCCCACAGTCACACCAACCTTGACGAGCCTTTCTCGCAGTCATATAATATCCACATCCCACACGTTACCTCGATGATAAGATTCTTCGGGTTGATCTGGTTGGCGCGCAGCGGCTGGTTCCGGCCAATGGTGAGTCGGCCCAGCCAGCTGCCGATGTTCTTGAGCAGCGAGCGCTCCTCACTGCTGGACCGGATCAGCTCTGATCGCAGCAGAACCTTGCAGTTCTCGTAGGTCGCCTTCACCACTTCCTTCTGCAGCGATTTGGCCGCCATCTTGTCGACAAACTTGAGGTAGAGCTCGTGAAAGTTGGGCTCTATGCTCGCTCTGATGCATGCGGGCACACACAAGCGCACACCGCACACACACACGCATATGCACACACCCACACACACACACACACACCAAAACGCGCGCGCACACACACACATGCACACGCACACGCACACACACACGCGCACACACACACGCACACATGGCAGAGGGAGGGTTCACTCTTGGGTCACTAATAGAAGCACTTCGGCACATGAGACTGACGTTTTCATGGTGGCGTATAGCGCGTACCCCTAAACTAGGGGAAGAAGGATGGACAAGATGTCCCACCAAGCCCGACCAAGTAAGGCCCCGTGTATGAAGTAATGTTTTGAGATGTCTCAAAACATTACTTCATACACGTGGCCCCTTTAAAGCATAGAAATTGACAGTACTGTGCGAACCAGGGGAAGAAGGGCTCCTTGGGCACCTCCCACGTACTGTCTTTGAGTCGACTCAAAACCGTGTTTTGAGCCTAATTTCGAGTCGACTCAAAAGTAGCCTAGTTTTGAGTCGACTCAAAACCATGCGAACCAGGGGAAGAAGGGCTCCTTGAGCACCTCCCACGTACTGTCTTTGGGACCCCTCAGACGTAGAAAGACTAACCCTTCAATCAAGGTAAATCTCTCGAGGCTCACCTCTTCATTGACGAGGTACTGCACGAACCAGGGGAAGAAGGGCTCCTTGAGCACCTTGCAAGTGCTGCCTCTGAGGCCCCTCAGAAGCAGAAAGACTACCTTTCCATTACAAGGTAAAGTTCTAAAACTGACCTCTTCTCTGTTCTGTTTGACACTCACCTCTTCATGACGAGGAACTGGGCGAACCAGGGGAAGAAGGGCTCCTTGAGCACCTCCAGAATCTCCTAGGATGCCCCTTCAACGCAGAAAGACTAACCCTTCCATTACAAGGTACTGCCCTCGAATCTCACCTCTTCATGACAAGGTACTGGGCGAACCAGGGGAAGAAGGGCTCCTTGAGCACCTCCAGAATCTCCTAGGATGCCCCTTCAACGCAGAAAGACTAACCCTTCCATTACAAGGTACTGCCCTCGAATCTCACCTCTTCATGACGAGGTATTGTGCGAACCAGGGGAAGAAGGGCTCCTTGAGCACCTTGCAAGCACTGCTTTTGAGGCCTCTCAGACTCACCTTTCTATTACCAAGTAACAGCCCTCGCAACTCACCTCTTCATGACGAGGTACTGCGCGAACCAGGGGAAGAAGGGCTCCTTGAGCACCTCGAGGATCTCCTTGGCCTTCTGGTCCAGATTTGCCGCCGCGATGTTGTTGATGATAAACGCCACCTTGTCCTGTGCGTCTGATGAGGGCATCTGGGGGGATGAGCAGGAGATGAAGAGGGGTGACAGACGGTGGAGGGCGAATAAGGATGAGTGACGGCGATGTTGTTGGTGATAAACGCCATCTTGTCCTGCGCGTCTGACGAGGGCATCTGGGGGGAAAAGGGGGAGGGGAATGAGAAGGTTAGGGAAGGAGAGAATTCGCAGCTAGGCAGAAAGAACAGCGGATATGGAGGGGCAAGTGCGACATTGTTGATAACCTTGTACTGAGCCTCTGACAGGGGCATCTGACTGGCCTCAATGGTGTTCTCTCACATACGAACTCCACCCAAGGGGTTTCCAATCTCACCTCGATGGGGCTCACTCGCTTCTCTGCTGCAGCCATGAGCGTCTCAATCTTGAGCGCATGCCCAAAGCCAGCAGCTGGCACTCTGGCCAACACACACACTACCAGTACCAGACATGCCACCTCAAGACGGCTCTCCCTTATGGGGTTTTTTATCTCACCTCGATGGGGCTCTCGCGCTTCTCTGCTGCCGCCATGAGCGTTTCAATCTTGAGGGCATGCCCAAACCCAGCAGCAGGCGCTCTCAACGACACAAGCACTACCAGTACCAGACATGCCACCTCAATACGGCTCTCCCTTATGGGGTTTCCAGTCTCACCTCGATGGGGCTTTCTCGCTTCTCTGCTGCAGCCATAAGCGTCTCAATGTTGAGCGCATGCCCAAACCCAGCAGCAGGCGCTCTGGTAGCCACTCCCGCACCTGAACCCCCACGCGGACGCAGAGCCTCCAGCTTCTGTGAGCCTCCTGACCCTCCAATTGGGGCCAAGGCGGCACCTGACGGCTGCAAGCAGAGGAGGAGAGGGAGGTAGCGGGAGAAAAGAGAAGGGAGGAAATGAGATAGGCACTCGTCGACACACCCGAGCCTGACCCCCCACGCGGGCGCAGAGCCTCCAGCTTCTGTAAGCCTCCGGAACCCCCAACTGGAGCCAAGGCCGCTCCTGAGGGCTGGAAGCAGAGGAGTCAGAGTAGGGAGAGACGAGAGGCAAGGATGGTGCTTCAGTCACTCTGCGAGCCTCCAGAACCTCCCATTGGGCCCGAGGGAGCACCTTGAATAGGATGGAAACCTTATCAGGGCTGTGCAGGGAAGCTTGCCCTGCGATTTTCTAGTCAAGTCAAGAAACACCAGACAGGCCAACACACCTTGAATAGAATGGAATCCTTCGCAGGGCTCTGCACAGCCGCTTGCCCTGCACTACCTGCCTCTGCCTTCCCTCCCACAGCCCCATCTTGCTTCTCTTCCGCCTCTTCCTTCTTTTGCTCTGCTTTCACCTGCCCCTGCCCTGGTGCCTGTCCCTGCGCCTGCCCCTGTGTTACCCCCCCAGCACCATCCTTCCCCTCCACTGCTCCCTTCCCTGCCACACCATCCGCTGACTTCCCCGCCTTATCCTGAGGCCCCACACCCCCAGTATCACCACCACCAGAAGCACCCTTCCCCTTGTCGCCTGCACCAATGGCACCTCCACCATCCACACCCCCTCCTCCCCCACCAGCCCCACCAGTGGAAACACCGCCAGCAGCACCAGCAGCCGCACCAGCGGCAGCAGCACCACTAACAGCACTGGGACCACCTGCCCCTGCCCCTGCCACCACCCCACCCTCCCCATTCCCTCCCACGTTACCAGCACCTGCAGCACCACCACCAGCACCACCAGCAGCAGCACCACCACCGCCACCGCCAGCAGCAGCAGCAGCACCGCCTGCACCAGATAAACCTTCCCCAGCCACGCCTTTACTCGCTGGCGCCGCTGCAGCAGCCTGAACTAACGCGTACAGGCGCGGGTGCACGTCCTGCAGGTGCGGGATGTGCAGGATGTGCGTGCAGTAGGGCGGCCACTCGGGCAGGCGCTGGTGGAACTGCTCGAGCGCGGTGACGCCAAAGGAGAACATCTTGGAGTCGGAGGGCTTCTTGAGTGCGTCTAGCACACAGCGCAGGGCTATGCCCAGGGTGATGGACGACACTAGCTGGTGCTTCACCAGGGAGCCTGGGAGAGGGAGGAAGTGAGGGGGGGGAGGAACGGGGTGAGGGGAAAAAGGGAGCGGACGAAAGGGGGGGTATGTGAGGTGCTGGCGGAACTGGACGCCAAAGGAGAACATCTTGGAGCCGGACGGCTTCTTGAGGGCACCTAGCTCACAGCGGAGGGCTATGCCTAGGGTAATCGATGATACTAGCTGATGCTTTACCAGAGAGCCTGGGAGAGGTGGGAATTCAGAAAAAGGGGAACAGGAAAATGAAAATGAAAAGGAAGGAGCGAGGGGAGAGAGAGGGATAAGTGAGGCCCCTCAGGGATGTGCGTGCAGTAGGGCGGCCACTCGAGCAGGCGCTGGTGGAACTGGTCGAGCGCGGTAAAGGGCGATTGACGAGACAAGCCCAGCTGGCGCTTTCCAGAGCATCAGCAATTTTAGGGTTATGTGCTGTGCTCTTACCAGCTAAAACGCCACTCACTGAAGAGGACAGCAGTGATGCGGAGCTCCTTGTCGGGATAGCGCAGGAAGAAGCGATACTCGACAGAACATGCCTTCCAAGGGCGTTCCACCAGGAACAGCAAGCCTAGAGACAGTCTCACTCACCGAAGAGGACAGCAGTGATGCGGAGCTCCTTGTCGGGATAGCGCAGGAAGAAGCGATACTCGACAGAACATGCCTTCCAAGGGCGTTCCACCAGGAACAGCAAGCCTAGAGACAGTCTCACTCACCGAAGAGGACAGCAGTGATGCGGAGCTCCTTGTCGGGGTAGCGCAGGAAGAAGCGATACTCGACAGAACATGCCTTCCAAGGGCGTTCCACCAGGAACAGCAAGCCTAGAGACAGTCTCACTCACCGAAGAGGACAGCAGTGATGCGGAGCTCCTTGTCGGGATAGCGCAGGAAGAAGCGATACTCGACAGAACATGCCTTCCAAGGGCGTTCCACCAGGAACAGCAAGCCTAGAGACAGTCTCACTCACCGAAGAGGACAGCAGTGATGCGGAGCTCCTTGTCGGGATAGCGCAGGAAGAAGCGATACTCGACAGAACATGCCTTCCAAGGGCGTTCCACCAGGAACAGCAAGCCTAGAGACAGTCTCACTCACCGAAGAGGACAGCAGTGATGCGGAGCTCCTTGTCGGGGTAGCGCAGGAAGAAGCGATACTCGACAGAACATGCCTTCCAAGGGCGTTCCACCAGGAACAGCAAGCCTAGAGACAGTCTCACTCACCGAAGAGGACAGCAGTGATGCGGAGCTCCTTGTCGGGATAGCGCAGGAAGAAGCGATACTCGACAGAACATGCCTTCCAAGGGCGTTCCACCAGGAACAGCAAGCCTAGAGACAGTCTCACTCACCGAAGAGGACAGCAGTGATGCGGAGCTCCTTGTCGGGGTAGCGCGGGAAGAAGCGGTACTCGTCAAATAGGCTCTGAATCATGCACGCAAACACATCTTGCTCCCTGGGAGGGGGGAAAACAGGTCGAACAAGAGTGGGAGGGGGAAACGGAAGCCACAGGGGGCACAGATGTTAAGGCGACTCGTAGAAGCGGAACTTGTCAAAGAAGGCAAAAGGAAAGCGGAACCCTAAACCCAGACCTGAACCAGCAAACCTGCTCCTCCCCTGCCCACCTTTGCACGGAGGAACCATTAAAGCGCTTCAGCATATCCACCACCTCCTCAATGCTCAACTGCCCCACGTAGATCTTCTGGAAAGACGCATTCACCTCCTCCTCTATGTCACTCGCAAACACGCCACACCACCCTAAACCCGAAATCCCAACACTAACCCTCACCCTGAAACAGCAAGCCTGCTCCTCCCCTGCCCACCTTAGCACGGAGGAGCCGTTGAAGCGCTTCAACATATCCACCACCTCCTCAATGCTCAACTGCCCGGCATAGATCTTCTGGAAATACGCGTTCGCCTCCTCCTCTAAGTCACTCGCAAACACGCCACACCACCCTAAACCCGAAATCCCTGCCCTACCTAACCCTAAAACAGCAAGCTTGCTCCTCCTCTGCCCACCTTTGCACGGAGGAGCCGTTGAAGCGCTTCAGCATATCCACCACCTCCTCAATGCTCAACTGCCCCACGTAGATCTTCTGGAAGTACGCATTCGCCTCCTCCTCTATGTCGCTCGCAAACACGTCTGCAGGGGCCTGCTCAGGCACTGCCACGGTCTGCAGCGCCGGGTGCAGCTGCAGCGCGGACGCGTACAGGGCTTTAAGCTCGTCGCCCAGCTCGGGCGCCTGCAGCTGCGGCGCGTTGGCTTGGAGGACCTGCGGTGGGTGCAGTCAGGGTAGGGCGTGGCCAGGGGAGGGCGTGACGGGGAATGGGGAAGAGAAGGCAGGGAAAAGGAGGAAGAGGAAACAGAGGGAGAGGGGAACGGGGGGATAAGAAAATGGGGAGAGGGAAGGGGTAGGGAAAAGGAAGGGCGGTTGAGGAGAATGTAGGCAGGGGCCTGCTCGGGCACTGCCACGGTCTGCAGCGCCGGGTGCAGCTGCAGCGCGGACGAGTACAGGGCTTTAAGCTCGTCCCCCAGCTCGGGCGCCTGCAGCTGCGGCGCGTTGGCTTGGAGGGCCTGCGGAATGGAGGTGTGGCCAGGGGAGGGCGTAACGGGGAAGAGAGGACAAGAGGGCGGGGAGGAGGGGAAAAGGGGGAGAGAAAATAGGGGAGGCGGCAGGGGATGAGGGGTGACTACGAGGAGGCAGAACGCAAGTGGAAACACGAGGGAGCAGCAGAGAAAGCTTGCCTTGAAGAAGATGGCGAGCGTTTCCAGAGAAAGGTTGATTCGCTGTGCACTGGCGTCCTGACTGTCCTGCACCAGCTTGGCCCTCAGGAACTGCAGACACGCCTGCATAGGGGAAGAGGCCGCGAGAGAGCAAAAAGGGAGTCAGAAGGGAGGGGCTGAGAGCATGAGAGGTAGAGCATGAGTGTGAGATCAGGTTGGTTCGCTGTATCTGGACTCCTAGCTGTTCTACACCAGCTTGGCTCTTCGAAATTGCAGGCAGGCCTGCGTGCCAACATCTCATCTGCGTTCATATCCCACCTTGAAGAGCGAGTCGCGGTGCAGAGTGAGCGCCTCCTGCAGCCACTTCTCGAGGTTCCACGTACAGGCGGCGAGAGGCGCTTGCGGTGAGATGTGTTTGCAGCACAACAGGCCCCACATAACGTACCTTGAAGAGCGAGTCGCGGTGCAGAGTGAGCGCCTCCTGCAGCCACTTCTCGAGGTTGAGGTACTCGCGGCGAGAGGCAAGAGAAGCGAGGTCCAGGGAGAAAGAGAAGGGCGTGCTCTCCAGCACCACCGAGAGAACCTGCAAATCAACCAGCAAAGGTAGAACGTAGAATTGGTATGGAGGAAGCTTCAAAACGCGAGGCCGGCGGGGCGAGCAAAGCGAGGTCCAGGGAGAAAGTGAAGGGGGTGCTCTCCAGCACCACCGAGAGAACCTGCAGATTAGTCACAGTGTGGAAGCACTATTTAACTCAGAAATTATCAACACAAGAGGTAGAGCGGGGTGGTGGGTGAGAATGCTGGCACAGCATGCACTCCCCCCACCAACCCCCACCCACAGCCCATCACCATGTCCTTTCCCCCGGGCTCCCCCCACAGCGCATGCAGCACAATGCTCCATACCATACATACCCTTTAGAACGCCCGGTTCATACTCTGTATAGACCCGGCACCACTCTCTAGCCCCCCTCACCTTGAGGTCTTGGCACACGTCGAGCAGGCGAGCAATGCTGGTGGGGTCGCTGGCGTGCACGCCCACCATCGCCTCCATCACCACGTCCTTTCCCCCGGGCACGCCCCACAGCGCATGCAGCACAATGCTCCATGCATACGCGTTACAGAACCTAGCCCATACTCGGTATAACTCGCCCTCACCTTGAGATCCTGGCACACGTCGAGCAGGCGAGCAATGCTGGTGGGATCGCTGGCGTGCACGCCCACCATCGCCTGCATCACCACGTCCTTTCCCCCGGGCACCCCCCACAGCGCATGCAGCACAATGCTCGAGTTCGGATTATTCGCCAGATACAGAGGCACCAACGCCCCCAGAACCTCCCTCTGAATCACCCCCCCTCCGGGCGTCTTCACCTGCGCCAGCCCCACTATAAGCACCTCCGGGCAGTGCTTTATCGGGTACCCCAGCACTTCCACCACCTCCGCCTTCCTCCCAGTCTCGCCGATCCTACAGAGGGCTTCTAGAAGGTCTAGGGAGACCCAGGCGCAGTTGGGGGTGCCCGTGGGGAGCTTGTGCCCGTGGAGGTTGTCCATGGGGGGGGGTTGGCGGGGGGAGTGCGCGAAGGTGAAGACTTCGGGGGGCGCGGAGACCGCGTGGCGGAGGAAGGAGAGCTGCCCATCCGCGTTCGCCCACAGCTTGCCGCATACGGACGGCAGGGGGAAGAGCTCCTGTGGGGATTGCCGGGGAAGGATACGCAAGGGTAAGCGGGAGGGAGAATGGAGGGGGAACGTGTTCGCAAGGTGAGGCCAACTCAGTGCCTCGGCCGGAGGCTCAGAAAGGAGAGCTGCCCCTCCGCTTGTGCCCGTGGAGGTTGACCTGGGGGGGGGTTGGCGGGGGGAGTGCGCGAAGGTGAAGACTTCGGGGGGCGCGGAGACTGCGTGGCGGAGGAAAGAGAGCTGCCCCTCCGCGTTCGCCCACAGCTTGCCGCATACTGAGGGCAGGGGGAAGAGCTCCTGCGGTGGGTGCCAGGAAAGGATAAGCAAGGATAAGCAGGAATGGGTGAATGGTACGGGAACGTGTGCGAACAGGCGAGGCAGTTTCAACGCCTGAACGGGGGACGGAGGAAGGAGAGCTGCCCTTCCGCGTTCGCCCACAGCTTGCCGCATACTGAGGGCAGGGGGGAGAGTTCCTGCATGGCGGAGAGAGACAAGAGATAAGATATTTCAAAGCCGTTCACAGCGTGGCGGAGAAAGGCGGGCTGTGGAATGGACAGGGTATACAAGACCTTCAAAAGCCACCGTAACGTACACACAATACGAGACAGACACGACAGACACAGTGGCGTCTAAAAAATGCGCCCTTCGAGACTTCTCGAAAGTGAATCACTGACTCGCATGCATACATACCTTGGTAGCTTTGGAGTGCATAAGCACGAGCGCGCTGAAGCCCTTCTGATCCTTGACAAAGAAGCCTGGGTAGTCCAGATGGTTGATCACCGACGACCAGCTCAGCCTCGGCGCCTGCCTCGAGGGAAAATAACGGGGTGGTAGAGCGAAGTGAGGGTTAAAGCGCGCTGAAGCCCTTGTGATTCTTGACGAGGACGCCCGGGTAGTCCAGATGGTTGATCACCGACGACCAGCTCAGCCTCGGTGCCTGGCTCACACACACACACAAGAAAGGATGTTGAACGAAAGAGATGGGTTAACGAAGCCCTTGGTGGTCCCTGGCAAAGAACCCCGGGTAGTCCAGACGATTGATCACCGACGACCAGCTCAGCCTCGGTGCCTGGCTCACACACACACACAAGAAAGGATGTTGAACGAAAGAGATGGGTTAACGAAGCCCTTGGTGGTCCCTGGCAAAGAACCCCGGGTAGTCCAGACGATTGATCACCGACGACCAGCTCAGCCTCGGTGCCTGCCTCAGGGGTGCACAACAGGGGATTGGTTTTACAGAAAAAAACGCAATGATATAAGAGTCTCTAAATTACTTTTCGAGCCTGCCTCACACACGCAAGAAAGAATGTTGGAACAAAAGACGACGCGCTATATTTTCGCCTGAAAAACAGGCTCGGTGCCTGCCTCAGCAGCGCACAACCGGGTGGTGGAGAGAAACGAGGGTTAGCGGAGGACGCGTTTTGTTACGCGTCTCAAAAGATAGCCCCAGCAACACCACCGCCACCACAAGTCTCCACTCCACCGACCCCTCAGCCACCACCCCCATGACCCGCGCTTTTGAGGCGCCTCAGAACGGTGCATGGACGAACGCTCACCAGCTGAACAATGGCTTCAACCAGCACATCCACGTTCCAGAACGTGAGCGGCCCAGCACCGCCACCCCCGTCACGAGTCTCCACGAAACCCTTCGCCACCACCCCCATGACCCGCGCGACGTCCGCCTCGCTGATGCTGCTACCGGCGCTGTGCTCCTTGAGCACGGCCTTGCAGTGCTCCACCGTGTCCGTGCACGCAAACCCTAGCTCCTCCATCGCCGTCGCCATGTCCTGACACTCACCAGCTGAAGACACTCACCAGCTGAACAATGGCTTCAACCAGCACATCCACGTTCCAGAACGTGAGCGGCCCAGCGCCGCCACCCCCGCCACGAGTTTCCACGGAACCCTTCGCCACCACTCCCATGACCCGCGCAACGTCCGCTTCGCTGATGCTGCTGCCGGCGCTGTGCTCCTTGAGCACGGCCTTGCAGTGCTCCACCGTGTCCGTGCAGCCAAACCCTAGCTCCTCCATCGCCGTCGCCATGTCTTTCGCCTTGGAGCCGGAGGCGGAACCGGAACCGGAAGCGGACGCGGAAGATGAAGCCATGATGGAATTGACGAAGGCGGACCAATCCCGAGGCAGGTCACTGCGCAAAACAAACGTCGCAGGAACGAGGTTGTTAAGAGACCTTAAAATGGTGTACAAACGAAAGATAAGGCGTTTGCCTGAAATCCAATCCCTTTCCGAAAGAACGCACGCCAGAAAGAAAACGTACACGAAATCTTTCCCGAGCGAACCGCTCCTTTCTAGGAACGGAAGGAGGTAAATCGGGAACGGATCCCTGGTAAGACGCCAGCAGAGCGATTCCTCCAAGATGAGAGAGTGCTCCTTGAGCTTCGGATAAGACGAACACGTGAGAAAGACGCTCCAGAACAAATCGCCTGGTAGTGCAGAAACCTCGGCTTCAGGCAATCCGCCAATCACGCAGTCGATTAAGTCAAGAGCTGCACAATACGAACATGCCTTAAGAGATATTGTAATCGATAACAAGTGGAAGAAATTGTCGCGCTAAGAGAAACTAACCGCAAAACTGATAGCGAGAGAAACAAATATTACCTTCTTCCTTCCAAAATGGAGAACCAACGTCAGCGAGACCAACGCCTAAGCGGAGCTGAACAGCGACAGGAAGACTAATAATCGCGAGCGATATCTTCAAGAAACCCTTGTAAGGTTCGGAGAAATGACCTAAAGCTCGAGCTACGGTTGTCGGAAAATCGGATCTACGAGAAAGGCACTCTAACGTGGATGCTAACAGGTGATGCTTCAATTCCACGCTCTGACCGCCTTGGTCGTCGCTAAAGAGAACGTCCAGACAGGAACGAAGAATAAGCTGATTCGCCTCGGGTCCTGCTAGATCTGCAATCTGGAAAACCGGCGAAAACACACAGCAGATTGGTGAAAAGTTAGAATACGTCTCCATAAACGTACCCTAACCTTATCTTTATTTTGTGAAGTTACTGAAAGCCTAATGCATAATGTTAACAATTGACAAGCCTACCTGACTAAGCTCAGAAACAACGGCCTTATGATTGCTTTCCGTAATTCCTTGCACAAGGCGTCGTATCTGGACGGAAACAGCCGAGCCAAGCGGGAACATCATCACCACCTCCCACGCCGTCGCAACGAGATCTCGCAACCGCTAACATGACAGCCTCTTTTCCGAAAGGCTAAACGGCTGTTGTGTTCTACGCCGAGCATCATGATAGAAGCCACCAGCCATGTCAAAAATAACCTGGCGAAGCAGCCATGGCCGGGCTCTGGTTGGAGCGATCTGGCTGGGATGGGAAGGAAGAAACAAGGTGGAAAGGGTCTGTGGATAAGGGAGTGAAGTTTCGTTAGGTATTTCGTCTAATCTGGTTACTGGTCGTTGTGGTCCGATAACCGTCCATCGGAAATCGTTTTCGGCAACGCCCGCCGATTTCTTGGTGATGCTGGGTTTGCATCACGGGATCATTGATGCAAGGGCGTGGTACATCCTCGGAAGTCTGGACAGTCATCTGTATGCACAAGTAGGCATAAGCAAATTACCAAACCGAACCGGTTCGGACACATTAGCGCGTTCACCGAACCGAATCGTAAACGAACCGAACCGGTTCTTTCCGAACCGTCCTGAAGTCAAGCCAGTTCGAGGTTCGGTATTATTGTGCTAAAACCGAACTGAACGAACCGAACCGAACCGAACCAGCCATTTGGGCCCCCTAATCACCTTTCCCCGCCCCTCTGCCCCTAGATGAAAGCAAAAAACCGAACCGGTCGAACCGCCGAACCGGTTCGAAGACAATCCGGTTCGGCCCGTTGTGAACCTAATGAACAAAATGAGGCTGCGGTTCGATTCGCAATGAACTGAACCGCGCCGAACCGAATTGCGGTTCGGCTCTATGCTCATGTCTATTAGCAAGAGACTACTAGTGTAATAAATCTTTCGACATTCCTTACCGCGTGCTTCAACACCGCGTACAGGACCAACCGTTTGTTCGTCCATTACTACTAACGGGGCTTCGCCAACCTCTGCGTGCTAAATTTGCCAAACCATGCATCGCTGGCCTGGCCGATTTGACCTACGCCTCGGGACTAGCTCGAACCTCGATGTCAGCGTCGCACTAGCTAGCTCGCACGCACCGCGATACCGTTTGCACTTTCGCTTTTATAAGTATTCGCTCATGCCTTCGCTCGTACTTGTACTCGTTTAACACCTAAGTGCAATCCTCGCTACCTCGTTCCATTGCACCCGTAACAACTAGTAAGAGACTACTGCTCAAATCAAACTTGTACAACCTCTCAAAGTCCTAATATTCTGTGTAACATATACGCTGGAGAAGACTGAGGTAGATTGGGCGGATCGATGGAGTGAGGAGCAAGAGAGAGGGGGTGGAGGGGGGGGGAGGGGTTGCGCCATGGGTGGGAAAAGAATAACCTTGGCCCGTCAATTTCGCGCTTTCGCCCCTACGCCATTTCCCTTGCATTTTTCTTCCCCGCATAGTAACATAGCGAAGCACGCAAGGGGCGAAGCCAACCCCTCCACCCCTCCTCCCCCCCCCCCCCCCCCCCCCCCCTCTCCCTCCCCATTCCATCCTCCCCGACCCCAAACGACGTCCGCAAGCTGGCGTCTGCAAATTAATAGAGGCCTCGCAAGTCGTCGCTTCGTGGACGGAACCCATTGCCTCCTGCGTCATCTCTCATTGTCTCTCCTCCACCTTTTTTCAACAACCTCCGAGCTGCTCACCTTGTTGTTTCTTATGGTTCTCTCCTCCCTCGTGAGTGACACTACTAAGTCTCCATCGTTTGTTGCGGCTCTTGTCGCCATTGTCACTAACTTTGCCTCCACCCATCCCCGTGATTACGCCACATGTTTGACAACTGCTCCTCCTACCCATCCTCTGTCCGTCTCGGGTGGGTTTGCCCTTGGTTGTAACGTCCTAGAGGATAGGCAATTTGAGCTACAACCCCTGTGGCCGCTGCTCCTCTAGGTTATGTTGCTAGCCCCTAAGGGAGACCCCGACGCTGCTGACATTCCGATTCCTCGTACCTACACTGAGGCGATCTAGGGACCGTGGGTCTCTCAGTGGATAGAAGCTATGGACGCAGAGATGGCATCGTTGAGGTCCACAGACATCTATGTCGATGCAATTCCCCCTCTTTGGGCGAACGTAGTCGATGGCATGTGGATTTTCAAGATGAAGAGGTCGCATGGTTTTGCGCATGTCTTCAAGGTGCGCTACGTGGCGAGAGGCTTTAGCAAGCGTGAGGGAGTAGATTTCTTCCAGACGTTCTCTTCCGCTCCAAAGATAACTACTGCTGCACGTCGCAGCACAGCGCCTCGCTATACTTTTCCACTGCCTTCCTCCAGCAGGGTCTGCACCAGCAGATCTAGGTGCCTTGTCCTCCCAAAATCACTGGCTCTTTCTCGCCTGGGACGAGACCCGGTGGAGCCGGAGACGACATGTCTACTGTCTACGTCAGGCATCTCAGAAGTGGCATGCACCTTGTGCGCCACTCTTCCTTCTCTCGGGCTCCACCCATCTGAAGCCGGCTCGTCACATTTCATTTGTTATGAGCCTAGTTATTTCTTCATGCCCGTTTACGTCAACGACCTGGTTTTTGCTACTGCATACGAGGTTGCCCTGGCTTCAATGAAGGCTGAACTGCATAAGAGACACACCTGCACTGACCTTGGTGAATTGCGCATCTATCTTTTCGTCCAGATAACAGCAGCGTGCACCATCATTCTGATGCAGTCACATATGGTGCAGCACATCCTTCAGTGGTTCGGTCTTCCATTCTCCTCCACACATCCCACTCCTCTTGCTATCGAACATAGGCTCACCGCTCCTATTCCCGACAAGTCGGTTGAGCATAGTAGTCCGTACGCAGAGCTTGTGGGGTGCTTCGTGTACCTTATTACCTCTACTAGGCCAGACCTCGCTTACCCTTTCAGCGTCCTTGCTCGTATTTTTTTCAATTGGGATGCACCGTCCTGTTCACTGGACGGCAGCTAAGTGGGTAGCGAAGTACGTGGCAAGCATATCCGGCATAGAGCTTGTGTTTGGAGGGAGCCAGGTGCGGAGAGTCGCTCTACAATGGGGCAGCTGGACTACGTATGAAGGCACGGGTGGTATAAGTGATCGTAGCTTTCCTCGTGTTTTCCCTACTCGTGTGTTCACGGAAAAGATTGGCAAGAGTTTCACTAGAAAGTGGGGATTACACAATGATAGCAAACATAAATGGCAAGAATAACCACATCAGATGCAAGGCAACCTAGCAAGCAGGCATGTCGATCTCTAGCATAACACGAGGGCGGCTAGCCAGCACTGCAACTCGACGGCATGCAAGCTGGGAGGTGGCTTCCCAACACTGCAAGTTGGCAACCTGCCCGCACTGCACCGGGGTAGCTTGCCAATGCTGCAGTAAGGCGGCCTGCTAGCATTGCAGCCGCAGGTAACTATATGCGCATGTGCGCGCACCTAATTCCCAAGTGCAATTAGGTGGTTGAGCACGCCGTGAACCGTCACGCACATCGCGCAGGTGCCAAGTCGGCCTTGTGCCAAGCTGGGAGGTGGCTTGCAAACACTACAAGTTGGGGACCTGCCAGCACTGCACCGGGGTGGCTTGCCTATGCTGCGATAAGGCGGCCTGTTAGCATTGCAACCGCAGATGACGATATGCGCATGTGCGCGCACCTACTTCGCAAGTGCAATTAGACGGCTGGGCACGTCGTGCACCGTCACGCACATTGCGCAGGTGCCAAGTCGGCCACGTGTCCAACAGTTGTGCCAAATGTGCCACGTCGACCTCGTGATACCACCACGCAGGTCGACTTCGCCATAACTGCCTGACCGATGTTCACACATCCCCGCATAACATCGTCGAACAGGTTACTTGGTCGACTAGAGGACGCCACCAACTCTCCAGGTTGACGCTGGCTTCCAAGTCTAGCCGGTCGCGTATTCTGCGCATCGGTCAGCAAAATCAACTTCGCCCAAGCAAGGGCAGTACCAATTATACGACGATGAGACTTGCAGGTCTACATGGGGCTATTTTTTCAACCTGGGCAATAGAGCTGTGCCGTGGAGGTTAACACGAGCATCGTCCGTGGCGTTGACCAGTGCTCAGGCTGAGAGCTACGCTGGTGCTATGGTTGTCAGAATGTTATTGTTCTCTAGCCTGCAGTGGGGTACTCTATAGCGAGTACAACCCCCTAGGGTTTCCTATATGTATCCTGCTGCTTTCTAGTGAACATCCTCTGCTTATTCTCTCTTGCCTAGCTAGGGCTTACCTAGCTATGGCTCCTACTCATTCCTCGTTTCATTTTCACATGGTATCAGAGCACTCACGCTCCTGGCCTGTGGGCCCTACTGCTGCTTCCGCTGCTACTCTGTGTGTTGCATGCCCCGTGGCGTGCGACGGATTTCTCTTCCCGCCGCGCGCTCGGAGCGTGCGGCGGTTTTCTGCCCGCCGTGCGCCCCGAGGCGCGCGGCGGTTTTCTGCCCGCCGTGCGCCCCGGGGCGTGCGGCGGTTCTCTGCCCGCCGTGCGCCCCGAGGCGCGCGGCGGCCTTCTGCCCCGTCGGTCCGCGCGTCGCCCCCAGGGGGGCGCTTCGACGGGCGACGGGGACCAGCCCGTCGTCCCCCGTCGCCCGTCCTGGCCAGCGCGGGCTGCGCCAGCCCCGAGCACGGCCCGTACGGGCTGCGCCCGGCCCGCGCGCGGCCCGTACGGGCTGCGCCAGGCCCGCGCGCGGCCCGTACGGGCTGCGCCAGGCCCGCGCGCGGCTCGGGCCGCCTGCGCGCGGTTCGTCGGGCTGTGCCAGGCCCGTGGGCGGCCCGTTCCTCTCTGTCCCTGAGCTGCTCGCTGTCCCCCGTGCTTCTGACGGTGCCCCACCCCTACTGCTGCCCGTTCTCCTGAATTAGGGTTTGGGGGTGAGGAGTGTGGGGGTGGCGGTTGTGTGTTACTCCCCTTGCTCCTCCTCCTCCCTGGTCTCCCACTGCTGCAGCTGCCGCTGAGGGGGGTGGGTGTGTGGGAGCCTAGGGTTTAGGGTTTAAGGGGGGTGCTGTAGGAGTGGAGTTAGGGGTTCAGCAGGGGGTGTGTGCCGAGGGTGTGGGGCAGTTGGAGGAGTTTGTGTGGAGGTAGCGGTCGTGTCGCCTGCAGCGCCTGTAGTCCGTCGCCCTTGCTTCGGTAGCCAGTGAGCCTGTTGCACCAGTCGCCAGTGGGTCCGTTGTTCCTGCCGCTCGTCTATAGCCGCGGAGCCAGTTACTCCAGTAGTCCGTCGCCCTTGCTTCGGTAGCCACTGAGTCAGCCGCTCCTGTGCCCGTGCCTCTGCAGCTTCAGTCGTTGCCTCCCATCTTCTCTCCTTCCACAGTTCCTCCTCCTCCTCACTTGCCCTCTGCGACTGCCCCTAGCTTTACTTGTGCATGTGAACCTGCTCTAGGACTACTTGCTCTGCTGATTATACCCCATTTTGACTATGGGGGTGTGTCAGAATGTTATTGTTCTCTAGCCTGCAGTGGGGTACTCTATAGCGAGTACAACCCCCTAGGGTTTCCTATATGTATCCTGCTGCTTTCTAGTGAACATCCTCCTTTGCTTATTCTCTCTTGCCTAGCTAGGGCAAACCTAGCTAGCTAAGAGCTCCGTTGGCTTACTATCTTGCTCACAAATTTAGGTGAGCGGCGTAGCTCTACCCCGACCTTGTCTGCTGACTACAGGGTCATGATCCTCCTCTGTCGAGGGCCTCGATCAGAAAGTAAAGTCAAGCAAATTGAGATGCGGTTCTTTCTATTGCGGGAGCTGCGGCGACGTGGCAATACATGCTTGGTCCTTGCGCCCTCAAAGGCCAACACCGTTGACATCTTCACCATGGCTCTCCCGCCTTATGACAACCGCATGTGTAGTTTGCAGCTTGGCCTTGTTCACGCAGGTTCTCATTTAGTGTAGCCCCGCCTCTTTCTTGTACGACTTGTTGTATATATACATGTATATTGAATTGGCCTTGTGCCCATTTGACTCGGAGGCTGGTTAGTCGTACCACCCTGAGTTGCATCTCTTCCTTTGTTGCTTTTGTTGACTGGTCTTGTGACCATTGTATCGGTGGCTCGACTGGTTGAGCAGACCTAATCTGCTTCTTGCTCCATTCTGTGCCCCTTATCAAGGCTAGGAATGTGTCAAACTGTACACATTATGTTAGACTTTTACAGTTACATAGCCTACATTAGGTTGTACCTGTACCCGAACTCGTCCGTAGCAATGCAACAATTGTCTTCTCAACACTGGTATTGTCATGACATGCGCAGGGTCATCAAGAAGATGCACGTGCCATGCTTCCATGTTCAAAGGGGAACCGTATTGGATTAACTGAAAGGTTGTTAAACATTCATGGACTATGGCAGGAGAGTTTTACCCACGTCCCCACTATAGTACGCGAGAGTGGGGAGGTGGAAAGTCAACATAACTGGAGGCGACAAGATGCATGTGGTTACCATTAGGCATCGAAATAGTCGATGCTGCTATACTGATACATGTAATTTTGTAAAATAAGGAAATGTGCCCCTTATGGTACATGGCCAGCTAGTACTACATAAACCCGTGCATGCAATGTTCTTATTATCCTCGTTATGTCCAATCACTTCTTATGTCACGTTAACTGGAGATGAAGGGACTATGGATCCAGCAATGTAAATAAAATAAATTATTCAAGATCTAAGGCTAAGGACGCATGAATAGTTTTCTCGAGATTTTTTTTTTGTCACCATTGTTTAGGCTGCAGTGCTGTTGTCGAATCACCTTAATGCACTCAATTTTCTTATCGGCAGGCCGCAGGGGAGCAGCATTCAAAACAGGGTTTATGTTTCATTGTTATTTGTTCAAGAAAATTGGACATGATTCATGCCATTCTATGCTCAAGCGTTAAATACACTCGAATGGAAACTTAAGGGCGCGTGTCTTTTAGTGTAGAGGTTCAAAAGTTAGGTCGACCTTTATATGGTTACCCGTTTCGTGAATTTCGTATAGTGCACTTCGCGACACTCGTGTGTCCTAGTTCTAAAATTGAATAAGGGGTAGGACACTAAAGTGGGGTCGAACTCACGAACGAATTTCGGGTTGCACGATAAGTCAATCGTGTGTCCTGTTGGGCATGCATCATGAAAATGAAAATTATGCGACAGTCGCAGAACACATCGCGCGCACTTCCGAAACCAAATAGAAGGTATCCGGTGTCGCCAACATCCACCGGGTAACCTCAAAAGTGAGTGTATAAGTTGAACCTCGATGCTCGAACTTTGATGTGCCATGTGACTTGTATGGGAAAAGAATTCGCGACTCGGGCCCAAAGGTTGAGATTCTCGAGTACAGGTCGACCTAGGTTCAAACGAAAATAATCGACTAGAAAACATGAACTTCGCAATAAAAATCAGAAGACACGCGCCCTAAGGAGGATGCTTGTAGCCAACACACAATACCTAATGCCGTTGTCTTCGTACTGATTCTTTCCAATCTTTCCGACGATTGCGTTCTCGTCTCGGATGCTATTGTACCGCAGTCAGTTTGGCCTTTGACTTGAGTTTCCCATTTCGTCTGCTGGAACAAGTCAAAGGTTCAGCACAGCACGCAACGCAACCCGTAGCATCGCCTCGTCAGTACATTGGCAAGGGCAAGCTGGCAAGGGGACTGTGCTTTCCAATCATCCCACCAATCAAAGCGCCCTCACAGACGCCTAATCTCGGGACGGGAAGCACCAATAAGTGATTCTTTCTGCCCTCAAGTCTCGTTGCTGGTTCGGGTAGTGCTTGCCTTTGGCATTTACAAGCTTTACCGTACTGCTCCTCCATGCCCTCGTTCTTGCCGAGTCTCACTCACAGCCGCTTCAAGGACTCTTACGGAGGTTTCATTCTGTGGCAAACATCTCGCTACATATTTTGTTCATTTCTGACTTTGAAGTCTTCGCTTCAATTTCGCCGTGAACATCACAGAGAGGTTTTCTACACTTTAAATATGTCCCCTCCCAGGTCCTTCCTCCCAGTCTTCATTCTGCGACTGTCTCTCGCGTTCGTTCTCTCTCATCTTGTCTCAATCATTTTCCTTTTCTTTCAAGAGCTTTCCCGTTCCCACGAACCACTCCGAAATGGCGGAGGGAAATTATCCCCGGACTGGTGAATGGACCACTGACTGGTGCGGATGCTTCGATGACATCAGCTCATGTAAGCGATACACAGAAGTCTGATAATGATATCACGCGTTTCGTTCTCAGCAGGCAAACACTGCTCAATATGTTTAACGCCGCCGCATCAGTGTGTCGATCACGACTTCATTTCCTCCGCGACCTTACTGAAAACACCCTCACACTGTGCGTTCCCTCTCTACTCCAAACAGGCTGTTGCGTTCTCTTTTGTCCCTGTGTCGCCGTCGGCCGAATCGCTGAGATTGCTGACTCAGGAGATACTGGTAAGCTGGTAGCGTGAGTGCGGGTATGTCGCATGCTCGACAAGCCATTTCTCGATTGCCACCCACTATCAGCTCAGGCAGTTACGAAGGCTTCAGGAACGACTCGTAGAAGTAGACAAAACTCATCAGCGTGCGTCGCTCGGTGTCCCTACTTTGCAAACCATCCGTCGCTGCTTGGACAGCATAACTTTTCATTTCCAAATCTCCAGTGCCACTCGAACTCTAAAGGCGTCTGCGAATGTTTTCTGTTTCTTCCGTGTTTTTGTTGTGTGCTGTCCCACAGATGCCTGCGAGGCGTGTTGCTGCTGGTACCTGATCCAAGCCTGTACCTTCGGTTCCCTTGGTTGCCTCTATTCCAAAGGTATGCTCTCTCTCTCTCTCTCTCTCTCTCTCTCTCTCTCTCTCTCTCTCTCTCTCTCTCTCTCTCTCTCTCTCTCTCTCTCTGTCTTACCAACATTATCTTGCCTCACACCTTTCCCATTTCCATTTTCTCAACTCCCTCCTCCCTCCCTCTCCTCTCTGCTCCTCCCTGTTGTCTTTTCCCATGTTTTATTTCTCCAGGAAAACGTCTGAAGTTGCGGAGGAAGTACGGCCTTCCAGCAAAGCCTTGTGGCGACTGCTTGATGCACTGGTGCTGCGCCATATGTTCCATCTCCCAGGAGTACCGCGAGCTGCAGAACCGCGGCTGGAAGCCGTCGCTGGGTATGTTCTCTTGCACGGCGTTTTTCGCCTTCTTTCCTCCCTTTTTGAAAATTTGGGGAATTGAGACTTGCAATGACTGTACTATGATGCACCTGGGCCAGATCCTGCTGAGTGGTAAGTTTCTACATGGTAAGCCACACGGCATATATGATGCATTCACTAGTCTCTGGTTTGCTTTCTCCACGTACGGTACATGCCTTCGTCCCATGGACGAAGTAGACTGCTGGGTGATTTTTTTATGTTCAAGCCAAACAACTTCTCCATTCGGACCCAGATTGCTACAAAGTAAACTGGCTGTTTCTGTTCTCTGGTTGCTGTGTGGGTTTTCTTGCACAATAATGTTGCAGGTTATTCGCAAAACAAGAACAACAGTCCGCCTCCTCAGCAGTTCATGACTTGATTGTCAATATGGCTGCGTAGTGTGCGACTGGATCTGGGGTGTTTCCCTTGCGTCAGGATATTACTCCATTTGTGGCTTGCTCTTGCTGGTGTGGCAGTCGTACCCAAGAAATAGCAGTGTGTTTTTTTCGAGAGGTAGAATCTAGCAGGGTGAAAAATCCGAAAACACTGCCTAGCAAAAACGTTTGGGTCCCGCAGTTGATAACGCGCCACTCTCTGTGCTAGAGCTGAATCTCTTGTGTTTCAAGGACTTGTGTCTCAATCAGAATCGGACGCTACTGAATCTCTGGAATTTCAGTCACAAACGCTACTGGACACATTTCAGGGCGCGTTTCTATCCCGTGTCAGACACGAAGCTAGACACGAAGTTGAGGTTGGGAAGACCCAAAGGGACTCGGAATGCTGGCAAATTTAGGTTCGGAAGACACAAACCGAGTCACTTTGTGTCTTCCGAAGCTTTGACCTGATGTCTGACCCGGGATAGAAACGCACCCTCAGTCACAAACGCCACTCAACGTGCTAGAGCTCAATCTCTGGTGTTTCAAGTACTTGGCGAACTTCTGGAAATTTCACTCACAAACGCTACTGGACACATTTCGGCTTAGTTTGAAGTTCTGCACAAGGGAGAAGTTGGCAGGGTGTCTGCCGTAACAAGCCGGGAGTGGCAGGGTGGCACATAAGAGTGAAACAGCATCTGCAGGGTTTGATTTTAGCCCTGCCTGACGATGACAGGGTGGACGCCCAGCCAGACCCATTTCTAGCAGTGTGGGTCCTTAATTTTACCCTGAAATGCAGGGCAAACAGGGTAAAACGCTCTGCAATCCTGGGCCCTGGTGAGGATATCTCAATGGGTTTTTAGTTTTCCCGGAAGGCTTACTGTAGCTGTCTTTCTTTTGAGGGACTTTCATCTCAACTTGCGCACACTTTCCGGTGATCCGCTTCTGAGACGGAAGAGTTATCGTGCTAACACAGAAATCCGCTTCTCCGCACGTCACGCAAGCACTGTTTTCGTCGACTGTCTTCTGCCAGCAAGCACAAAACTAAACCCCTCTCGGATGGCATGTTTTCAAGGGCATCAACCCTAAACACCACGCGACAAGGCGTTTAGGGCTGATGCCCGCCAAGAGGGATATAATTTTGGGGCATCAGCCCTAAACACGTAGTCGCAAGGTGTTTAGGGTTGATGCACTTCTTTAACATGCAAGCCAAGAGGGATTTAGTTTTGGCATTAACCCTAAACACTTAGTCGCAAGGTGTTTAGGGTTGATGCCCTTCATTACCATGCCAGCGGAGAGAGATTTAGTCTAGTGCGGATTAAAAAAAAAACAAAATAGTACTGTGCACCGTTTGCCTGAGTAGCAACAGAAATGGCTTCCGAGATGATGACACGCGGGTATTTGGAGACGAGTTATGTGTTAGCGCGATAAGTCTTCTGTCTCGGCAGCGAAACCTGGGAAACTGTGTGCAGGTAAAGACGAAGTTCCCTAAAAAGCGCAGGTTTGGAAGTACCTCTTCTGCCGTAACTAAAAACCCAATCTCAATTATCTTGATGTGGATTTGTTTCGGGCAAAATATCACCACGCGGGACGCCGCAACGCACGCACAGCCCCACTCAACTTCCAGAACCACACAAGAGCAGCGCACTTTGGGCAGTGATAAATTTCCTCCTAACGCGTCACATTGCTTTCCGAATCGGCTGACCCCTGCTGGAAGCCAATCACAATCACGTCTCAGCTGCTAGCCTATCTCAAGGCTGTCTACCTTGCCTGCACGAACAAGAAAGGATGGTGTATTGTTCGGTTCGGGAATAATTGAAGCCTTGCTCGGAAGTGGTTCGGAACGTTTTGTCCTGCCTCGGCGATGTTCGAGCATTCGACACTGACTACCCTCGTTTCCCCAGAAGACTCAACGCCAGCCCAGGCTTGCCTCAACATCACAAATATATCATCCCAGCTCATTCCTCTCGTACCTTACGACTGACGCGCGTTCGTTCTGCCTCATTCTCTTCTGCTAAGCCTTTTTCTCGTTTGCGCAAACATCGCGAAATGGCGGATGGTCCCCCGACTAGACAATGGACCACTGGCTGCTGTGGCTTCTGCGACGACATAAGCTCATGTAATTGTTACAGCCTAATTTGTACATGTTGTAGTGCTTGTGTTCTGAGCATGTAAACATTGCTTGACTTTGAACAAGCTTGGTCTGTTGCTCTTAATCTCACACGGTTAACGCATCACGTCTGCGTAATTCGATGATCACGTTATCGCCTCTGTGACATAACTGAAAAAAAACTGACTCTCTCTTCGCCATCCCCAATGCAGGCTGTTGCGTTCTCTTTTGTCCCTGTATCGCCATTGGCCGAATCGCTGAGATTGTTGACCAGGGAGGCACTGGTAAGTTGGCAACGTTGGTGCTAATGAGTACAACCGTGTCGCATGTTGGACGGGCATTTCTCAAATGTACATTCGCTAAAGACTCAGGCTTCTGAAGGCTGCGAAAACGACCCGTAGCTGACGGCACTTCTCAGCGCGCGACGCCTCGCTGTCCCAGTCGCTACAAATTAACGTTATCTGGGTTCTTGTTTGTTTGTTCGTTTGTTTGCCTTGTTTTGTTTTGTTGTGTTCTTCTTGGCCTTGTCTTCTTTGGAATTGACGTCCGACATTTATTTGCATTCGAACGTATATGAATCGTTTTGTTTTCGGCGTTTTTCCTTGTGCGATACCACAGGTTCCTGCCAGGCGTGTTGCTGCTGGTACTGGATCCAAGCTTTCACTCTCAGTACCCTTGGGTGCCTCTATTCCAAGGGTATGCTCTCTCTCTCTCCCTCTCTCTCTCTCTCTCTCTCTCTCTCTCTCTCTCTCTCTCTCTCTCTCTCTCTCTCTCTCTCTCTCTCTCCCTCTCTCTCTCCCTCTCTCTCTCCCTCTCTCCCCGTCTCTCTCCCTCTCGCCCTCTTCTTTCTCGCTCGCCATCTTTCTTTCGCCTTCTCTTTCTTCCTCGCTCGCTCTCGTGCTCTCTCACTCTCTTTCCTTAGCCCTCCAAGCTGCGACCAATTTCTATCCTCTCACACCTTTCCGTGTTTCCATTTTCTCCACCCCCCTGTCCCCCTCCACGCTTGCCCTTCTCGCGTAATTCCCCAGGTTTCCGTACGAAGTTGAGGAGGAGGTACGGCCTGCCAGCATCGCCGTGCGGAGACTGTTTAATGCACTGGTGCTGCCCCTGCTGCGCCATCTCCCAGGAATACCGCGAGCTGAAGAACCGCGGCTGGGACCCGTCACTCGGTAAGTTGCCTCGTGTCATCTCACACGCACGCGGCATTCTTGTGAAACCTCCAAGGAAAGTGTAGTGCAAGGGTGCATCGTGCACTGGTGCTGCCCCTGCTGCGCCATCTCTCAGGAGTATCGGGAGCTGAAGAACCGTGGCTGGGACCCATCACTTGGTAAGGTTCCTTATGTCCTCTCATGCGCGGCATTCTTGCGAAGCCTTCAAGGAAAGTGTAGTGCAAGGGTGCATCGTGCACTGGTGGTGCCCCTGCTGCACCATCTCCCAGGAGTACCGGGAGCTGAAGAGCCGCGGCCGGGACCCATCACTTGGTGAGTCCCTGTGATAAGTTTTGCCTGTCAACGTACAGATTTCCTCGGGCTTGTATCTGGGTACGTGCATTGGTTCTTGCATGCATGGTTTTTTTTTTTTCAGATAACATGCTTGCATTCGTTTGAAATTTGTCAATTTGGGAGGAGAAATGAACCCCCTTTTCCATTCCAATCCAATCCACATAGACTGCTAGAAAGGCGACCTTGCCAGCAGCCCTCCCCACCAGCCAACTGACTGGTAGTGATTGATTTCTCAAGTCCCTGTGTGGGTTTTTGGGTTTTTTTTTATTATGCAGGTTACGAGCAAAACAAGAACAAGAATCCGCCTCCCCAGCAGTTTATGAGTTAATTTTCAATAAGGTTGCTCGTGTTGTGTGCCACTAGATTGAGCTTATGTTGCAGCGCACTCAATTTGTGACAGCATTCTTCATGGTCACCACCACTTTGTTAGTCTGTTGTATATTATGAATTTATTACCTTGCGCGGTGGTTTTTATGCTATCAGCACGCATTGTATAGCACTGCCTGCAAATCTTTACCTACCGTAGCTTTGTGAGCAATTTGACGACGCGTCCTATCTCTTCCCGAATCGGCTAATAACACCCAGCAGCCAATCTTTGCCTTCGCTCAGTCGATCGCCTATCTAATGTTAGCCGTTCATCTCGCCTGCCCGGACGGAAAAGACGGCGATGTGTCTGTTATTGAAGTCAAGTCTATCTGTAGCCAGAACAAGCGTACGCACTCGCGAGAGTGTTTGGATTGTCTGGGCTAATAGATGACCTGACCACGAGGGACGTGTTGTGTTTGCCGCTGCGCGAGCTACTGGCCCAGATTATACAGTCTCACACAAGCAGCCCCCAATATCCCCCTCCCCTCCTACCACTTTCCGAATCGGCTAATCGAAGCAGGAGCCAATCTCAATCAACGCTCACTCGATCGAAAATGTTTAAACGTTCATCTCGCCTGCCCGAACGTAAAAGACGGCAATCCGGACTCGGCATTTTCCGAGCTTTCTTGCCCAGCATAAACGTCAGCCAAGCTTGCCTCGACATCACAAATATATCCTCACAGCTGATTCCTCCCGTATCGTACCACTGCCATCGCGTTCATTCTCCCTATCTCGCTTCTAGCAACCACCACCGAAGGTATTGGCTGAAGGAGAGCACCACACTCCTTGCCACCCCACGTGTTCTTCTCACGCCTTCGGCTGGTTTATCTTCCCTTGAGATTGTTCTTTCAGTCAGTCTGAAATCGAGCACTCTACACTTCGACCGTTCTGTTACTGTCCTGCCTGAAGAGAAGTCCCGTAGCACTGATCCTTTTTGGTTCCGTCTCTGCCTCGTCAGGGTCCTCGTCTCCAGACTACCAATCGCCTTCGAGCAGAGTCAGAATGGCGGACGGGAACTATCCCCCTACTGGAAAGTGGAGCACTGGCTGCTGCGGCTGCTTCGAAGACTGGAGTTCGTGTAAGCTCGACCAGACACTGTCTAAGGGATGGATATGCATTCGTTGCAATGCTGAAACACGGTTTCAAAAACGACCTTCAAGCATTTCCACGCAGAAATCTCCTGGCAAGTATTTCTATTATCGCTGGAACTCTAAATACCTCGTCTTCTCCTGTACAGGCTGTTGCGTTTTGTGGTGTCCGTGTGTCGCCATTGGCCGAATTGCTGAGATTGCGGATATCGCAGAAGCTGGTAAGCCCTCACTATCGCCTAATTTCTGGTTCATATTACCGCTGTATACAGCGGGGTGTCACCCTAAACACCAACGCTTCCTCAAATTTGTTACCGTTGTCATTGCCCGTACCAGACGCCTATGTCCCTTGTTAATGACATCGTTTGTTCGTCACCTTGTACAATTGCAGATGGCACAGAGGCGTGCCTTTTTTACTACTTGATTCAAGCGGGGGGGTGCGGGTGTCTGTACTCCTTGGGTAAGTCGCGTCCTCCATTTCAGATCACACGTATCTGATTATTTCCCTGACTGCATTCATAGCAGTTGCTTTGCATGTGTACGGGTACGAAAATTGATAACCCGCGTCTCCGAGAAAGCCTTTTGCCCAGGCTCATCTCCTCACTTAATTTCTTCATTTTCTTTCAGGATTCCGAAAGAAGCTGAGGTTGAGGTATGGCCTTCCAGCGGCACCCTGTGGCGACATCTGGATGCATTGGTGCTGCCGCTACTGCTCTGTATGCCAGGAGTATCGCGAGCTCAAAAACCGCGGCTGGGACCCATCTATTGGTGAGTGTTGTGCATTAGTGAGCTTCATAGGCGATATAAGCACATTGTCAGTAAAACCCTACCAGTGGTAGCACGCACAGTGTGCTGCCGCTTTGGAGTGGTGAGAGTAGGCTTTGAACCCGCTCGGTGAGCTGCGGATTGGATTCTTTCAGTGGTGAGTTCTCATCACTTCAGTCTGGCGAGTATCAGCCTACACCATAGCCCAGGAATAATATGACAGCGCATGAAAGCTTGAGCTTCAAGATTGCCAATGCTTTTCTGACCTCTTTGGCCATATTGCTTCTCCGGATGCAGGTTACTCGGCAAACAAGAACAGGTCCCCCCCTCCGCAGCAGTTCATGCAGGGTAGATAGGAATGGCAAATATCTCAGGATGGGAAGTGGGGATTTTAGTCTAGATGGTATGGGAAGGTGTTCGCTATCTCATGGGTAATAATTTTCTAAAGCACTCATCAATGCTGTCTTGGAATTCCGTTCTTTTCCTGGCTTGTGATGCGTCTGATAATCTAATTTTGGTGTCCTGCGTTTGCATTCTAGTTACGGTACTCCTTCGTGAAAGAACAAATGCTAAGTGGAATTGAGATTGTAGCTTCCCATTGGAGTGTACTAGCATGTTCAAGGACGAGTTGAGGAAAAAGATGGCAAATAGCCAAAAAGCTGTTGAGTTATTTTTGAAACGCGTCGCAAACGCGCGAAACCGTGCAACGGTATGCAACGTTGTTACGGGTGCAATGAATCGAAGTAGCGAGAATTGCACTACGGTGTCAAACGATCTTAGAATAGGAATGCAACGGAATGGGCGAAACTAGAAAGTGTGAGAGTACAAATATGCAACCCTAACAACTGTACTCCCTATTGTGCTACTCACTGTAGCCTACACGCATAGAATTACATTTGACACACCCCCATAGGCTAAGTGAGGGGCATCAAAGCAAGCAAGGTGAACAAACGGTCACAAGACCAGTCAAAGCAAGAAACAAGGCAAGCTTAGGGTGGATCTCAAGGACACCACACAAATTCCGAGCGCAAGCAAGCGGCCACAAGGCCAGTTCAAGAGTTCACTAGGATATAAATAGGAAGCACAACAAGCAGAGCAAACAACAAGACTACAGCAACCGAGGGCCTACCTCAACAAGCCCCAACTGCACACAGAACCTGTGGTGATCACCAAGCGCCAAGGCCTTGGTGAAGACGTCTGCAATGTTGGCCTTTGAGGCCACAAAGTCCAGGCGTGCCTGGCCGCGTCGCTGCAGCTCTCGCAGGAGGAAGTACCTCACGTCAATATGCTTCACTCTGCTCTCCAGTCGAGGCTCTCGACACAGGAGGATCATGGCCTTGTTGTCAGCGTACAAGGTCGGTGCAGAGCGAGGCCGCTCACCAAGGTCGGCGAGCAAGAAGGTCAACCAGCGAAGCTCCTGTGCCGCCATGGCACCAGCGTAGATCTTTGCCTCTGCACTGGAAGTAGCCACAGACGACGACCGTGTAGACCTCCACGACACAGCACCAGCTCCCAGACTGAAGCAGTAACCCTGAGTCGAGCGCTGAGTCTCCACGTCGTCAGCGTAGGAAGAGTCGCAGTGACCAGTCAACGCCACTGGCTGAGTCCCTCCAAGCACAAGCCCCATGCCTGATGTAGTCGCCAGGTACTTCGCCACCCTCACAGCAGCTGTCCAGTGGACAGGACGGTGTCTCCCAGTCGCAACAAAGCGAGAGAGGATGCTGAGGGGAAAGGCGAGGTCCGGCCGAGTACAAGTCATCAGGTACAGGAGTGAGGAGTGGCGTAAGGGTCGTGTGGTCGCGGAAGAAGCACTGAGACGCGCCCGAGTCCAGCGTGAACGACAGAGAGGCATCAGCCGGAGGGTCACCTGACCCAGTCGCTACACAAGCACCTAGAGCAGCAACACAAGCACCTAAGCTAGATAGGCACAAGGCTACACTAGCAGGAGGCAAGCAGGCTAAACTACGAACACGCGAGCACACAGATCCCTCAGCACTAAAGTCAGCATCAACAGACAAAGCATGCTGACGCGCATCGTCCATGGACAAATCAAAGACATCAATCTTACGGGTTAACAGACGAGACCAGCGAGGCGTGACCGCCAGGGGGCCCCAACGAGCCCGGTAGAGGTCGTCGAGGCGACGGAAGCACCGCGCGGCAGAGTGGTCGTCGCGACCACAGAGACAGGGGCTGCTCGGCCCGGTGAGGCACCAGTGGGTGCAGGGGCCAGCGTCACGGCGAGGGGGGCGAGGGGCCCAGCTGGAAGAGCTGCTGCTGCGGCCGGTGCTCCCAGGGCCTCCCGGACCCCACTGCGGCGGGGGACCCCAGTGCTGCTGCGGACCCCACTGCAGCGGGGGCCCCCACTGCTGGAACTGCTGCGGTGCCTGCTGCTGCTACTGTCCCTGCTGCTGCTGCTGTCCCTGCTGTGGCTGGTGCTTCTGTGGCTGCTGCTGCTGGGGGGCAGCACCCCCACCGGTCGGGCCACCACCTGTGGGTGGACCTGTCTGTCCTGCGCCTCCTCCAAGGCCCCCTCCCCCTGGTGCACCACCGCCGCCGCCGCCGCCGCCGCCTCCACCACCACCGCCGCTCCCACCTCCACCGCCCCCTCCACCGCCACCTCCTCCGCCCCCACCTCCCCCCTTCCCGCCCTTCTTGCCACTCTTGCCCCGTTTCTGCCAGTCTGCGGCAAAAATGGCAGCGGTGTCCTCAGAGACCGACACAGCAGCAGAAGCGCGGGTAGCGGTGAAAGTGGGAAGCTGAGGGGCGACACACCCCGCAAAGAGACGGGGGGCCACCGCATCAGTGGCGGAGGCAACGGTGAGGAGGCTGTTCTCGATGGTCCCGAGAGCAGTTTGAAGGAGGTCTATATTGAGTTCAGTGGGGTGCTTTTGAAGAAGCGCGTCGCGGGCAGTGGCAAGGCGGTCAGGGAGGCGGGTGACTAACCAGTGCACAGTGAGCCACATGGGGGGGGGAGCAACAAGGAGTTGTGCGTCGGTACAGGCCGAACGAAAACCGCCGTCAAGCGAGCGGAGGTGAGTCACTAGGTCGAAAACAGTCGCAAACGAGCCTAGGTCGGGAAACACGAACGGAATGAGGAGGCGGCTGAGGGAGGCGGAGGAGGGGGTGGAATAGCGAGCCACAATAGCATCCCAAACCCCCTTGGCTGTCTCCACCTGGTCAAAGTGAGCGGCCTCAGTCGGGGGGAGAAGCTCCGATAGCGTGAGGGCGGCGGCCGCGTCACGAGAGAGCCACACGTCCCGAGCCAGGACCCGACGGTCGTAGTCCGCCTGGGCCGTAGGAGTCGGCTCCGGGGCGGTCGGCAGGGCGGCGGGGGACGGGGGTGCCGCGAGAGCACCCGACGCGTGGGCCCACAGAGTAGCGCCGTCCTGACGCTGGCTGGTGGGGAAACGTGTGGTCTGGCGCTGCCAGGTACCGAACTCGATCGGGCGTCTCTCAGCATCGAAACGGAGGCGATGGGCCTCCATAGCGGAGCCCATGCTAGAGACGACTGGAGCACGGCGGAGGCGGAGCTAAGAACGAGGAGGAAAACTACGGAGGGCTAGGGACGCCAGCGGGGAAACCGACGAGAGACAGTCGGCGAGAAAATAGTCGTGGGGCGGGGCTCTAACCGAACCTAGGTGGCGCTACCGGAGGGAAGAGCAGCTGCCAGCCGCTGAGCCGGGAGCCAAGTGCAGTAGGAATGGCGTGGGACCGGTGCACAGGTGAAGGGGAGAGAGATGCAGTAAGCGTACAGAGTGATGCGGTAAGTGTACGCAGGTGTGCGGTAAACGCACGCAGGTGTGCGGTAGGTGCACGCAGGTGTGCGGTAAGTGCACGCAGGTGTGCGGGAAGCGCACGCAGGTGTGCGGGAAGCGCACACAGAGTGATGCGGTAAGTGCACGCAGGTGTGCGGTAAGCGCACGCAGGTGTGCGGTAGGTGCACGCAGGTGTGCGGTAAGCGCACGCTGGTGTGCGGGAAGCGCACGCAGGTGTGCGGGAAGCGTTGACGGAGGAGGGCGCGCGACAGGCGGAGGGGAGGGCACGCAACGGTCTAAGGAGGGCGCGCGACGGTTGAGGAGGGCGCGCGACGGTGGGGGAGGGCGCGCAGCGGTCTAAGGAGGGCGCACGATGGTTTTGGAGGGCGCGCAACGGTGGGGGAGGGCGCGCGGAGGTCTAAGGAGGGCGCGCGACAGGCTGGACAGCGCGGGAGGGCGCGGGCTAGGCGCGAGGAGGACGCGGAGGGCGCGGAGGGCGCGGAGAGCGCGAGAGCACAGAGGGCGCGAGAGCACAGAGGGCGCGTAGGGCGCGTAGGGCGCGGAGGCTAGCTAAAAACGAACGAGGATCTAACCTACTCGTGATACCATCTTACAATAGGAATGCAACGGAATGGGCGAAACTAGAAAGTGTGAGAGTACAAATATGCAACCCTAACAACTGTACTCCGTATTGTGCTACTCACTGTAGCCTACAAGCATAGAATTACATTTGACAAACGAGTAAAAAATGTGAGCGAAGGCATGAGCGAACATTTATACGCGAAACGTGCAAACGGTAACGCGGTGCGTGCGAGCTAGCTAGTGCTACGCTGGAAGCGAGGCTCGGGCTAGTCCCGAAGCGTAGGCCGACACGGCTGGGCCAGCAGTGCGAGGTTTGGTGAAACAGTGCGCGCGAAGTCGGTGAAGCCCCGTTAGCAGTAACGGGCGAACGACGGCTACTGCTGTACGCGGTGTTGCAGGGTGCGCTAAGGAATATCGAGAAAATTCCTTACAAACTGTAAGGAAAAATCCTTTTCCTTACTTCGCGTCCCCGCTCAGCGCGTACACCACTGTAGCACCACAGTCAGCACCGTTACCACTCGCAACTCTCGCATCGACAATCCTCCCGCCACCTTCGCACGTCGCACCCCGACCTCACGGCTCGGCGGGTAACCCGCGCTCCGGGCCTCCGCTTCAACACTTTTCCCAACCTCAGTCCCAGGCCCGTCACGCGACAACCACAGTCCA